ACTTCCATCACAGATGGAAAATTCCATTTGGTCAGAGTCCAGATGCTGATCAAACATTTCCAATTCTCTTTCTGAATGGGTCCAGGGAGAAGCACAGGGGACACCAGCCCAGAAGGGGGAGGTGGAAGAGGCGTAGAGTGTGGGAATGTCATGAGGAGGCTGTACCCAGGGGATCTGACCTCAACTCGGTGCAGGGTTCATGCCTGACTCCTGCACCCAATGAGGGCAGGCTCTGCTTGTTGGCAGTGGTGGACTAGGGCCCTCAGCTCCCCCTGCCATCTTCCCCCCTTAGTGCCCTTCTGTGTGAACTGGGAAGGTGCTCACTCCTCTCTGCAGGAATTGAGTGAGGCCGGTATAAGCCCCACTGTCTACTTTCTGGGCAGCATCAGGGACCCCCACAAAGCTATCCAGTGGGTTGCTGCTTAAGGCTGTCCTCTTTCAGGGATAAAAATGTCCTGCCAAAGAGAAAGTTGCTGTAGTCCTCCAAGGTTGAGAGGGGGAGAAGGGGGACCTCACATTGCTGAGTGCCCACTATGTGCCAGGCTTCAGAACCAGAAGTGGCACTGCCCCTGCCAAATTGTTGAGCTTAATGAGGCCTTCCCAGCACCCCAATGGGCAGACAGACCCTGGGGCATAGATGGCAGAATGGGGTCCCTCCCTGTCCTCACTGTTAGAAAGAGCTTCCTGAAGCTTGGTAGAGACAGGGAGAGGAAGGCAAAACCCCAGTTGCCTGGACACCTGGCTCCCTTCTGTGCAGGGCTGAGGATGAAGCAGAGACCTGGCCCTCCATCTGCCATCCCTCCAAGGGCGCGAGTACCCCTCCCAACCTTGGGTACCCGTTGAGCCCCAGGACACATTCTCACATTAAAGGATCTTGCCCTGGGGTTTCTTGGACATGGGTCCTGTCCTTGCTGCTGCCCTTTGACTGGACTCTGTGCAGCAGGGATGGGATGGAAGTGCCCTCCCCCCGAGCTATGGTGGTCAGTCCCCTGGGGGAGGTGGCTGTGCATGAATGAGGCTACCTTTGGCTGGCCGGAGGCCTTTCCCCCTCCAGCCTCTCATACCCAGATGCTATGGAACCCCCTTTCCATCTGTCCATAGCCACTGACTACTGTTACTGCCCCTGCTGTGGAGCTCATGAGTTACCTCTTCAATACTGTGCACGTGTGTGGGCATGAAGGCACAGTCATTTGAACATATGTATGGGCGTGAAGGTGTATACGTGGGTGTGAATGTGCACCTGTGGGCATGATTGTATGAGTGAGTGAGTGTAGATATGCAAATGTGGGTGTGGATATGCTTGTGAAATGTGTGGGTGTGGATGCATGTGTATGAATGCGGGTCTCGTGTGCACGTGTGGCTGTGAACGTGTGTGTGATTGTGCATGCGTATGGGTGTGAACATGGGCTGTGTCGTATGAACATGCATGTGTATAGGTGTAAATGGGCATTAGACCCTGCCCCCAAACCTGTGTCCAGCAGTTCCCAGCCTTTGGTGGTAAGAAGGGGGCCGAGCACCAGCAGGCCGTGACAGCACTGTACACTAAGAGCGGCCGAGTTTGGCTCTGGTGACTACCAGAAGGCTTCCTCCCAGTGACAGCCCTGGAGGCGTTTGGAAATGCTCACGTGTCTCAGGGTAGGGAACGGAGCAGCAGGCCTGACCCACAGAAACACTCACGTGACAGCCACCAGCTTCTGGGGCCTCCCACGCCAGCTGGTAAGAGCTACTAACAGGTTTCTAGTTTCATGTTTTAGTTAAAAAGGTGGTACCCGTTCATGGCTTTCAAAAGAAAAGTAAAAGAAAGAAACCCAACAACAAAAAACAAGTCAAACCGAAGCTACAAAAAAGGCACTAACATGCCCCCTCCACAGCCGCCTGGCATGGTTGGCAGGTGACCTCTGCCTCTGGGCAAGGACATGCTGTGCTGGCCACTGTTTAAACGCTGACTTGTCCCTGAGTCAGGCCTGTTCGCCCTTTCTGTTTAATTTTCTCTCCCAGGTGTAACACCCTCCTGCCCCCTCCAACAGCCCAGGAGCCCCAAGGACTAGGAGCTGTCAGTGGGGTTTCCCTGCACTGGTCCCACTCCCTGGCCTCACCCAGTCCTGCCCACTTAGCCCCAGGCGCTGGGATCTGGCTTGGCCGCTTGGTGGCTTGGTTGGTGATGCTTATCTTGCTCTGCCTCAGTTTTCTCATCTGGCAAGTGAGAGTGGGTGGTCCTGACGCCACTGAGGCGGTGACCCACCTTCAAGCCCTTTGATCTGTCCTGATGACAGTGAGCATTGGACCCCTCACTGCAGGGCTGGGTGGCCACTGCTTGGCTCCACTGCCCTGTGTGCCTGCTCTGGGTCTCCTCCCCCAAGAAGGTATTTCCTTGGGACTGCTCGTGTAAATGTGCTGATTTAAGCATCTAGACATGAGGGTGGGGCCAGAACTGGAAGGAGGGGAGCTGTGCTCTACCAGAGTGTGTTCCACAGTAAGGGGAGGGGGGAAACAGGCAGAAGAGGAGGTGGCACCAGGTGAGGTGCGGTGGGAGTGCTAGCTCCTCCAGCCAGGGACCCCAGGAGGCCTGTCAGCCTCCAGTGAGGGCTGGCCAGCACAAGGTGGAGGGCTGGTGGACATAGTCCACAGAACATGGGGAGCCAGAGTGGGCTGTGAAGGGAGAGTTCATTCCATGTGGAGGCTTCTATGTGAGGGTGGGGGAGGGAGGCTCTCAGGGGAGACTGCAGTTAGGGCAGAGGTGGCAGTTACAAAACCTGGTGACTGACAGAGGCTATTGAAGGAGCAGCCAGGGTCTTACTCAGCTGTGGGTGACAGAGGGTGGCCCTGGTCATGCAAATGTACATCCCCTGTCAACCCAAAAGGCAGTGTTAGGTTTTACCCTTGGCCTCTGACCTACACCTGTGCCTATGAGGATAGACCCAGGGGGCCCAACAGATGGTGCTATTCTAAGTGCTTGATGTTTACTGGCACCTGGTATTGGTACAGGACCCCTACGGTGAGGCCCAGCTCCCTGTGTGACCTTGGCAGAGTCCCCTCCTATGCGAGCACGCTGACTTTGAAGAAACCTTGGGCTGATGAAGTGACTCTGGTGCCAACCCTAGTAGGCCTGCCTCACCCTGCCTTCCAGCTGGCTAGCAGAGTTAGTCTGGCTCTTTTTTTTTTTTTAAATATAGAACGCTTCACGAATTTGCGTGTCATCCTTGCGCAGGGGCCATGCTAATCTTCTCTGTATCATTCCAATTTTAGTATATGTGCTGCCGAAGCGAGCACTAGTCTGGCTCTTTCTGCCAGTGCAGGGGCAGTGGGTAACTGGTACCAGCCCCATCCTCACTGAGCCCAGATTGCTCGTTGTTGGGCAGCACAAGGCAGCCAGTTGGGCAAGAGCTGTGACTGCAGCCTTGTGGGGTTTCCCTGGCCTTCCTCAGGGAGGGTGTCCCCATCTGTTTCTCCCTGTGGGGGTGGCATGGGGTGGGGCAGAGGCCCAGCTTCCAACCAGCCCCTCAGCTGCCAGTGCACCCATCCATATTCCCTGGCCTGGAAGGTGGGAGATATGGGAGAACCCTGCCTCACGGAATAGGGGTTACTGTGGAGGCCGTCAGAGCCTAGTGTGCTGGGAGGGAGGCCTTTGGGGCCAGTCAGCTCCCTCCTGCTGCCTGGCAACCATCTCCCTGGAGATAGCTGCTGGGCTCAGGGGCTGAGATCCAGCGGTCCGAGTGCCTTGTGTGACTGAATCTTTCATCCCAAGGGGGCCCCCCCACAGGCAGGAGGTGGAACCTACCCTCACCGCCAACACTCCACAGGGATTACCACAATTGCTGAGTGTTTAGACATGGGAAGGTGGGGTGTTTTCAGGTTCCCCTGAAACCTGACATCTCTGCGGCAGTCCCAGTGGGGGCTCCTGAGAAGTACAGTACTCACACAACTCTCATGACCCCTGTGGTTGACACCCGCTCCTTAGTATGCACTTCACGTGTCAGGCACGTCAGACTTCTGTGTGGTACTTGGGCTCCACGCAGGCCCAGCCTCCAGCCCAGCAAGAGGTGGGATTTGAACTTAGGGGTACAGGGCTGTGGGGCTTGGGGCCTTCTTGCAAATTTCTCTAGCCAGTTTATCGGAGAAATGGGGGTGAAAACACCTCACCAGGCAATCTGAAGAGTGCGGTGCCGGTGCCCATTTCAACAGATGGAGGCCTCTGCACCGTGTCCCTGTTACCCTCCCAACCCCCCGCCCACACACACACCTGAACCTAGGGCTGACCCACAGCGGTGTTGCTGCTGGAGAACACCCACCTTGGTGCCAGAAGGCAGCTGGGGAGCGCTGCCCTGATGCCTCCTAGAATAGGGTTAGAGAGTTCTGGGCCCTTCAGTCCGCCCCAGGCTCAAGCTGGGAAAGGCTGGCACATAGCAGCTTCTGCTGCTGATGAGGTTGGGGCGCCATGCTGACAACTCCCTCCCAGGTAGGGTCCTGTTGGAGCCGGACCCTTCAGAAGGCGGCCTTCATGGACAACCTATGACTGTCTCTTTTGGGGAACAACACCTGCCCTTTTTTCTAAGAGGAAAGGGGTTCAGGAAGATGAGGGCCCTCCTCAGCCATATGCAAGAAGCACTTGTGCTGGGTCTTCTCTCTGGCTACCCCCATGCCGTGCCTCTTCAGGGAGCCTGGTCCCAATCTTGCCTTCACCTCTGGGGCCCAAGAAGGTGTTAAGCCCCCATGGAGAAGGGGACACAGGGGCTGGGAGGGGTCAAAAGAGAGGGCTCCGTGACCTGGTCCTTCAGAGTAGGGCTTGGTGCCTACAGCAGGGTTGAGGACATGAGCCCGGAGCCCCAGGACAGAATGTCACTCGGGTGTTGGGGGTCCCTACCGTCACCTGTAAGTCCAGGAAAGTGCCTGGGGGGGGGTGCCGCTTCTTGGCCCCGGGCATTGGTGGGATGTGCTAGCACTGGTCCTACCCGCAGAGCCTGGGCGGGGTCTGCAGCGCCAACAGTGCTGCCAACCCGCAGGCGCTGCTGCTGCTGGGGGCTACCGCGCTGGCCTGCCTCGCCTTGGATCTTCTCTTCCTGCTCTTCTATTCCTTCTGGCTGTGCTGCCGACGGCGCAAGAGCGAGGAGCACCTGGACGCCGACTGCTGCTGCACCGCCTGGTGCGTCATCATCGCCACGTTGGTCTGCAGGTGAGCGGGGCCGGGCGGGGTGGGGCCGGGGAGGGGGCAGGAGACGGGTTGGGCGGGACGGAGGAGCGACAGGGCTAAGTGGAACCGGGGTGCTGGGAGTGCGGGGCGGAGAGAGGGGCAGGGCTGAGTGGAGGCCTGACGGAGCGGTGGGGCGAGGGCGGTGGGGCGGGACTAGGGCGAGGGGCTCCCAACCCCGGAGGCGAGGGGCCGCGCCCTCACCCGCCCCGCCCCGCCCCGTCCAGCGCCGGCATCGCGGTGGGGTTCTACGGCAACGGGGAGACCAGTGACGGCATCCATCGGGCCACCTACTCGCTCCGCCACGCCAACCGCACCGTGGCGGGGGTCCAGGACCGCGTGAGTGGCCGCCCGACGGGAGGGGAGGGCTCCCTCTCTGCTCCTAGACCGCGAGTCTGCGTGTGCCCGAGGCTTGGGAGGAGGACCGGTGGAGCAGCCGAGGGTGGGCGTGCTCGGGAAGAGCGCGCGAGCGGGAGCGTGCCCCTGCTCACGCTGCCCGCCATCCTGGCGGCAGGTGTGGGACACAGCAGCTGCTCTGAACCGCACAGCGGAGCCCAGCCTGCAGAGCCTGGAGCAGCAGCTGGCTGAGCGCCCCGAGCCCCGGCGTGCGGTCCAGCGGCTGCAGGGCCTGCTGGGGAAGCTGCTGGGCTACACGGCTACCATTCCGTTCTGGAGGAACCCGGCTGTGTCTCTGGAGGTGCTGGCTGAGCAGGTGGATCTCTACGACTGGTACAGGTGAGGCCCCCACTTTGCCCTTACTGGCTTAAGCATTTCCCACTGTGGGCCGGACATCTTATGGTGGGAGGGCCCCAGACCACCAGTGGCCACTGTGTCAAGAGTTCCTCTTACAAGAACTGCCACCAATCCCCATAACCCAGAACTGCCTGTGCACACCCCTCTGAGCTCTGCCACAGCACCCCGTCTGTCCCCCTGGGGCCTGACCCACACCTACCCTGTGCTTGCAGGTGGCTCGGCTACTTGGGCCTGCTGCTTCTCGACGTGGCCATCTGCCTGCTGGTGCTGGTTGGCCTCATTCGCAGCTCCAAGGGCATCCTGGTCGGGTGAGTCTGGGCCCTCCAGGCATAGGAATCTGATGAAGCACCCACTGCTCCTGCTCCCCAGTCATTCCGCTCCCTCCCTTGACCCCGCCTTCAGGCTCCAGTCACAGGGTCTGTCAGAGGATGGAGCTTCCCATGGTGAGACCCTGCTCTGACATTCCTTCTGCTCCCTTGCCCTGCACCCTGTGGTCAGCATCCTAGGCATGCTTACTCCAGCAATCCTCGGTTTCGTGTTGTGGTGCTCCCGAGGGGTAGTGCATATGGTAGCCCTGAGACCTGAAGACCTTCCCAGGTGACCAGGTTCAGGCTGGGGGTTCTTTTCCCTACCCCCTATTTCCTCCCTGTAAGCAGTCTGGCCTCAGTCCTAACCTCCCTCTTGGAAAAATGTGGTAACAACTCATCTGCAGGGTAGCTGTGAGGTGTTGTCACTATTCCTCACTGAAAAAATTGAACAGTCATGTCCTGGCTCCTAATTTAGCCAGGTGTGGGTGGGGACAGTGAACGGGCAGGCCCCAATCTGTATGGCCTTCACAGGCTATGACGTGGTGTCCAGGTGATAGTGCTGCGGGAAAGTGAAGCAGTTAGTGGGCAAGGCAGTTTACAGTGCACACTGGGAAGGGGCCACTGAAGGGGGGCCTGAGGGAGCCAGGGACATTCAGACAAGATGAAGGACTTTTGACTGCAGTGCGCCAGCCTGTTGGGGGGTGGGGGGAGGGTGTGAGGAATAGCAGGGAGGCAGATGAGGGCAGGCCTCATCTGAGGGAGGGGTCAGTGTCACAGGCAAGAACCCTTCCTGGTGGTCTGAGATGGCAGTCTGAGGGGTCTGAACACAACAGGGCCAAAATGGAAGCCAAGACCTCTTGTCTGCCAGGAGAGGACTAGGGATTGGAAGGTTGGGGGCCCAGGAAGCTACCTGGCTTCCCAACCATGCCAAGACCTGCCTTCCCCTCCCAACTCTGAGCTCTTTGAGCCTCCACCCCAGCCCATCCCAAGTGGAAGGGAATCTGTTTGTGCCTGGCCCTCTGGTGTCTCTATCTTAAGTCAGAGCATGGAGGGACTGCAACCCCTATGTGGGCTGGACCCCCAGATGTGTCCTGGGAACTGACCCTTTGGCCTGCAGCTTGGTGAGTGGCACATCTCCCACCCCCTGCCTGGGGTAGATGCTAATTGGTTGTCTTTGTCCCCAGGGTCTGCTTGCTGGGAGTCCTGGCCCTGGTCATTAGCTGGGGCGCCCTGGGCTTGGAGTTGGCTGTATCTGTGGTGAGTGGTAGAGGGGATGGGCAATTTCCATTTCCTGGACCAGGTGTGGGGAGCTGGGGAAACCACACTTCTCTTCTTCCATCTTTCCCTGGGACACTGAGGTCCTTAAAGGGTGAGGACCTGTCTTGGCCCTCCCACACATTCATCCTCCTGAGCTGAAAGCAGACCCTGGGAAATTAGGCTCTATCCCCAAGAGCTGAGGGGTTGGGAAGGCTTAGCTTGGTTACCCCATCTTCCTTGCCCGCACCCACCCTAGGGCTCCAGCGACTTCTGCGTGGATCCTGACACCTATGTGACCAGGATGGTAGAGGAGTACTCGGTGCTGAGTGGGGGTGAGTCTGCGGCTGCATCCGAGCTTGCTGGGCTGGGGAGATCCAATAAGAAAGGCTGAGGCATCCTCACCCTCGTGAGCCCTGCTAGATCAGGAAGCTAGTGAGCACTCAAGAACACCATCGACAAGTGGGAGGCTCTGGAGAGAATAAGGCAGGTGACAGCTGGGAATCGGAGGGGAGCACATGATGGGGAGGAACAGGGGACAGTGGGCTGCCTCAGAGCAGTGGTCAGAGTGGCTTGCCAAAGAGGTAGCATTAAAATTGAAACAGGAAAGGCTGTACATCTTGTGCAAAAGCCCTGAGGCAGAGGCAAACCTGATGTGTTCAAGAGGCAGAAAACAGACCAGTTGGAAGAGGAGAAGGTGGGGAGGCCAGCAGGCCAGGCTTTGGCCAGGAATTCAGGCCTTATTCTAGAGGTGCATTGGAGGGGGGGAGTAGTGGAGGGCCATAAATTTACTCTTAAAACCTTCTTTGGGCTGTTGGAGAGATTGGGGGACAGGTTAAGGAAGGATGCCGGAGGAGACCGCAGTGGAACAAGCCAATGGACAGGGCTGTGCTGTGAAGGGGAGCCAGTGGGACTTGCCAGTAATGTCAGGGAGTGAGGAATCGGGGACTTCAGTCCCTAGCTTGAGAAGCTGTTGTTGCAGTGACCATGAACTGAGTTGGGGAGCTGAGAGTAGATCTGGGGGTAAGGTGACACATGCTGGACAGCAGGGAGGCAGGTGGATGTGGCACTGTGCAGCTCAGGGCACACAAGTGGAGAATGTGAAGCTCATTGATTTCCCTGATACAAGTACAAAGAGAGAGCAATGGACAGAGCACTAGGTAGCTTTAAAACGCCAGCCCTCACAGGCACTGTCCCTCCCATTTCCCCAGGAAAGCCACAGGGGTGGGCACGTAGGCTTTTTTGTGTGTGTGTGTGGAAGGAACCATTTCCACCCAAGCTCAAGGAGCCCCAGGAGGGTGGGTTGTCTCCTCCCCACTGGGACAGGGGCAGTCCTACTCTCTGGGGGCTGGTGATTGTTGTCCCTGCTGCTGGCCTTGGCGCTATCAGTTGGGGCTCTCAAGGTCCACACTGCTTGGTGCTCTCAGGACTTCAGCAAACACACGTAGCCCCAGCCCCAGGTGAGTGTGTGCTCCTGTCTGTGGGCCACTGTCCACTCCCCAAAGGACCAGAGCACCCATGAGATCGTATGTGACTCCATTTACAGGTGGCTAAAGCCAAGTGTGGTGCTTTCTGGAACTTTACAACATAAGTTTGATGGAGCCCAGACCCCGGGTCAAGGGCTGCTGGTGTGAGAAGTTACCCTGGAATATGGTTGACCCTGCCTTCTAGCTCTTGTCCCATGCCTCTGTTCGGCACTGGGACTTGGAGGTCCCCCAAGAAGGGAATCTTTGGTGTTGAAGTGAAGGGCACCCTTAGGGTCCGGAGAGCAGAGTGGGTGGCAGGCAGTTGGGTTCCAGGGCACCTCCCACAGCTCCAACTGGGCTCAGGTCTCGCATGACTTTCAATGTTAGCATCATAAATGAATCCCATCTTTCATTGTTAGACACTGACTCCATGCCTGTCTTAATGGGGGTGAGATAGACCTCACACTCTGGATTTAGTCCCTTCTTGGTGTGATGCTCTGGCTAGAGAACTGCCCAGGGGTGACCCATGTATGGATGCTTGCCCACCCTCTGCCCTGTCTGCTGCTTCAAAGGGAGAAGTACAGGACTTCCTCCAAGAGGGGATGGTGCATACCACAGAGACATGGCTTGGAGCAGAGGGGCTGCGCCCCGCTCCAGCCTCCCTGGGGGCCATTCCCCCCGCCACCGCTGTGACATACACAGATATATACATATGTGCATGTGCACATACATGCAGGCATGACACATATACTCATCCAGATATACACTCACATACAGACACACAGGCTGCCAGAGCCGCTAAGCCACCCAGACCTCTCTCCACAGACATCCTGCAGTACTACCTGGCCTGCTCGCCCCATGCCACCAACCCCTTTCAACAGGTAAGAACTCAGCTTGCTTCTGTCCCTGTGAAGTGCCTGGTCCCTGCGCCTGGTCCCTCAGGGCTGGGAGTAAGAGCAGCGCCTGAAGCTCATGCCTATTCACATGTGCATGAAAGAGGTGCCTCATCAGAGCCCTGGCACCCCCGGAGCCCTTGGGAGACGGCTCGGTAAACATAGTGTTGACATCACTAATGGCCCCTGGCTACCACCTTAATTCCCTGGGCACAAGCCTTTGGGGGCTTATTTAATGTCCCTGGGGTCCCCAGGACTCCTTTAAGTTCTCCGCGGGTCAGAGCCACTGGCCTGATGAGTATGGAGGGGTTCAGAGATGCCTCACTGTGGGACAGGTCCTGTGCCCACTCTGGAGTTGCTCGATAAATGAAGTATAATTTGAAGGAGAACCCGCTAGCCCACTGCCTGTCATTCCACATGACTGTGTAGCTTTCTGGGCTCCCAAAGACTGTTCACCAGCTATAAAGACGCCATACTTTTTGAGCGTCCTTATTATCTGGGATGTATGGGAGCAGGGGGGAGTGTCCCCAGAGCAAAGTGCTGTGTACCTCCGCTGGTCCTGGCACAGCTGGTGCACCACAAGAGCCTCTGTGGCCTCAGACTGACCACCCTTTGGACTGGCAAAAGTCTGGGGTGCTGGAACTTGCCTGCCTTGTTGTGAATGATGGGGGCTCAGGAAGTAGAGATAGCTGCCCCAGGCCCCCACACTGGAATCAGTGTCCTTTCTGTGGTGCAGAAACTGTCGGGCAGCCACAAGGCGCTAGTGGAGATGCAGGACGTGGTGGCCGAGCTCCTGAAGACGGTGCCGAGGGAATACCCAACCACCAAGGTGAGGGACTGTGGGGAGAGGGATTTGGGGGGTAGCAGTCCCATGCAGTGCAGGCATACCTTTTCCTGCTTCCTGCTGGGAGACTATCCCTTTTTCTTCTACCCGCTATACAGTGATTTCTTTTTAAGTCCCTTCATCTTTCCCTATATTTTCCCTGGGGACTTTTAGTAAATTTTTAAACATAATTTTGTTCTTTATTTTGAAATACAGACTTTTTGTGTTAAAAAAATATAAGACTTCTTACCAGCTCCCAACCAGGGCAGGTTCTCAGGGCAGGTTTGAGGGGTTCGGTCAGTGGCACACCCCACGGGCTGCCCGCTATGGCCTGGGTGTGCCGTTGAGGTTTGTGTCATACACTCCACCATTCACATGATGGTATGATCGCCTCATGACATGTTTCTCAGAATACGTCCTGGTCAATAAGTAACACAGAACTACAGCCTTTTTCTGTGGTATTCTGGGGCCTGGGCTATTATCAAACATGCCGCCCTGTGGGCATGACTGGAATTCAAACCCTTATTCCATCAGTGGCAGGCCCTTCTCCAACAAATTCTTCACGGCTGTTAAATAAAAAGCACACACAAATTATTTTAAAGCTCTTCCTTCATATTTCTGTTAGTCAGGGCATCCTGGTGATGTTTTGTACTTGAGTGGGTAGGTAGTTTCAGTTTGCTCCAGCCACCACTGCACAGCACCACTCATCAGGTGGCTTGATCAGCTGATTCCCTGGCAGTCTGGAGGCTGAAGTTGAGATGGTGAGGCACAGGTGCCGGCAGGCTGCTTCCTTCTGAGGTGTCCCCCAGGTATGCGGCTGGCTGCCTTCTCCCTGTGTCCTCACACATCCTTCCTCTGTGTCTGTGTCCTGATCTTGCAGAGATACCAGTCAGTTGCACTGAGGTCCATTCATAGGACTTTATTTAACCTTCATCACCTCTTTAAAAGCCCTTTTTTCACATACAGTCACATTCTGAGGTGCCAGGGGGCAAAGACGCATGTGGGGGCACACAATTTAGCCCATAATTCTTAAGTCGTGGTACCCTAAAGGCCATTTCAGGGTCTCAGAGGGTTCCTGGACAATGTCAGTTTGGGTCTGACAGCTGCCACTGTCAGCCCCAAAGGACTTCTGTGAGATTACCTTTCCATGGGGTAGATGTAGACGGAGGCGTCCGTGTACACACACGCGCGCACGTGCACACACATACACACACTCACTCTCTCTCTCTCTCTCTCTCTCCACATACAGTGCAGACATACACACTGTGGGATTGGCACCAAGTGCTTTGGATACTGTTTTGTCGCTTAAAATATGAAAGTTTTCCCTTGTTTTTAACTGTTCCTTAAAACTATCATTTTTTTGCAAGAACCTGTCCTGTGTCAGGATACACGTGGTAGTTTGCTGTCCCTCCTATTACCATAAAGGAACCACACAGTGGTGGTCACATTGGACAGATATTTGTGGGTCCCTCTGTCCTTGTGTCCTCACAGTCCCTGTGCAGGTCTAGGGTTACCATTTTTAAAACCCACAACCCTCAGGGCCTGTGTGGAGACTGCAGGGGTCCAGGCTTGTCTCGTGGGCAGGGTTGTGGGGTAGACAGAGATGCGAGGGTTCCCAGGGTAGGAGCTGTGTCAGGCTCAGGAGTCTTCCTCCTGAGCGTTGGCCTGACCTTGTATGTTATGTGCCCCCAGGACCCCCTGCTCCGTGTCCAGGAGGTGCTGAATGAGACAGAGGTGCACCTACAGCACCTCACTGCCCTGGTGGACTGCCGCAGCCTGCATCTGGTGAGAGCTTCCCCTAAGAGCTGGCCCCTGCAGCAGGGATGGGGGCAGAGGGCAATGCTGGGGGCAGGGTGGCTGCTTAGGACAATGGGGACTCACCCACTGGCTGGGGTGGACCTCAGCGCAGCCTCAAGTTGGGGCAGTCCAGGCCGCTGTGGGCAGCGCTGAGCCCGCAGCAAGTTCTCACCCTGACTTCCTTTCTCTCCCACTTTCCATCTGTCACCCGGCTTCAGGACTACGTGCAGGCCCTGACAGGCTTCTGCTATGATGGTGTCGAGGGCCTCATCTACCTGGCCCTCTTCTCCTTTGTCACAGCACTCATGTTCAGCTCCATCGTCTGCAGCGTCCCACACACCTGGCAGCAGAAGAGGTGAGGGGCTCGGAAAGGTCCTGGCGCCTGTCCCAGGCCACACAGCATACAGGATGTTTTAGGGACACCTTCTGGTTTGCCTTATGGACACCCCATGTCCTAGTCCCCAGAGGCATGAACAGACACCTTCTCACCTCTCAGCCTCTTCAGTGATGCTGAAGGGAGTATCTGGTGGGTCTGAAGGGAGTATCCCATCTCACAGCTGGAAAATTCAGCCTGGAAGCACTTCCAGCCCAGCTGACACATGAGTCTGGAGCAAACAGGAGACCCAGGGTCTCCTACTTCCTCATTCTGCTTCTGTGCTGATGCCCTTCCTCACTTCTGACTAGCCTCAAAATGTCTCATCCATCTCCCCAGGTGTGCAGGGCTGAGGGTGGAGAGACTCTCTGACTCACTGTAGGGACTTGGAACTCCTACAGGGAGGGCCCTAGGTAGCTGTGGCCTCCATGTCCCACTCAGCTGGGCAACCAGGCTGGCACCCTTGCCTCAGTCTCCCCAGTCAGTACTAGGCTGAGTGATGTTGGAAGTACCAGGCCTCTTCTCTTGCTTGGGTCCTCACAATGCGTCTCCAGGACCTACCACCAACCTTCGAATTTGGGGTACAGTTGCTTGTTGGTGGCCCAACCTGCATGGCAAGTAGCTCAGCTCAGAACTCTTTTCTTGGTTTGACTTTCTGCTCTGTTATTTTCTGTTGATGATAGTGATGGCTCTGGTGGTGACAGTGGTGGTGGCGGTGATGGTAATGATCGTGGTGATGATGGCAACAATGATGGTGATGATGTTGGTTGTAAGGGTTAGCAGTGGTAGTAACAATGGCAGCCATTAGCTAAGAGCACAGCCCTGGAACCACATGACCTCCCCTTGCATTTTGGGTGACTGCAGACAAGTTATTTTTACTACCCTGGTCCTCAGTTCTCCTAACTGAAATGGGGTTGTAAGAGAATACACCTCCAGGATCGGTGTATACCACTGCATATAAGGGCTCAGCCCTGGGCTTGGCTGATAATCAGCACTCAGCTTACCTCACTACAAGGACCGTGGTGAAGGAACTCTCTGCCCAAGGTCACCCGGCTGGTGTTGGGGAGTAGACGTGAACTCAGGTCTGATCCACCAGTGTCCTTACACCAGGCAGCCCAGCCTTGAGTCCCATGTAAGCCCAGGCATGATAAGCCTTGGGAGTGCAGAGGGAGTCCTAGCCCAGCTGCCCCGCCTCATCTTGCAGCTCCTGAATGGAGTAAACAGCAGAAAACCAGAGGGGAGTAGAGTAGGGAGGACTAGGCTGAGGCCACCCAAGGGTGCAAACTGGCCTGGGACTCAGGCTTTTTGGAGGAACACCTGCCTCTTGAGGCAGGTGGGTCTAGGGATTCAGATCTTCTGGGGGCTCAGGCCTTTGGGGGCTAAGCTAGGCCTGCAGAGCCAAAGGCAGGTACTCCACCTCCAAGCACTTCCAGAGTCCCCTAGGAGGAACTGTGACCCCTCTTTAAGCAGTATACCCATGTGTAGGCCCTGGCACAGGGTCAGCACCCCTGTCTTACAAAGCCCACAGTCCCTTAGTGTGGAGGTGACTGAGCCAGGATTGGAACCAGCTGTTTCCACACCAGACCCACCCCCACCCCCTATGGGTCTTGTGGCAGCTACCTCCAATCAGGCCCTGAGCCTGTCCTGGGTATCCTTTCCTGCAGAGGCCCGGACGAAGATGGGGAGGAGGAGGCTGCCCCAGGGCCTCGGCAGGCACACGACAGCCTCTACCGTGTCCATATGCCCAGCTTGTACAGCTGTGGCAGCAGCTATGGCAGCGAAAACAGCATCCCAGCCGCGGCTCACACTGTCAGCAACGCCCCGGTCACTGAGTACATGTGAGTCCTGTAGTTGGGCGCCAGGCAGGACAGGCAGAGCCAAGGCCCAGGGCAGGGACTGAGCAAGGGAGCTCACTTGGGGAATTGAGTGGACCCTGCAGGCCATGAGCTGTGGCTGACAGTGTGGATTCAGCCTGGGATAGTGAACGAGAAGGGGGAGGGCTGGAGTAGCACTGGTGCTGTAGCAGCAGAGGCCTACGCAAAGCCTAGGAGAGGTCACAGGCAGCTGGAGGGAGAAGGGGCCAAGAGACAGCTCAGGGGCTGCCCAGGCTTTGGGTGGGGCCAGCCTAGCATCACTGCCTCCTGCTCCCAGGCACACTTGAGTCAGGCTACTCAGTCAGGGAGAGGGTCTGGTCTATGGTGAGTGGGCACCCAGGCAGAAGAGAGCTCTAGTTGTACTGAGGTAAGCAGGTAGGCAAACTTGGACCCACTCCAAGCCCCTTGCTATTGGGCCAGGTTCATGGGACCCCTCCAAACCCTTGCTAGTGGGCAGCCTATAAGGTAGTGACCAGAATGATTGGGATGGACATGGAGTCTGCCCAGCTCCAGTGTGGGCCCTTTCCACCCGGAGCTGGGACCACAGTGGGCAGCCGTCGCTCAGCCCCTTCTCTCCTCATGCCACAGGAGCCAGAATGCCAACTTCCAGAACCCCCGCTGTGAGAACACCCCCCTCATCGGGCGTGAGTCCCCGCCGCCCTCAGTAAGTTTTGAAACAGGAGGCTGGGTGGGGGGCCTGGGCCCTGAGTAGGGGCGCTTCTCTCCTGCCTTGGTGGTCTGATGTGGCTCTCAAGGGCACTGCAGGCCCTGCAGGCAGCTGTGAACCTCCAGTGCTAGGGACCTTTGAGTGTCCAGCATGAGTAGGGGCTGGTGGACTCACAGGATCCTCTTAGCTGACCTTGAGGCATCTTGGGGCCAGAGTGGGCAGTATGGGGCCAGCTGCCTGGCAGGTCAGCTAAGCTCCGAGAGGCTCTTGGAAAGGGTCCTGACACCTTCCTTCCCAGTCTTGCATCTTTTCTTGACTCTTCCTGGACACAACCTGAGTCTCAGCCTGAAGCTGTTCCTGCCCTGGCATAGAGTATCCTATGCCCTGAGGGTGATACTTAGGGGTGAGGCACAGAGAAGAGGGAACAGGGTGGATTAGTACCACAGACAAGGAGCTTGCAGAGACTGGGGGTCCTGGCAGGCTTTCTTGGAGGTGTGGGCCACAAAGGACAGGGCCAGAGGCTGAAGGTTACCTTGCCTCAGAAATACCCGCCTGCATGGTCGCCCTGTTGTGCTCTGCACAGCAGAGCTGACCTGGGGTGACCTGAACCAGGGGCTGTGAGGGCTCCCACACTGTCCCATCACACTCAAGCTGCCCTCATTGACACTGCTCCGGCCCCCTATGGCCTGCTCCAGGCTGGGCCCTGTGCTGGCGTTGAGGCCACACTCTCTCTTTCTCTCTCCCTTAAACCCCTCCTACCCTGGGCCCTCCTAGCGCTATCTGGCTGCCCTGGACTCTGGCAGCCATGCGGGCTGGCAATTTAAGCCCATGGACAGTGCCCGAACGCTGTGGTGGCCGTGCCCTCAGAGTGACAGGTACTGACCTACCTCGGGTCCCCTGCCTGCCCGCCTGCGTCTCCATGCCTCATGCCCTCGCTCACTGCTACCTTTCACCAGTGCTGACCTTGGGGCCCATCTGATGTGCTTCAATGCCAGCTCAGCACAGCACCCACTGGGCAGCTCCAGGCCAGTGCAGGCCCATGAACTTTATGGCCCCAGCCTAGCCTCAGACACCTCTAGTGCTGCTGGCCCCAGACCTGTTGCCCTCATATCTGGGGCAGTGAGGCCCCTCCACAGAACCCTCCCCACTCCCAGCCCAGCTGCAGGTGGCCCTAGCCTGTCTTGTCACTCCCACACAGTTACCCATGTGTGTCTGCACCCTAGTGCCTGGGCTTGGGGGAGGTGAGCACAGGTGAGCTCAGACCCTGGGGTAGAGCCAGCAGACCTGGCCTTTGAGGTGCCACCCTGCATGTCTGAGAGCACATACAGGGGAGTGCATTCGAGTGCACAAGCTGCTCTCCACACCCTCCTGCTCCCCGACCCCTCCTGCATGTCCATGAATGGCACGGCTCCCTGGTGCCCGCTGCTTCCCAGCACATCCCCTGTGGTCACTGCAACCTTCTCCCTGCCAAGTATTCCGGGAAGGCTCTCAGGGACCAGGGGACATTGTCCCTTATGATCTGGAAACTGTGTGTGTGGTGTGGGGACATGAGTTGCTGGAGATGGGTGGGGTCAGCTTGTGACTCCGGGGTCAGCTAGCCAGTTTCCTTACCACTGGCAATATTGGTACCTGCCTTTGTCCCAGTAGGCGTGGGACCCTTTACACACTGCCTGGCTCTTATCCTGGCCCTCCACTGGTGTTCATCGTGAGCACACTCACATGTGTATGCTCTACTCAAGGCCTCCATGCTTCAGATTGGGTGGTTACAAGGTGGTCGAGATGTGCAGGCCGCCCTTGCCCCCAGCTGCCTCTGCCCCTGCATCCATGGAGGAGTCCACAGTTTGGTTCCCAGCTGAGTAGGCATTAATATTACCTAACCTGAGGGGTCTGTGTAGCTTGGGGTCCTCCTTACTTGGGGGCTTGGGGCAGAGCAGTTGTGAGAGACCTTATCACTCCTTGTACTTGGATCTATGGCCCTGCCAGTCAGTTCCTCAAGGACCATGAAGCTTCCTTGAACATAGCCTGACCCCACCTTTGCACCTTGGTTGGCTTCTTGCAGAGGGAGGAGGCCTTGCTGTGGCCTCAGCCTAGTTCTGGTAGGCAGCTGGAGTGTGGTCTTTCAAGGTCCTGGGTATGTGGGGTACAGTTGGGGAACCTGCAAGTTCTGGCTTTTGGGAAGGCAGAACTCTGCCTGGCCTGGCCCCCAAATACCAGCAGTGGGAATGGGGCTGAGGTGCTCAGCTTATTGGGGAAGAGGTTGTTCCCTGTCCTGAGTCCGGGGGCCTGGGGACCAGACCTCTGCTCCTGAGGCCAGCTCCTGCTCAGGAGTCCAGCTTTGCAGCTGTGCCACCGTACTGTCCTGTCCTGCTCCTGGGGGTGCTCTGGCTCACCCCACTGAGGCCCTGCTACGCTCAGTGCCTTGCTGACCACCTGCCTCCCCTTGTCTTCCTCCAGTACACCTCCAGCATGAGAGCCAAATACCTCGCCACGAGCCAACCTCGCCCCGACTCCAGCAGCAGCGGCCACTAGACTGCCGGCCAGCTACCTGCCCATGTGCCAATCACCCTACTCCTCCCTGTGCCAGCACTGCCGCTTACTCCGTGGCCATCCGCCGGACCCTCCACACCTACGCCAGGCCCACTGTGGGCACCTCTGCAGCCCCCCTTCCCTTCCTGCAGGGGTGTGGAGATACCCAGCATGAGTCCCAGGCTGGTGGAGACACAGGTCTCTGGCCCATACTCTGTCCTTGGGTTGCACACCTGGACACCCGGCCCTCCTGTCCTCCTCTGGGCCAGGCCCCCCAGTGCTGTGTCCCTGATGCTTCCTCTGCAGCACGTTCACCTTCTGGACCCCACAGTCTCCATGGCTCACCCTCACCTGTGCTTCCCTCCTGCAGCTGCTGCTTGTCCCTCACCTTCGATGCTTCTGCGCATCCCCTTCTTAGTTCACAGGCACCGGCTTCTGAAGGGACAGCAGCGTGTCACTGTTCGCCCTCCTGTGGCACCTCCATGAGCCTCTGCAGCTTCTCTCACCCCACCTGACCACAGGTCCCCATCCTACAGTTGCCAGAAGCTTCCTGGGGGAGTGTCCATTTTCTCTGCCCCTCCCAGCATTATTCTCTCCCTCAGTGCCGACCCCGGCCCATGGCACCAGGCCCCCAAAATGGCAGGACAGATGTTCCATGCCAAGCCCAGGTCACTTGCCCAGTGCCAGCTCCCTTCTTGGTGCCAAATCCCTTCTCCTAACCCCAGAGACCTGGCAGCTTCCTCTGGTTCGTTTTTTTTGCACTGACCACATTTGTCATCTCTAGGGCGGGCAGGCCTGAGGGCCAAGCAGCTCTCTCTCCTCAGTTCCATTTCCACCAGGACGGTGCCATGTCCTAGAACCCAGCTGTGGGACAGGACCGAGCTGGCTGTGACTGAGCCTTTGGCCCCTGCCGCCCCTTTTGGGACTAACCACTAACCTCACCCCAGCCTTTGCTGGCACCCTACCAGCGAATGTGACCCCGAGACAAGGCCTGGGACAGCTGGCTGGGAGTCGGACTGAAGTAGCCATTTCTTCTCGGGGTGCTGCTGGGGTGGGGCTGTGACCATCAGGCAGCCTGAAGGTCCTGGAGACCTCTCCCTGGACCGGTGCTGCCCCAGGAGGACCATGTCCTCAGGAACAAATGTCCCTGGGGCTGTTGGAGGTCCCTACAACCTCTGTCCCTCCCTGTGAAGTGGGAACAAGGCTTCCCTAAGGTGCTTTTGGCTTTAGTGTACAATGTTTGCTGAGTTTACTGCCGTGAGGTTGGAGCCACCTCCACACCAGGACGAGAAGGTTCTTCAGCCCCAGCCCTGGCCTGGCCAGCTTGAAGTGAAGAAGCCAGGCCGGGAGTAGCAGCCAGCCAAGGTCCCACAGGGAGTGGGCAGTGGCCCTGCAGTTTACAGACCTGTGGGCTCTTCCCAGAGCAGTGGGCAGTGCCCTTCCCTGCGTGGCCTGGGAAGAGGCTATCTTCCTTTCTTCCTTGAACCCATTCTTTATGCTGGTGTCTGGGACCAATAGGATGGGTGGGGTGAGCACCAGGTCATATCTTCCCCAACCTGAGGGGCAGCCTCTGCCCTGGAGGGAGTGGGGAGGGGGACAAACTCAGGGGTGTCCCAGGTGGCCTGGGTCCCCAGCCTGGAATCTGAGCCCCCAGGCATGTCCAGACCTCACCAGAGGGCACTATGGCCTGGGCCCCCAGCAGCCACGCCAACCTGCCTAGTCTTTCCTCTGGGTTCTACCCAGATTGTGGGTCAGGAGGGAGGCACCAGGGTGTCTGCCATGCCTGCTGCCACCGCTCAGAAGCACAAACTGGGCTGCCCACAGTGGCTGCGGCAAGGCCGCCAGCAATGTGAATGTACATAGCATGAGAGGCGGCACCACCCAGGAGGGGTGGCCCTATTTCGCCTCGGGAGTCCCACCGTCATGTGCTTGTGTGCCCGCCTCGTCTGTGACTTCACCCAAGTTCTCACCAAGGTTGAACAAAGGAAAAAAGGGTTCAAACCCAAGCCTCAGTCCATGGAGGGGAAGTAGGTCCTGCCATTGGGTTTTTTTTGTTTTTTTTTTTTGGTCTAAGTTTTTGGGACCTCCTTCCTAACCACCCTCATCCCAGTGAACTTCTCCACATTCACTCCCACCCCTGCACCAGTGGGCCTTGCTCCCCTTGGGTCCTGTGGCATCTTGGGGGGAATGGAGGCCTTGGGCTGGGAGAGAGGGGCCTCAGGCCTCTGATGGGCTGGGTGAGCAGGAGGTGGGTCCAGCAGGGGTCCCTGGCTGAGGGGGCTCCCTATGCAGGTGTCCACTTCCCCCAGGGTCTTCCTGGCCTAGTGTGGCAGGGTTTGGGTAGGGGGAGGGTCAGATTGGAAGCCCCTGCCTTGTCCTGCCACATCCTTCCACCCCATCTCACTATGCAATTCTAGTCCAAGCACCATTCCCTCCCTCCTCCAACACCCCAGCCCAGCCCCAAGAGGGGTGGGTGGTTGGCAGCCCCCAGGCCCCAGCTGGGGTGTGGACAGGAAACAGGGCCTTGGGGGAGGGGGGTTGTTCTGTTTAACCATGATGGTTGTGTGCCGTACCACTTTATATTTGTTATATATAATAAATCTATATGATTTTTGTTAAGCCTCTGAACTCCAGCTCCCATCCTGGCCCTTGCACCCACCCCTGAAGTGTGAGTTAGTGTCGCCAGTGGGGAACTAAGACCTGGGCTGGGTGTCATTTTTCCTCCAACCTCCTTGGGGCCATGGCTGTATGTGCTGTCGCTGTGTTTTCAGTTTTTTTAGACTGGGTTTGGGGGTTGATTTTTATTTCTTTGGGGGCTTTATTTTTCTTGGCAAACTAAAAATCTTGTCCATGTAATTTCTGTGGTTTCTATTCAGCTTGGGTTTCATGTTTTAAAATAAACACATTTTAAAAAAATAGACTTTTCCTGAGGTGTTTTGATTCACACCCAAATCTCTGGGCAGGGTAGCTGCTTGCTGGGTGCCAGAGTGCCACTCTGGTGGGGACCTACCCAGGAGACCAGGACCACCAGTTTGGGGAGTGGTGGGGATCAGGGCTGTGAGGAGTGGGACAGGTGGAGTCTAAGGGAGCAGGTCTATTGCAAAACACCCACCTGTAAGAACCTGCTCAGTGCCAACCTGCATCATTTAAGGTTAACTAGACTCCTATCCGGTGGACCCCCCACAGTGAACCTCTGAGACGGGCAGTGTGGGCACCATCCCCTTTTTCCAGATGAGTAACAACGTCTAAGAAAATTTATGACTGAGTGGCCACCCAGGGGCCACATGCAGTGCTCCCTGGAGGTGTCAACAATGCCCCTCCCCCTTCCAACTCCAGCAGAACGCACAAATGTAACTTCATAAAACATAAAAGTGACCACAAAAGATTTGATGTAGGTAAGGAAGCTGGAGTCTCCAGTGTGGCTGCTTCTAACTCTCTCATCAAGGGTTGTGGTTTCGAGTCTCGTGTTGGGTGGATGTCTTATTGCCAGAGAGAGGTATTGCAGCTACAGCCCGAGTGTGGGAACACAGGCAAGCCCCAAACACAATCACACATGTACCCAGGTGATGTGAACACAGAGGGAGCTCTGGGTGCTGTGGCCACCGTTAAGGAATGTCACCAGTTGCCAGAAGAGATAAGGAACAGATTTTCCCCTAAAGTCTCCAGAGAGAGAGTAGTGTGGACTTGCTGATACTTCATTTTTAGCCTACAGAATTGGATTTTGGACATCTGACCTCCAGATCCATGAATACATTTCTGTGGTTTTAAGCCACCAAATTTGTTACAAAGGCCATAAGAAATTGAGTACAGGAAGTAGTAAGTGTTAATGAAACGAACAGATGCGCTCCATGCAGATATGAGTCCACTTAACTGTGGCCTGGTGTCTCTAGTCCAACTGCACTGTCCATGCTGACTAAAAGGGAGGCCCAGATCTGTCACCGACCTCAGCTTTCTTTCCAGAAGTCCAGTGGTTTTTACCCCAAATGCACCTTTGAACAATTAAAGTGGAGGTACTATGGGGGTCATGTATGTCATTTTTAAAACTCCTTGGATGATTCTAATGTGCAGTTGGGTTGAAAACTGCCTCGGCCAGGCTCTTCATGGACGCCGGCTGATCTCATGACGACCACCAAGGCTTCAAAGTGAATGGCTTCAGATTGGCCAGGAAGCTAGTTAGAGCCTGAAAAGAAGGCATCTTGGAATGTCTCAAAGGCTGGGAGACCCTGCTCCCCCCACCTCCACCCAAGGTGGTTTCCCAAGTGATGATAAACTATGGATTAGGTTCTCCCAACCCTCACCCATACCCATGTGGTGATCCAGGATGACAATGCAGATAACCAGATGGGAGGAGCTAGACCTTCGAGAAAGAGAGTCTGGGTAGCAGCAAAACACTGGGATGGGCCCGGAGCTCAGGAGACAGGTGAGGAATGGGCCGCAGCTGCAGAGAACCAGGAATCCGCTCCAAGAGAGACGAGCAAGTGGAGCTAGATATGCAGGTGGTTCCATGTGGCATAACTGGGAGGGTGCCTCGCCTCATGCAAGCCCTAGAAACATTTTCCTAAAAAGGCATAGGGGCCTGCCCAGGATGGGCCCTCTACACCCTTGCTCTTGGGGCCAGGAGAATGAGCAGAGGTCTAGCTGAGAGGGATAGGGTCGCAAACATTGGAAGGTTGTCAAAGCGATTTTGCTGTAAATGTTAACTTTGAAATCAAAGTATACATTCACATTGTAGCAGGTGTTAAAACTTTTAGAATTTTAATTTTTTTTAAATAGCACTTTAATGCCCTTTATCCCATTTGTTTCCTACAGAACACCCTTTTCCATCATGCGACTTGTTTTTTAATTTAATTTCTCCCCTTGGCACTGCTATCTACATTTCATCTCTTTCTATCATCCTGCCCTCTCTGGGGGCTCTGGGATCTGTAGATTTGTCTTTTGTTAGGTAGAAACAATGGCTGCCTTAAGTGCAGTAATTATTGCCTGTTGTTTCAATCTCCTTTCAATCTCTGTTTCAATCTCCTCAATCAGCTTTCAATCTCCCTGATGAACTGTGCTCTAGAAATGACTTAGGGAAACTTTTTCTATTTCTTTTTTTTAATTTATTTTTTATTTAATTATGCATACAAAAATTGAGGTATAGGCCAGAGGTGCTGGGGGTGAAATGATTCACCAGAGACAGAGTGGGGAGCAGAACAGGCAGATTGACTAAAATACACTGCTGAGGGGAGCAGCAGTCGCGGCAGGAGAGGTCTGCTGCACCATGTGGGTCAGCTCCCTGGCTGGGAATGGAACTCACACTGCAGTGTCTGGGGATAGCTTGATAGTGCTGAGACTTAACCCCTTGTGCCAATAGAGAGGCCCAAAACTTGCTTTTTCTTCCATTTCTTTTTTAAAATTGTGGTTTGTTTGATCTTGCATTGCTTCTTTTAAGAGATAATTCTTTGTTCTCTTGAAATAGCTTTTTGGCAAGGATAATTATGCCTATCAGTAGAAAAAAAAATGAATTATCTGACAGTCACACTGTCATTCAATAGGGTGACCAGGAGTTACTTTGTGTGACTATTCAAATTTAAGCAGGAATTGAGATTTAAGATTTAGCATACCACATCAGCTACACTACACTTCAAGATAATATATGAAAGTATGTATTTTTTATATATTAATAAAGCAAAACAATTTGTCAACCCACTCATCTGAATTGGAACAATATCACCATCTTTGGTGTTTTCTCTGTGTTCTCACACTTGATAACTCTTCCCTCATGCCCAAATAAAATGAATGTTCTGGATTTTTTTAATGTCAGTTGCTTGCATTTTCTTTAGATGCTCATCCCATTTTTAAATGGTCAAATAATATATTGTTTTAATCCCTCCAACCTTACACATAAATGGGTTCATGCTTGATGTCTTCCCCAGTATGTTTTTATCCATCTAGAGTGAATTTGTGATATTCTTCCTTAATTGTGTGTGTCGCTATAGTCTTCTTTTCACTGTTGTATTGTATTCCTGGGAATTACTGTTTCACATTTTCTTCCTCCAGTCCTTTTTTAATGGACATTTGTCTCTATTTCACAGTGGTAAAACATGACGCTTCTTTAACAGACTGGTCTGTGTTTCCCAGGCACAATCACAAGACGTGCTTCAGGGCGTGTGCCTGGGTGCAGGCTGGGTGACATGGGTTTGTCTACATAAGGCTTGACTAGATAAGATCAAACCACATCTCCACATGTTTGCAGCAACTCACACCTTCAACCTCGGTATAAGAGAGCTCTCTTCAATCTTCATCCTTGCAAACATTTGCTATTTTTATGTGCAGTTTAAGCCTTAATAGGCTCCCTGAGGGCCCCTCTGGTGGCGCAAGGGGTTAAACACAGCACTATGAAGCTATCCGCAGCCACTGCAGCACAAGTTCAATCCTCGGCCAGGAAGCTACCCACATGGTGCAGCAGACCTCTCCTGTCACGCCCACTGCTCCCCTCAGCAATGTATTTCAGTCAAACTGCTGTTCTGCTCCCCACCCTGTCTCTGGTGAATCTCCCCACCCCCACACCTCTGGTCTACACCCCAGCTCTTGTATGTATAAATAAATAAATCTTTAAAAAAAAAGAGTGGATCAATATGATAAAGATATGATAAAGATATATCACAAACCAAAAACCCATATAATACTCAATGGTGAAGAACTGAAAGCTGTCCCCCTAAGATCTGGCACAAGACAAGGATGCCCACTGTCACCACTTCTGTTTAACTTACAGGTTTTGGCCAGAGCTATGAGACAAACACAGGAAATAAAGTGAATCCAAATAGGAGAAGTGAAACTATCACCATTTTCAGATATTGTATATAGATCCAAAGACTCCATCAATGTTTTTAGAAATAAATGAATACAATGGTATTCAAAAAGTAGCAGTCTGTAAGTGCCCCCCAGTTGCAAAAAAGGCTAATTCAGGCCTTTGTTGATTCAGGCCCAGGTAGCTGGTAACCACACTTTTGATCTATATCAGTTTTTTCCTGCCAAGTGCTGGGGGGTGAGGGAGGAGTCCTTACTCCATTATGAGAGCAGGAAGAAATCAACAGTCTCCCCAGGAATCTCGAGAAACACCTTCTTTACTAAGCCCCTCCTTTGCTCCCACATCTGTGGCTCTTACCTGCAGAAACACTTCTTCAGTGCCCAACATGACCTGACATGGACTCTATGTCCTTCGGATCCAGGCCCCACACTGTCACACATAAGCACTCCTGGCTTCCAGCCACAGTTTCTGTTGCCCCACAGTTCCACACCCAGCACCTCTCCCCAATAGCCCTAGAGGTCACTTACTCTTCTGCCTTCTTCCTGTTTCAGCAGTCCAGGTTAAACTCTGAGCCTCTCCTCTGAGAGGCTCTGATCTGAGAATAATGTTTTACACATGACTATTTGGTCCTTAAATAAATCTTGTTTCCTCTTCCTCCTATGAATTTGATTTCTCAGAGTCTTTGACAGTTTGACAGTTGCATTCCTTTGACTCTCCTGCTTGTCCTAGGGAAGTCTCAGCTCACTGAGTCAAACTTCTGGGCAGGTTAATGATGAACTCAAGAACCCCTAAGTGTGCAGGATCAGAGCTAGGAGAGTGAGGGGTATCTGGGTGGGAAGAAACATCCAAGATTGGAAATGGCTGGAGAAGACAGGACTGACAGAGACAAGGCCAATGCTTGAGCACTCCCAAGGGGCAAATGTTAAGAATTGGTGAATTAGAGCGCCACCGTGTGGTGATCAAGGCAGTCAGAATAGTGCCATCAGTAAGGACCAGAGAGGGAACACCCAGGAAAAGTTTTGGCCTCCTATCCAGCGAAGCCCTTTCTTTCTCCTACACTTCTGCAATTCCATTCCTTCATCAACCTCAGTTCAAAAGCCATTGCCTCCAGGAAGGCTCCCCTACTTACATAGTTGATACTCAGTCCCCCTCCTTTGCCCACCCATCATATCTTTAATACCTCACTCATTTTTGCCACATTTTATCCTGTGGTCAGTCTTATGAAATAAATAGCAACTCCTTTAGAACAAGACCAGTATCTTTCTCCCCTATTTTATTTATACTTCTCTTTGAAAAACCCAGTTATAAAAGGAGGAAGAACTCACAGTCAATTCCAAAGAAAATAAGGGAAATCCTGAAGGCACAAAAAAATTGGGCCAAATCCAGGGTGTCTTGGCTGCACAACAGCACGTTAATTTCAGATCAGAGGGTTGCATGTTCGAAGTGATATCTGGAATAGGGTTATGGATTTTCTCTTTAGCAAAACTGGGATGAAGAATTCAGTGGCCAGCCTCTTCCCATTTACTTCCAAACTTGAACTTTTCCCCTACCTTCTCAGTCCAAAGGGACTTCATATGAACAAATCAGCAATGGACAGGCACTTAAACATGGTTAAAGAGCAATCTGGAAAGAAAGAAAAACTTACAAGAGCTAACATTTACGTTCTTGTTTGCATCTTCATCAGCAATGACCTTATGTAGACTATGCTTCAAATAAAACATTCAGATGACTTTAGAAAGAACATCAAAACAGGGTATGAAGAGAATTTGTTAATGAATTAACTCTGGTGTGAAAATAGTTTTATTGGCTTTCTGGACAGACCAGGGGTAGCAGTCTCCCTGGGTAGATGTTTGTCATCTTGATGAAATCAATTTCCCAACCTCTCCCCTTCTCTCTCTCACTCATAGTTTTGTCCGTTTTCTCTGAAGTACGGGAACTACAGACCTGAGGGTTTCTGACACTGAGGAAATAGTATCTATCTGGTTGATCTTTGGCTCAAGAAGTGTGGCCTTTCCAGTACTTATCCTCCTAAAGTCAAAGTCCGCTTAATTCTTCGCTTCCTAGTCAACCTTCCCATTTACTTCGTTCTTACATCTGTTCCTTATGAACTCATTCCTACTCATGTTCCTTTTTTGTATCTCTTCAATCAAGACAATGGCTTCTCAGCTGTGCTATGGTCTTTATTAACCGGCCAGAAAGCTTGCAACAAAATCAGCACTCGCACTCGATTTACAGATGGAGGCTTCATTATAGCCAAGAACGAAAACCACTACGGAAGATTGCTTAACGGTCCCCCGCTGCTCACCTCCAATCAATAGATACTAACATCCTTGAGGGCTTTTAAACTGCAGCTTCTCATTTTATAAGGAGACCCATCAGGTGGGAAATTATCTCCATTTTCGGGCTGCCAGCGAAGGCCCGCAATCCTCTGGCCTCGCTCCGCGAGAGCCCGGGGTCCAGGCACGGGTGTCCCCGAGCCCTCTGGGAAGTGGAGTCCTTCCGCCGGGACCCCCGAAACTGCCGCGGCGCCTCCAAGTGCGCAGATGCGAGTCTGCACGGAGCCTCGGCCTCGAGCCCATTGTCTCGCCGCAGCTCCGGGGCTGTGAGGGCGACTACGTCCTCCGCGCCTCCCTCCCGAAGCGCGGCCTCGCGGGAACCCCGCCCTGGGCCGCGGCCGGGCCCGCCGCCGTCCACGGGTAAGAGAAGGCCGGGCCTGAGCGCGGTTCTCCGCGGCCGGCCCCTCGGCGCGCGCGGCTGTGAGGCCCGCCGCCCCCGCGCCGCGCTCTCGGGAGGGGCCTCCGCGGGGAAAGGGTTGCGCCCCGGCGGCACCCCGACCCCACCCGCGGGCCCTAGAGGAATCCCGCGGGGGGGCCCCAGCGGGGTCCCGAGCTGGGCTTGCGGGCTTAGCGGGGAGCGAAGGGGCGTCCCGGAAGTGAAGTTGAAGCTCAGCCCTCGGGGGAGCGACCTCGGGCGCGGGGAAGGGGCGTGCGCGCCGGGGGATTCTGGGAGCGCGAGTCCGGGGCTTGGCGGCGCGGCCCTGCGGCGCGGAGAGCGCGCGCGCCCCCCGCTGGTGGGGCCTTGAACCTGGTCAAGCCTCCCGGAACCTTAAGGGATTTCACCTGCAGGCTAGAGAGAAAAGATGGCGTCAGTAATTAGCTTATTCCCCTTATGTGCTTTGCTCTATTAAATTTTTTTTAAGATTTATTTATGTATACAAGAGTTGGGGTACAGGCCAGAGGTGTGTGTGTGGGGTTGGTGGAGGTGAGAGGATTCACCAGAGACAGAGTGGGGAGCAGAACAGGCAGATGGACCGAAAGCATTGCTGAGGGGAGCAGCGGGCGGGACTGGAGAGGTCTGCTGCACCATGTGGGTCACCTCCCCGGCCGGGGATCGAACTCGTGCTGCAGTGGCTGCGGACAGGTTCATAGGTTGCGTCTCAACCCCTGCGCCACCAGGGAGGCCCTGCTCTATTGAAGTTTTGGGTCCTGCTTGTATTTGGGGGCTGGTGCCTGGGGTTCAGCTCCGAACGTGCAGGGGGTTCCCAGCCTATACATTTTCAGGGTCTTGGAGCAGGATTGAGGAATTGACTATATAGCAACTCCATCCATCTTGTGTTTATGAATTTTAAGGATGAACTAACTGTGGGATCTTTGCTTACGGTAGTTACTGCCACCAAAACCACAGGCCACATTATGAACATTTTGTGTTTTAGCCTCTCCTGGTAGTTTCTTCAGGGTCTGGGGTCCACAGTTGGCTACCCTGATTTCTCTCCTGATATGGCATGTAGTGACTGATCTTGGAACTCCAGAGGACCATCCTCCACATGTAGAAATTAATTTAACCTAAGTAATAAAGGCTCCAAGCAAAGTAGAATTATTTCGGAGGACCTAGAAATGTTTCAGAGTAAGTAATCTCCTAGGAGAAGCAGGAGTCAATTCTAGAGGAAGGTAAACCTAACTTAAATCTCGCTCCAGAGCTTCAGGTAGAGCCGAAAGATACACAAAGAAGCAGTTTCTGTATTGCTGAGAAGCCCATGTCCATCTCACCTGAAACAGTGAATAATAAAGTGAAATCACAGCAATAACTGGACAAGGAAGAGAAGCTAAGCATGGATTATCTGGCCATTGATATTGAGGAAGAAGGTAAGAATTACTGAAATAAACATAGACTTAAAAGAGGGGAAATACCCTTGGTGAGGATGAAAAGGTCTGGTGCTACTACATGGGAAACAGACATCCAGGAGAAGGACCCAAAGTAGAGAAACTCTCAGTAAACTACCATGTTTGGAAATACTAAGTAGACTTCTTCTAACACATTCTGTAGTCTCACATACCTCTTTCAGCATGTCTATTCTCATCCACATCCCCCCTGAGAATATTTCTTAATGCTTCCCTTTGTGATAAAAGGTGGTCACACTTTTCCACCCATGACAGATTATTCCAAAAGGTTCTTGGACCTGTGAGTTTAACTTTTTGGTCAGAGCACTTTGACTTTATTGTCTTACTCTACCCTCATCAGAGCTTTTTAAGTAGGTAGAATAGGTCTCAGGTATATAATTCAGCTGCCTTGTGATAGTTTTTGTCCTGGTGAATTTGGAAGTGGTAAGAGAAAGTTTACTCCCTTCATAGATTTTTTCCCAAAGATTTGTTTTATTTATTTATGCATACAAGAACTGGGGTGCAGGCCAGATGTGCGGGGGGTGAGAGGATTCACCAGAGACAGAGTGGGGAGCGGAATAGGCGGATTGACTGAAATACACTGCTGAGGGGAGCAGCGGGCGAGACAGGAGAGGTCTGCTGTGCTACTTGGCCAACTCCCCCGGGCAGGGATCGAACTCAGGCCTCAGTGGCTGCGGACAGCCCCTTAGTGCTGAGTGTCAACCCCTTGTACCATCAGGGAGACCCACCCTTCATAATTTTTTCCTACTCCTCCAGCCAAGACTACTGAGGATACTTTCCAGTCCCCAAAACAGAGCATAGAAAAAATGGAACCTACTATTGAGCTCCTTCCTGTTGAGTTCCAGGTGAGTTTGAGTTTAATTTCCTTACCCTGAAATCTTATCTTGGTGTTTACAGTATATCCTTTTTTTTTTTTTTTTTTCCGTTTATCTTGCTTTAGAGGTCCAAGGAAATCCAATCTGAAGAACTGAACCAAAGTTTTTTTTCCTTGAAACTTGAAGCTCTTAGGAAAGCTCAGACGAGTACATTAAATTTGGGACTAATCTGTGTGGGTGGTATTTTAAACTATGAAACTGTGATCACTAAAGGAATAAGTGTAGAGATACAACAAATGAGATCCAGTTACTAAGTCCAGAAGCTCTCAAATACTTAAAAGGCAGCAACCAGGAAAGGAGACTGAAAAGATGTGGCCAGTTAATCATGATCAACAAAGTATACTCACATGACTATCATTATAATAAAGTATGAATCTTATGAAACAGTTGACCATTTTCAATTTAAATTCAGCACATTCAGAACAACTTTAATTACAAATAGATAATAAAAAATCTAAAAGTCATGAAAGTACAGAGAAAAAAGAAGCCTCTACTAGAACAACATGATTACCTATATATATATTTAGGATATCCAGCTAAATTTCTATAAAATCTCAGAATATTTTAGGAATCAGTGTAAATTTCATACTTGAACCTTATTCCATCTACAGCACAATCAGTAATTAACATTTGGTTATCATTCAATGATTCATTTATATTAGATTTTTTTGGTAAAATATTTAAGTGGTGGAAGAGTAAATAGTATAACCTTAGGGTCAGACTGCCTGGGTCCAAATCTCAGATCTGATCCTTACATTTGCAAGTAATGTTAATAATAATATTTACCTCATATAGTTATGAGAGAGAGTTCATTGAGCGAACTTAGATTATAGAAAATAAATTATAAATGATAGCTATTATATTCCCTTACACAGACTAATATTCATGTATTTTAGAATATTATACTAAAATAGTTTTTAAAAAAGGGTTAACCTTCAGATTAAAAATCACTTCCTCTTCTAGATTGTTCTCTTTTCTCAGGGATTACCAATTCCTCTAAAGAGTATGCTTGTTTTCCAGGAATTAGTGACAGTCAAGGATGAGGAAATGGATTTTACCCATGTGGAAGTGGAACAGCTGAATTCTGCCCATAGGTACATGGGCCTGGATATGAAGGTGGAGAATTGTGGGAGCCTGGTATTTTGGGGTAAGGAAGTAATTTTGTAATGCAAATTACTTACTTTGACATAAACTTCTTCATGAAACAATGTCATCTAAAATACCATAGTTTTGCTTCAGATTCAGAGGGCCCTGATCATTGACCACTGTGAGCTCAGAATTGGGTTTCTTTTCTCGTTTGGTAACTAAAAGTTCACCATATGTGGAACTGAAAAAGGACAGCTTCAAGTTATATTGATTTTAAGACTTACAAAGCTACAGTAATTGAATCTTTGTCATGTTGGTGAATGGGTAATGTTCAGTACATGAATGGACTAAAATAGAGCAAAAGGAGACCCACACATACATTGTTAATTAATTTTCAACAGAGGCAAAAGCAATTCAATGTTAAAATGAGAATCCTTTCAATTAATATTGCTGGAACACATTGACATCCATGTGCACAAAAAAAAAAAAAAAGAAGAAGAACCACCTCAATCCATATGCCCATATAGAAAGTAACTCAAAATGGATTACACACCATAAAGGAAAAACTCAGCTCTTCCCCTCCTGTGCATTGCTTCCCTGGGTGTGTTTCCTTTATCTTTTCACATACCACACATCACTTTTAACACTTCTTTTTTTTTTTTTTTTTTTTTTTTAAAGATTTATTTATTTATTTATACAAGCACTGGGTACAGTCAGAAGCGCAGGAGGGTGAGAGTATTCACCAGAGCCAGAGCAGGGAGCAGAGCAGGCAAAAGGACCGAAGTACACTGCTGAGGGGTGCAGCGGGTGGCAGGAGAGGTCTGCGCGCCATGTGGGACCCTCCTCTGGTGGCCAGGGAGCAGCCCGGGATATAACCAGCGCTGCAGAGGCTGCGGGCATCTTTGCAACCCAGCGCTCAACCGCTGCGCCACTGGGGAGGGCCCACTTTTAACACTTCTATTAGATATATGCAGGGTTTTCCCTACACCAAGCAATTCTCTGTGACACCAGTTGGGTGTCTTATAATTTAACTCAAGGCTGATACCATCTACCTGAAAATATTGTCAGAGTCCCACAGGTTAATCAGTTAGTCCCAGGAGGCTGCCCCCTTCTATATTTGCAAGTAATAGGTTCTCAGGTTACCTGTGAGGTTATCCACATCCTCTGTCACAGACCTAAATATAAAACCTAAAACTAAAAACATCAGAGACAATTTTTGTTACCTTTTGTGTGCAAAGTTTTATTAGATATCATGCCAAAAGCATGATCCAGTAAAACTATTTGCATATCAGGTTTGCTTTGTTAGAGGTTTTTAATCTTGGATCCAAATTCTTGCTGGATATAGAGCCATTCAGATTATCTTATTTCATCTTCTTTTTTTTTTTTTTTAGAAAATAATTTTTTAAAGATTTATTTGTTTATGCATACAAGAGCTGGGGTACAGGCCAGAGATGTGGGGGGTGAGAGGACTCACCAGAGACAGAGTGGGGAACAGAACACGCAGACTGAAACACACTGCTGAGGGAAGCAGCAGGCGAGACAGGAGAGGTCTGCTTCGCCATGTGGGTTGGTTGCTCCCTGGCTGGCTGGGGATTGAATTCGTGCTGCAGGGACTGCAATTGCTTCATAGTGTGGTGCTTAACCCCTTGCACCACCAGGGAGGCCCTCTTCTTTTTTTTTTTTAAAGATTTATTTATGCATACAAGAACTGGGGTACAGGCCAGAGGTGTGGGTGGTGAGAGGATTCACCAGAGACAGAGTGGGGAACAGAACAGGCAGACTGACTGAAATATACTGCTGAGGGGAGGAGCAGGTGAGACAGGACCTGCACCATGTGGGTAGTTCCCTGGTTGGCCCAGGATGGAATTTGTGCTGCAGAGGCAGCGGACAGCTTCACAGTGCTGTGCTTAACCCCTTGAGCCACCAGGAAGGCGCATCTTATTTCTTCTTGAGTGAGATCTGGGAATGATTTACCATCTTTCATTTCTGATATTGGTACTTTGTGTCCCTGGTTTTTCTGTCCTGGTTTTCTTTGGAGTTTAACAATTTCATCGATCTTTTCAAATAACTAGCTTTTGATTTAATTGATTATTGTTTTCTGTTTTTAATTTTATTGATGGTTTTGTCTTTATTAATTTATCCTTTTGTTAACTTTGTGTTTAATTTGCTCTCCTGTTTTTACTTAAGGTAGAAACATGATCTTTATATAAGATTTTCCTTCTCTTCTGGTGCCATTATTAACTCATCAATCATTTCTGTCCATTTCCTCTGTCTCTTTTCTCCTTTTGGGACTGCAGTTATCCAGTGTTCAAGAATTTGATATTATTCCATAGATTAGATACTTTCTTTTGTTTGTTTTTCACTTTTTCCCTTTTCATATTTTAGTTTGGTAATTTCTATTGACCCTTTACAAGTTTACTGATTTTTAGTTTTGTTGACTACTGATGCACCCATAAAGACATTTTTCATCTCTGTTACCATGGTTTTTTCGTTTCTAGCATTTCCATTTGATTTTCTCTTTTAGTTTCCATTTCTCTGCTAAAATTCCCCAACTGTTAATGCATATTGTCCACCTTTTCCACAGTTCTTTTACATATTAATCATAGTGATTTTAAGTCCCTGCATAGTTCTGATATCTGAGTAATCATTGTTTCTGGTTCTTTTGATTACTTTGGTTGCGGTTTTATACAATCAGATTTGAATGAGGCTGGGGAATAGTACATGGAGAGAGGATATAAGCAAACCCCTTATAAGGTTGTTATATTAGTAACAGGCAAGATGTGATGGTGGCTGAATTGGGGTCGTAATAAGTGGAGAGGGGTAGTACAGAATGGATTTGAGAGAGATTTGGAGTTATAGGCCATGAAACTTGGCGATTTGTTTGTTGTGGTTATTAGGGTAGAAGGAAGAATTCAATATGATTTTTGAAATTCTGACATTCAACTAGAAAAAAATGGAGGGGAGCTTTTATGAGGATTAGCTGTGTTAACATATCTACACTTTTAGAATCATGGATTACACATAATAAATACTGTAATTATTTGCCATGAATAATGTTATATTCAGAACATATATTAAACTTTGTGTACCATCATATTCTAAATTTATGAAAATCATGGCAGCATTAAAAATATATTTTACTCAAACATTGGTTTTATTTCTATTATGAGATAAAAAGATCTTAAGAAAGGTATCTTGCCCATCCCATGTTGCCCCATTATTTGTATTATTTGTGTACAACGCAACTTATACAGTATATATTTAACATGTGCTTGCTCTTTGCCAGCACTATGATAGACCCTGAGAAATACCATGAACAAAAGGTGTGATTTCTACCCTTGAAAACTAACCTTTTGGTTTTAGAGTCCAAATTCTTACCTTAATGTCTTTGTCAACAAGAAAGATGGTGGTGATATTTTCTCACATGGTGAAATTTGGGGAATGTAAATGTTGAGGGAGAAGATGAGTTAAGGTATAGAATGGTTATTTCCAATTAGTTAAATGAAGTCGATAGTTTGATATATGGGATGGGGGAGAACTATACTGGAGGTATTAATTTGGGATTATTGATACATAGAAGGGATTTAAAACCATGTACTCAATGAAGTCCTTAAAGGAGACAGTGTTGTGGGGGCGGAGGGACAGGGCTAAAGAAGGGAGCTTAAGACTGAACACTGAGAAGTATCAACATTTAAGAAGAAACAGCAGGAAAAAAACCCCAAAGAAATAGACATCAGGAGAAAAACATGGAGAGCTTAGAATCACAGAAGTCAAGAGAAAATGTTGATGTACGTGTCAATTATATCTGATGAATATAACTGGAAAAAAAGGTAGACTATTTCCAGGAGGAAGGCATGGTTAACACTGTCAAGTTGTGGTGTTGACAGACCAAATTAAACAAGGATGAATAAATGAAAAGGGGCCATTCAATTTAGGTGACAGATAAATGAATGAGTGACTCCAATGAGAGCAGTTCCAGCTGAGTGTGGGGAGAGATGCCAGGCTGCAGTGAGTTCAGGAGCAACTATGTGATGAGCGACTCTCCAAAATCTGAGAAATTTAGCTATTATCAAAAAAGAAGGAAGAAAAAAAGGAGCAAGAGAGAGAGATTGAGGGGTAAATGAAGGGAGCATGGGAAAGGAAAGCAGGAAAGAGGCAGTGACTAGTGAAGATACATTGTCATGTTGAAGACAAACAAGAAATCTGAACTAGTGGAAATAGAGAAAACTATTTAAAAAGTCAAAAATGGTTACTTCCAGGTGATATTACAATGAACAGGGTTTTTTTTTTTGTCTAATACTTTTCCAAAACTGCTCGATCTTAACCTCTTTTTTGTCTTACTCCCCCTTCATCAGTTATTTTTTGTTAATGTTTATTCTCATCTCTTCTCCTTGTGCCCTTCCCTGGGTAGTCTGTTTGGCTTTCCATTCTCTTAGGGCATCCTCATTATCTCACCTTTATTGTTCCTCATTAGTCATTCTCCCATTTCTGTTATTCCCTGAAACTTCATCATTTGCCATTGACATAAGACTCTTTCTCAGAACATTCAAATAAATAGCTTTTAACATTTTTTATTTTATCTGCCCTCTTGACATACCAGTTTTATTTATCTGAGCACAGAGAACACAAACATTTGTACCTTTAATTTATTTCAGACTCTGAATCTATTCCTGAAGCCAAAGAGTCCCTTTCAAAACAGAATGTTTATGAAGAAGTATCATCTGAAAGGGAACTGATAATAGAAAGACTTAAGAAGGATGATTTTTGGGACTCCAGATTAATAGAAACCTGGGCATGTGAAGGCACGTTAGAAAAGCAGCAAGGAAATCAGAAGGATGATTTAAGTCAAGTCATAATTAAACACAAGAAAAATCCTATGGAGGATTGTAATGAAATTGGGGAAAGTTCAAACTCAATTAAACATCAGAAAGTTTACTCAGTGAAAAAGCCTTGGAAGTGTAATGACTGTGGGAAGTCCTTCAGTTACTATTCAGCCTTTATCCTACATCAGAGAATTCACACTGGAGAGAAGCCCTATGTATGTAATGAATGTGGAAAGGCCTTTAATCGGAGCTCATCACTTATTCAGCATCAGAGAATTCACACGGGAGAGAAACCCTATGAGTGTAATGAATGTGGGAAAGCTTTCAGTCATCGTTCAGCCCTTATTCAACATCATATCATTCACACTGGAGAAAAGCCCTATGAGTGCAATGAATGTGGCAAGGCCTTCAACCAAAGCACATACCTTATCCAACATCACAGGATACACACTGGAGAGAAGCCCTATAAATGCAAGGAATGTGGGAAAGCTTTCAATGACACCTCATCCCTTATTAAACACCAAAGGGTTCATACTGGAGAAAAACCCTACAGATGTAAAGAGTGTGGAAAAGCCTTTAGTGACAGGTCAGGCCTTACTCAACATCAGAGAACTCATACAGGGGAAAAGCCATATGAATGTAGTGAATGTGGGAAAGCTTTCAGTTACTGTTCAGCTCTTATTCAACATCAGGGGACCCATACTGGGGAGAAACCTTATAAATGTAGTGAATGTGGCAAGGCCTTCAGTGACCGCTCAGCTCTTGTAAGACATCAGAGGATTCATACTGGAGAGAAACCTTACAAATGCAAAGAATGTGAGAAAGCCTTCAGCCAGAGCTCATCTCTTACAAAGCATCTGAGAACTCATACTGGAGAGAAACCATATAAATGTATTGATTGTGACAAAGCCTTCAGCCAGAGTTCATCTCTTATTCAACACCAGAAAACCCATACAGGACTAAAATCCTACAAATGTAAGAAAACTTTCAATGTCCGCTCAGCTCTTCATCGACATAAAGTAAATTCATGAAATGATGTATTCTTATCTGACTATATAAAGCTGTTTTGAATATTTCTGGGTATAGTATAAAAACAGGGAAGACTGTGCCACACACACACAAACCCTCTTCCTTAAAATGCTATTCGATATGGGAGAGGACAAAAGATATATAAGGATATTTCAGTTATAAAACAGAAATAGCTGAAGCAGTAGAGAAGGGAATTTCTAGGGGAGCTCAGAAGGAGAAAATCTAGTTTACTCAGAGAATCAGAGTTCAGGAGCTGAACGTCTAATACCCATAGAAGAACTAATCAGAGGAGCAGACTAAACATTACTTGCTCCTAGGCTATAGTAGTTTGAAATAGTAGTTTCAATCTGAAGCCAAAGTGGGGAGGATCAAGATCCCAAAGAAGAAAATTATCAGGAAGTTTCTCTAGGGAAATAGAAAAACTTTCTCTACCCCTGTACTCTACTTGTTCACTCGAATGTTTGCAAACATTTAAAGTAGTGGTTTTAATCATCTGAGAAATTTTTAAATATACCTGGGCCCCAGCCCCAGAGATTTGGGTTAAATTTAGCTGGAGTGTAGCCTAGGTATTGGGAATTTTAAAACCTCACAGGTAATTCCAATGTGCTGGCAAAGTTAAGAAACCACTGATTTAGAGTTCCAGCACAAGGATCAACTCCATGAGATAGGAGGTGACAGGATTATAGCAGTCTGTATTAGCTCCCGGCTCTTTATGTCCTTGTTTTCTGCTTACCTCCGCCTCTTGCTCATTATATAACATCTTTTTGGTCTGATTTTTGATTCCTTTGCTTGGATGTTTTTGTTTTTCCTAACTTCATGTGTACAAACACGCCTGCCTGATCCTAACTTTTGCTCTATCCCTGAACCTTGCCAAATGTGTTCCTTTAAGCTTAGTTACAGCTTTCTCAGCTACTTCTACCTAGCAGGCTCATGTATTGTACTTGCTACCCATGGTCCAATAGTGGCAAATATTAACCACTGGAAACAAGCTTAGAGGAGGATTTATATGCCAGAATCAGGAATGAAGACAATGACTAGATGACTTTCAAAGAGTTAAACTTTTGACTGCAATTGTATATTTTTTGTCTTAGAATTTCATGAAATATGGTGGTGTCCAAGAATTAATACTGAACATCAAGGGATATAGGTGGGAGGAAAGAAAAAAAAAAATCCCTATATTTTACATGAGGTATGATAATAACTTTAAGGAGATTGTGAGAAATTCAGATGATAATGTAGTCCAAGTGGAACACCCATTAAAATGTGGTGCAAATAGAGGAATTAAATTGCTTAGTAAAGAATGGTTAATCCAAAAGAAAGCAGAAGAGAGAAACAAACATGGGACAAAGAATAAACAGCAAAATGATAGACCCAAATTCAACCATATCAGCAATTATAGGAAAGAAACACTACAAATGAAACTGAATAAAGGAGCATCACTCAACTGTATCTAAATTAGTTATACTTTAACTACAAACACTGTTAGGAATTAAAAGTTTGAAAGATGAACAAAGATATATAGTAAAATTGTATATAATGATAAAGCTGGAGTGGCTATATTAATATCAGATAAAGTAGAATTCAAGAAGAGGGATATTATATATGTAGGACATTTTATCCTGATAAAAGGGTCAGTTCATCAAGGGTAATAATGGTTAAAAAGTGTAAAGGGGGGGCCTCCCTGGTGGTGCAGGGGGTTAAGACACAACCTATGAAGCTATCGGCAGCCACTGCAGCATGAGTTCGATCCCTGGCCGGCCAGGGAGCAACCCACATGGCGCAGTAGACCTCTCCTGATTCACCCGCTGCTCCCCTCAGCAGTGTGTTTCAGTCAGGTCTGTCCTGTTCCCCACTCTGTCTCTGGTGAATGCTTTCACCCCCCCATACCTCTGGCCTGTACCCCAGTTCTTACATGCATAAATAAATAAATCTTTTTAAAAAAGTGTAACAGGGTTACAATTATCGATATAATATTACTGTTTTATATTGTATGATTTATAATTTTAAGGGTTTTTTTTAAAGATTTATTTATTTTTATACAAGAACTGGGGTACAGGCCAGATGCACAGGAGGGTGAGAGGATTCACTGGAGACAGAGTGGGGAACAGAACAGGCAGACTGAAGAAATACACTGCTGAGGGGAGCAGCGGGTGAGACAGGAGGGGTCTGCTTTGCCAGGTGGGATTCTCACCGGCGGGCCGGGACGACAGCTTCACAGTGCGGGGCTCAACTGCCTGCACCACCAGGGAGGCCCTAATTTTAAGTTATTAATATATATGTGCCCAGTAGTAGCAGGACTTCCAAAATCACAAGCTAAAAACTGACAGAATTAAAGAAAAAAAATCTATAGCTTAATGGTTGGATAATTTAACACTCCATTTTCAGCAATTCATAGAACAATTAGACAAAAAATATTAAAGGTATGGGAGAGCTACCAGTGAACTGATTGACGTATGTAGAACATACAACAACCCAGAATGCATACTGTATGCAAAAATTAAATAGAGCTGCATCAGAGCTCTAAATGTAAAAACTAAACTATACAACCTTTAAAAGAAAGCACAGGAAATTATCATGACTCGAGGACAAAGATTTCTTAAGGCAAAGAAGCAGTAACTATACATTTAATAAGTACATGAAAAATGTTCCGCATCATTAGTTACTGAGGCAATGCCAGTTCAAACCACAAAGAGATACTACTACAACTCTCAAATACAACTAATTGTTACTGCTAACTGGTTTATGTTGCTGTTTAATAATGGCATTTGTGTAACATAAGAGTAATTCCAAGTAACATGTTATGTACTTACCTATTTTTCACATTTTTACATTAAAATATGTCAACAAATTGAAGCTTAAACTGCGAAAAGCAAGAGTTTATTTCAGAGGGGGGAGGGCTTAGGAATTGCTCTTTGGGAGACAGATTCAAGATGCCCTTGAATTGTGTACCCCAAATGTCTAGCAAGCACAGGTCTTGTAAAGTGAAAAAGAGGATGTTGTGTAAATTGTTCTGAAAGAACTATGATTGGTGCTAGAAGGCAGAAACTGTTCTCCATACATTAGTGGTCACTAAGTTAACGTTGGAAGGGCCACTGCTCTGCGGGGTAGCTAGCAAATCCTAGAGGCAGGCTTCAGCCATTACTTGATGGGAATGTGCTATAGATTTCGCTCTCCTCTTGGATGGAACATCGCCAAAGCTTGTATTTTACCCTGTTGTCAGAGTCTTGTCATGAGGTTACACAATTCACTCACCACAGCAGCTGCTTTATTAGCTGTCTTTTCTCTATCTTCCACACCTCTCCAACACATTTCAACACCTCTCCTTCCTTTTGCTCCCACTTACTATAAGCACACTCTTGCATTCAGGCTAAATAGGATGAGCTGATTGTATTTCTGTTCCTGCAGTCCCCTCAATACAAGAAACCCATTTGAAATTCTAATATCCTAATCATCCTAGGTTGGTACTAAAAAATCCTCTCATATTACTCAAATCCCCTCTACTTTCTACTTGATTTTATTATCTTATTTCTCCTACCAAGTCCATGTCTTCCTTTGCAGCACATCAAAACAGAAAATTCTGTTGAGAATAAGAACAAAGTTGTAAGTGGCACCCCATAAAATTGAGAAATCTTAAGTCTTGCAGGAGGAAGATGATTGTTAGATTGTTTATTGGGTTCCAAAACCACTTAATCAGTGTTTTTGTATTGCTCAGCCTGAATTGACAAGAAATACTTGCCAAATAGTGTGTCCCTAAGCAAAATTAAGAAGTTGAAACTTCCGACAGAAGAGAAAATAAGCCAATGAATGAGAGAAAGGTAAGTCCCACTTAAAAGCAAACTGGTGATATGGACTGGAAAAGCAGTTCCAGACCTGAGTATGTGGGAGTCTGGCTCCAGCTATGAAATGTTTACATAAGGCACAGCATAAGCTTATGTTTACATAAGGCACAGCTTCCAACTTTTCAGAAAGGAAGGCACAGCAACTAAAGATCCAGCAATAGGGGGTCTCCCCGGTGGCGCAGTGGTTGAACGCTGGGTTGTGAAGCTGCCCGCAGCCTCTGCAGCGCTGGTTCAATCCCCGGCTGCTCCCCAGCCACTGGAGGAGGGTCCCACATGGCGCGCAGACCTCTTCTGCCGCCCGCTGCTCCCCTCAGCAGTGTACTTGGGTCCTTCTGCCTGCTCTGCTCCCTGCTCTGACTCTGATGAATTCTCTCACCCTCCCGCGCTTCTGACTGTACCTAGCGCTTGCTTGAATAAATCAATCAATCTTTAAAAAAAAAAAAAAGATCCAGCAATAACATAAAACACACCCACCATTAGCTACATCTGTCCCAAGGGAAAGTTTTTAAAAACTAAAAAGTGAAGTTCCTCCCAAAAGCTACATTTCAGAATCAGCACAGATACAGAGTATTACCATCATCACAGGTTTGTTAGAAAGGACAGGTAGAGAGACTCTGACGACTTAGAACTTGCGTTTTGTGTCACTGTCTTCTTTACAACTAAATCAAATGGACTTCATTCCCTTTTGTAAATGATCACTGTAAAATGTTTGATTTGCTGAAAAAAATTTTTTTGGTAGAATTCCTGAGACATGAAGGAAGGTAGAATAGGGCTGGTCTACAGCCTTGCTTTGGGAGAGAGAAGCATACCTCAAGAGTGCAAGTGCAGCTTAGGGGCCCTGTCTTCCCCATGATGCTAGATAACCCCCAGGCCTAGAGCACAGATTAGCAGTGGTCATGTTGGTTAACATAGAGTAATATGATAAGAGCTCCAAACTAGCCTTCCAGAAAAGGTAAGAATGTTCAAGTTTGGCATTTTCTGTTGGCTTTTGGACTGCACCCACTATCCTTCCCTGGATAAACTGAACAATCAGTTCAATCAATCATGGTGAGGAGCTGGCCTCAACAGTCTAGAATAGTTCACTCTACTAGAAAAGGTACATCTTTTCTTGACAATACCAATGGAACTTTTTTTTGCCATATTAAAATCAAAGAGAAAAATAACACAAATATTATTTACTTACTTAAGCTAATAATGTTAAACTATAAATTAGAAAGGCTGTGTGTAAATTTAAATGACTAAAAATAAGTTACAAAGTTTGATATGTCCTTTCATTTTCTCATTTTACACGTCTGGTTTATAGTGCACTAAGTGACTACTACCCAGATTTCAGCATTCAAGTCACAACACCTGTGTGGTCTGGACCTAGTTCAAATTCATTCTCAACTTTTATCCAGGTGGCTTCATTTTTCAGCATTTCTTGGTAGAAATGAAGGAGAAATTAGATGAATGCAAATATAGATCAAATATACATGGAATTCTAAAGTAAATTTTATAGTAGAAATAGATGACTTGATAGTAAAATATGCTGTAAGGGTGGCTCTCTGAAATTTTAATTTGTGGCCAATTATTTGTGTCACTATCATAATATATTTTCTTCCACTAATGTTTCAAAGTGCATATTGCTAATATAAGTGAATCAGTACTGATGTTATTTTGGAATAATTTCAAATTCGCAAAGTCACGAAACAATACAGAAAATGCCTTTAAGCCACCTACCCCGATTCACCAAGTTAATTTTTTTTTTCACCAAGTTAATATTTTGCCACCTCTCTGTCCCATGTCCTCTTTTGGAACATCCCCACGGACACATATGGAGCACTTCCTCACGTCCCTTACATTCAGAGGCCTCAACAGAAAAAAACATGTTTCAGGCTATCAGATAGCACAAGAGCCCACATGTACCAAAAAAGCTTAGGGAAAGTTTAATGGGGATCTTTTTCAGAAACCAAGTTATCAAAGAAATTACCCTGTTTAGTAAGCTGTGCAAAGGATATACGAACCAGAATTAAATGTGTCTGGATGGGGTTTCTCTTGCCTTCCATTGTTTGAAACAGTTACAAAACTGAAACCCTAGACTCCCAGAATGGAGTCTACAAAACTCATTTTTTAAAAAAAGTAAAAAAATATAGTGCCTCTTATATGCATTGAGCTTTACAAGTGTTTTTGGTTATAAAGTATTTGGAATCCTCTTCATCTAAGTAAAAAGACAATTCTAAGTGACTAAAACACTTTCTTGGGGAGATAACTAGATGAGCAAGATCTCTTCCAAAGGCAGAACAGTAAAGAGAGGAGGAAAGAATCCGTCACGTGTCAGCCCTTGCTCTTGTCACTGCCACATAACCACCGCATCTTGGGCATGCCCCTTTGTCTCACCACTGTAAAACACAGAGTTAGCCTGAATCCTTCTTGGGAGTGATGCCCAAGAAAAATATGATAATGACTGACAGAAAGACTCCAAAAGCCAAAGAATGTAGTTTCTGGACAATGAAAGAAATATCATAAAAAAAACAGCTCAGGCAGAGCATGTCAGAAAGCTGGGACTTTATTTCTGTGGATTCTCTGGTGTCGGATAAGATGTGGACTCTGTCTAAAGCTTTCCCCGCATTCAGGACATTTATAAGGTTTTTTCTCCAGTGTGAGTTCTTTGGTGTGTGATGAGGGTTGCACTCTGGCTGAAGCGTTTCCCACAGACGGAACATCCATATGGTTTCTCCCCAGTGTGGATTCTCTGATGTTTGGAGAGGTCAGAGCACCGTTTGAAGCTCTTCGCACACTCTTCACATGTGTAGGGTCTCTCCCCTTTATGTATTCGCTGATGTCTAAAACGGTTGGAAATACGGCAGGTTTCCCCACACTCGTTACATTTATAGTGTTTCTCACCTATGTGGATTCTTTGGTGCCGCTTGAGATGCGAGCTCTGTCTGAAGCTATCCCCGCATTTGGGACATGTGTATGGCTTCTCACCTGTATGTGTCCTTTGGTGTTTTATGAGGGCGGCACTCTGACTGAAGCTCTTTCCACATTCCTTGCATTTGTAGGGCTTCTCCCCAGTGTGGATCCTCTGGTGTTTAAAGAGGTCAGAACGCTGTTTGAAACTCTTCTCACAGTCATCACACTTATAAGGCCTTTCCTCGCGAACCTGCCTCTGGGCTTCAAAAAGGCCTGGGCCACGGAAATGTTCCTCCCTGTCCACAGATTTGTGAGGTTTCCCCACTTGACATTTCACCATATCAAAACCCTGTTTGCAACTGTTCCCATGTTGGGCACCATCACTGGGTCTCTCTGCTCTTTGGACTTGCTGACAAAGAAGCAAGTTTGAACTTCTGTCGCTATTCCCAAATTCATTACTTTTGTAGTCTCTCTCTTCTGTGGAACCATTCTTGAGGCCTGAGATGCTGGCGACTCCTTGCTCTTTAGGAGAATTTTCAAGTTTCAGTGATGAGGGGTTTCCTGACTGTTTTTCTACCTCATCTTCCTGAGTATTTCCACACTCAGAGAGCACGGGCGTCTTCCAACAGGGCCCTTCTTGTAGCTGCTCCTGTGGCTCTCCTTCTAAAACTTCTTGCTTTGGAATCAACTCTTTGTTCTCAGTTCTGGTTTCCAAACCTGGGATATTAAAAAAAAAAACCAAAAAACAACCTGCTGATATTTCAACCCTTTGCAAGAGTGAAATAAACAAGTGCTAGTGGGAAAACAGCCCCCCAAAACCTTTTTAATATTCCACATGAAGCCACTCTTGAGGCAAAATTATTTTAATTAACCTGTCAGATGTGCTCACATTTGCCTGTACAAATATTCCTTTTATTCTTCATTTCTTTCTTTCTTTCTTTCTCATGCTTACGTCCACCAAGCTTTCTCTACCACTGTCCTCCCCGCCCACCCCACCAACTATTGTACAAGTCAACATTTATGAGCAGAAACTCTGGAAAGGGTGTCAAAAGGGGTGGTACAGTCTCTATCCAGAGTGCAGGATGATTTAACAAGGGAAATTTGATTCAGTGATGACCTGCATTTTCTCCAGGTAACTGCAATGTCGGGAGGCACCATTTTCAAATTAGAATCAAGTGAAAACTGACACATCATTTGGTAAACCCTCAATACCCTCTGCTCTGGTATCAAACTGTTAGCTCCAAACTCCTGGCATAAAGGGCAGGGAGTTTCATAGGCTTTAGTCTCCAGTGCATCCTAGTACCTACAATAGCACCTGGTTCATTGCAGACACTCCATAAAAATTTGTTGAATGGATCTGTCTATAGTAAAAGTTGGCAATCCTCAAAAGTCCTTGAGATACTGACAGATGAAATTCCCACGTAAAATAGTACCTGCTGACGCACCCTATATTGAAGAATCCTTGTTCATAAGTCCCACTCCCATACAGTTTCCGTCAGAAATCTCACATTTGACTATTAAATACAAAGTAAAAGTTTACTCACATTTCAGAGAAACCTCTAAATAAATGCCGATTTAACATACAATGTTTCATTTAATCAAGAGAAAATTTAATAAGCTATAATATTCTCAGGTAAATAAGAGGAGAACAAGGAGAAAGAATTTTTTTTTTAAACATGTGTTCAAGTACTGGGGTGCAGATCAGAGGTGGGGGTGGTGAGAGGATTCACCAGAGACAGAGTGGGGAGAAGAACAGGCAGATTGACTGAAATACACTGCTGAGGGGAGCAGCGGGCAAGACAGGAGAGTTTTGTTGTGCCATGTGGGTAGCTCCCTGGCTGGGGATTGAACTTGTGCTACAGTGGCTGCCGATAGCTTGATAGCGCTGAGACTTAACCCCTGTGCCACCAGGGAGGCCCGAAAAAGAATGTTTAAAGAAAAAAAAAATCTCTTGAAAATATTCATGAAAGCAGAAGTATTTCAGTGTAAGTGTTGGAAAATAAATTAAGCAGATTTCCTAGAAAGTGAGACAAAGAAATGAGGGGAAGAGAGGCAGGCTCACAGGATCAGCCTACCAGTTCTAACATCTTCAACTGAAGAAATCTCAGAAGAAAATTTTAAAATGAAGAAATACAGTAAGAGATTTCTATAAAAATTTCTTGCAAGTCAAAGACATGGGGTAGCTCTATTACAAGGGTCCACCAACTATTTAGAACAATGAATTTAAAAAACTCTTGCACTAAATGACACCCATTGTCAAATTTCATACCAGCAGAACAGTTCTGAAGGTTTCTACATGAATAGATCATACACCAAGGATAAGACATCACAATGACATCTGATTTCTCAATCTCACTGTGGCAAGCCACCTAGAAAATTCACCATTTTTATACAATGAAATATATGTGTTAAAAATTAATAACTAGAGTTACATGTAACAACATGGATAAATCTGAAAAATGTGATTTGAGAAAGGCAAAATGTAACAGAATCATACAGTGGTATAATTTATATATCAAAAATATTAAAGGGCCTCCCCTGGTGGCGCAGCGGTTGAGCACTGGGCTGCGAAGCTGCCCACAGCCTCTGTAGCGCCAATTAGATCCCTGGCCACTGGCGAGGGTCCCACCTGGCACGCAGACCTCTCCTGCTGCGCCCACTGCTCCCCTCAGCAGTGTATTTCATCAGTCTGCCTGTTCTGTTCCCCGCTCTGGCTCTGGTGAATTCTCTCACCCTCCCGTGCTCCTGACTGTACCCAGTGCTTGTATAAATAAATCAATCAATCTTAAAAAAATATATTAAAAATACTATATGCTTACATGTTTATATATTTACATGTTTATACACATGTTTAATACATTTATATCTGTATGTAAACACTTATCTATCTAGACATGTGGCACACAACAGGACATTGGCTACCCCAGGGCAGTGAAGGGAGCAGCCTCAGGGAGGGTACACAAGGCTTCCCCCATAGCTGTAATGTAATTATTTCTTTGAAGAAACAAGTTTGAAGCCAGTATGACCAAATATTAAAATAGGATAAACCCAGCTGATAGAAACATAGGTGCCCATATATTTTTTTTAAAGATTGATTGATTGATTGATTGATTTATACAAGCACTGGGTACAGTCAGAAGCGCGGGAGGGCGAGAGAATTCACCAGAGCCAGAGCGGGGAGCAGGGCAGGCAGAAGGACTGAGGAACACTGCCGAAGGAAGCAGCGGGCGGCAGGAGAGGTCCGCGCGCCATGCAGGACCCTCCTCTGGTGGCTGGGGAGCAGCCGGGGATCAAACTGGTGCTGCAGAGGCTGCGGGCAGCTTCGCAACCCAGCGCTCAACCGCTGCGCCACCGGGGAGGCCCGAGGTGCCCATATTTTTAAAAATGTTTTCTGTGTTATATTTTAAATGAGCCCAAATTAAAAGCTGTATCTTTCCCTAATGAGATGGAACTGAAAGGTGCTGCATGGGTCACCTACCTGTGACCAGTAGAATGTCTCGGGGTGGCACAGAACCAAGAACATCACACACACAGCTAGAAACAAGCCAGCCATAGCACTTACTCAGGGAGAACGTGTTTCTGGTGGAGTGCCACAGTTTTGGCGCACTCTCCCTGTAGAAGTCCCTTTGAGCTGGGTCCAGACGTTCCCACTCTGCCCAGGTTAGAGTCACAGCCACATCCTCCACCGTCACCAACCCCTGAAACAACATGAGACCTCCTCTCAGTCCCTGCTAGCCCGGGAGAGTCTAGTCTCAGGCCTAGGGGAGTCCGCAGCACTGAGAGTCAGGTAACAGCCAGGGTCACAGGGTCATTTCCAGTGAGTCCTGTACTGCCCGGGAGTTTCAAAGTGACTAAAGACAGAGGCTGGTGTTCTCTTATAATCCTGAAAAGCCATTCTGTGGACAGTCACTGCTAATTTGGGGGAGGAGCTAATACTCATTTGAGCCTGGTCACTACGATTTATCAAAATGGAAACCTGAAAGAGATTAAAAATGTACACTTACAAGAAAGCCCTACGTTCCAACACTGTCTCTGAAATGTCCTTTCCCACACCTTGACCAGTGCAAAATAAGATAATTCAGATGATCTTTTGAGATGGCTAATTTAAATGTGACTTTAAATTATAGACGTTAAAGGCAGAGTTCTTAGAAAAGGAAGATTCTAAAACTAGCAAAGGGAGATGGCTGTCTCACTTCCAGTGATGGGTTACAATCTGACCCCAAGGCTCTCTGGCTCATTGACAGGGAAGGGGAATGTATTTTTAAATCTTCTCGATATCTTTATTTAAAAAAAAACAACAAAAAAAAACCCGTCTGGCTGGGGAGACTGCGCCTTTTAATGCTAGCCAATTCTCAGAGCAAAGGGCTCCGCTCAGAGGTGGGTTCATTCAGATCCCAGACCACCTCGATTTGGCCAAGCACCCAAGAGGTAACTGACACTCCTCAGCCTTGATCATCCAGGGCCAGGGACTGGGAGGCTAGAAACACCCCTGAAATTTACAGCTTGCTGAAATTATTCAGACTAGCCAGTCCTATTCACCCTGTCCTGCCTTGCCTTTCCCTTCCAAACCACAACAGGCTCTGGCCTAAATCTTCCCCTTCTTCCTGTCATCTGCACCTTGGCCGCGCTGGTGTCTTTCCATGAGACTCTGCAAGGCCCATCAGGCCTCCTGTCTCTAGGACTGTGTATAATGAAGTTTATTTCTCCGGAGTCTCTCCTGTCTCTTTATAATGGAAAGGCACACTCCTGTATGACCCCTCTGCTCTCAATACTCTGAATGTCCATCACCACACTTCCCTTCTCACATCAGATCTGTGAGTTTTCCATTTATCAAGCAATTCTGTGACACATCAGATCTGTGAGTTTTCCATTTATCAAGCAATTCTGTGACACTAGTGGGTATCCTACAGTGACACTACCTACTTGAGATGGCATCAGGTTAAGGGCTCAGTCCTCCAAGACTGCTCTCATTTCAGATGCTAATCACAAATCCAGGTTCTCACCTGGGCTTCTGACTGACCAGCTATATACATCAGAGGTTGAAACAACCCTCCATCTCCTCCGTGAGTTGAAATAATTTGCTAGAGTGTCTCCAGAACTCAGGACAGTTTACTCACTTGATGACCAGCTTGTCGTCAATGGCTGTAATTCAGAACAGCCAGACAGATGCATAGAACAAGGTGTGTGGGAAGGGGCAGGGACTTAACTACTTGTTCTTAGAGCATATGCTGCTCCCCTGGCATCTCCACCAACTTTGTAATTCAGGACTTTTTACAGGCTCCCCCACACAGGTATGACTGATTAAACCATTGGCCATTGATGGCCTGGAGGTCTGGGGGTGGGGATGTAAGTTCCAATCCTCTACTCAAGATTGGTTCTCCTGGCAACCAGCCCCCAGCCTTAGTGGCTTTCCAAAAGTCACCTCAGTAACAAATAGCTGGTATTTAAAGGGGTTGTGATGAATAACAAAATCACCCATTATACCTTTATGGCTCACAGACAATGTTTGGACAGATAATTTGGACAAAACCCAAATTATATAACCACAAAAGATATAACCACAAAAGATGCCTAAAACTAGTTAACTAGCCTTATTTAGTTTGTAGCAGCTAAATGGGATGAAATAATAGGAAATAAAAAGTATAGGGTAAGATACACTGGCTGTCCCTCACTGAATATTTAAAGTTTACAGCATTATAATAATTGTAATTATATTGAATCTGCTTTTGGTGAAGGCGACCCCCAGTGCAAATTCTCTGTGGAACGCCAGGTGATGTTTGTTGAGTGAAAAATTTAAAAGTACCCCAGTAGACATCAACTCACTTCTCTATGTTTCTCCTTTACTATTGACACAGAATGCTTCATGTCTGCACTTCTGGTCACCAATGTGCAAGGGTTTTCCCTCCACCAAGCAATTCTGCAATGCCAGCTGGGTGTCCTATAATTAATTCTGACAGTATCTAGCTGGAGATAGCATCAGATCGCACAGCTTAAAAGCTCAGTCCCACAAGACTGTCCTCCCTTTCAGATGCTAATTATAAGTAGCAGGTCCCAGGTTACCCATTTCTGCTCAACTTAGCTACAAATGGAGGTTCCCATGTCCCTCTTCCTCTCCCCCCACAGATTATTTGCTGTAACAGCTCACAGAACTTGGGGAAACACTAATTTAGGCTTACTGTTTTATCATAAAGGATATGATAAAAGATACAAGATGAAGAGATACATAGGGTAAGATCTGGGAGGGTTCCAAGTGCAGGAACTTCAGCACAGGCACCTCTAGTTTGGGAGTGTGCTACCATCCAGACAGGTGGGTGTGTTCACCTATGGTAGCTCCCTGACCCCATACTATTGGGATTTTCATGGAGTTTCATCATGTAGTCATGATCAATTATTAACTCCATTTCCAGGCTTCATAGAGTATCATTATCAATTGTGAAAAGCTGAAGCTGTCAAGTAGTTAAAAAGTAAAACTGGATTCAATGCCATGGGGGAATTGCTGTTCTAGCACAAATCATTTAAGGACAGAAGCCCTGACTTCTTTTCAAAATTGCCAAGTTAGACAAGAGGGTGTCTTACGAAGAGTGAACAATACTCCATATCCGAGAGGTCTATATCACAAGGATCTTCTGGGCGAATCTTGTCACTGTGCGTGTCACTACACGTACATCCTAAAGTTCACACAAAGGAAAGAACGCCTGAAACTCACGGCCATGCACATTATCACCACCAGCACACCTTCATTCCTCACCTGGGGTGAAGGCCCATCAAGCGGTCTCTGAAGAGCTCGCACCACAGCCGCAGCGTCCTCCCCGCTCTCGGGGCAGTGCTTCCGCACCCAGGCCTGGAGCTCCTGGGGCAGGATGGTGAGGAACTGCTCCAGCACCAGCAGCTCCACGATCTGCTCTTTCGAGTGCATCTCAGGTCTCAACCACCCTCGACAAAGTTCCCTGAGCCGCCTCAGCGCCTCTTCGGGTCCAGCCACCTCCTGGTAACGGAACCTCCTAAAATTCCGCCGAGAAGTTTCGGGATCTTGACAGCTTGGGGCTGGGTCAGACTCCAGACCTCCGGGGGAGTCTTCCTCCATTTTCACTATCAAAAGCCCATCATGCAAAGGCTGCGCGGAGACCCTGGACCTCGTAGCCACCATCCAGGTCTCCGCCTCAACATCATTGCCTTGACTTGCGGTCAAGATCGAACTCATGTTTCTGCTCAACGTGCTGACTTTCAAGGAGTTTTACGTTCAGGTGGGAAGACGGCAAACCCTGCAAATCGCTAAGGTATTCATCGGCCCCTCCCAAAGCAGGGGCGCGTGACTGTGACTGTCGGATCCCAGTACACGGCCCCGCTCCGTGCTCCCCCCACCCGCAGCTATTTCTTAGACACCCCGCTTTTACCACAGACCAAAAAAAAAAAAAAAAAAACCAAAAAACAAAACCCAGCCGAGGCCGGAAGTGCGTCTCCGACTCCCTACCAAGCCCACCCCTCCCGGGTATTTCCGGAGTCTCTCTAGGCTCCTCGGAGGATTGAGACACATCTCTGTGGTTTGCTGTCCTAGCCCTCTGCTACTCTGGATGTGTTTGCCTCTTGGAGTTTATAGTCCTTCCTGTTACAGAACTAAAGGATACGGTTCTTATAAAAATTGAATGTCGTCCTTTAACACATAGTTTGTGGACAAAGTTTTGTAAATTTTGTTTTAGGGAAAATTAAAGGTTCGACTTTACAATGAATGGTAAACAATTACCCATGTAGGTATTCATTTATGAAAGAAAGGTTTAGAACATATTTTCTACATGCCAAAGCATCGGGCCTGATACTACAGACACAAAACTGGAAAGAAGACATGGTGCCTGTCCTCAAGTTGCCCGTTCCTAAGAGAGCAGAAACTTAAATTCTTACAGGAAGGTGTGGTAAGTAAGATGAAGACTGTGTACACCTGTATACCCAGATTTGGTGATAATCAGTTGTGCCTGATGGGGACAGTGCATTGAAAGACTTCACAGAGGAGAGTAAGAACTGAAGGTATATTTTAATTCAAACATGGTTTAGGTAAATTTTCAGGCACTATGTGGCACACAGTTTCTATCAGCCCCTCCAACATTAGGGTTTGCTGCACCCAGCTCCTTTGCAAACCCCTCACGCTTAGCTATTGAAAGTTGCCAAGGATTTTGGTCTATTCTAAGCCTAATTCCTCTGTTCTATCATTTACTCCCTCTCCTTCACTTTTAAATACTGGCACAGTCATGAAAAAATTTCATAAAGCACTTTTAATCAGGTGTTGGGCAGCATGATAATTTCATCTTGTCCAAGGAAAGCTCTTTTTAAAATATTATTTTCTTTCATTGTCTTCTGCTGCGCAACCAAGCCAAGGTATGCACACACCCACAGGAGAAAGGATTACATTGCTTAGAAATGCAGAATTTCAAGCTTTATTCCACACCTCCTGATGCAGAATCTGCATTTTCAAAGAATCCCCCCAAGTGATCTGTGTATTCACTTAATTTTGAGAAGCTGTGATCAGTTGAACCTTTCTGACCAGTACAACACAGTTAAATGTTGAGTACACATAGATATTCTGAGCATACACACTATCCTTTGTTATCTGCGTTGCAGTTCTCTGCTATGAAGACACTCAAGTATTTTGTGACAGGATGTGAAGATGACGATATGAAGAAGTTGTATCCCAGGGGAAAGCCTAGAAAGACTGAGGCTCCATTGGAAGGGATATTGTTCCAAAGCATTTGAAACTGTCTTAAAACAACTTGCAACAGGAATAAACGACAAATTGTAATTGTGGTTATTTTAAAAAATTTTTATTTAAAAATATTTTATGATTTGACTTGGCCCAAAAACTCTATCACATGCGATTGTAACTTTTAAGTATACGATGTGAAACTCTGCACAGTTCTCAATGCAAAAAAGTGAAATTATTAAAATACTAAAATACACCAAATATACCTTAGTGTCAATATAAGCCACTCCTGCTGAAGGCCTCTCTGGAGATAAGAGGCGATTTCCTAAATTTCTTCATTCTCATTAGGTAGAACACAGCACTGGCAAGACACACTTAGAACCCCGTCCCTCATTTGAGTGAAATTTCACCCCCTACTCTACAACGTTAACTCTTCCCGGGGCATTCGAGCTTTAGATGCAAAGTGGAGTCGGCGAGCCTCATTTTCGTGAAGGGTTACAGGCAATACTAACTCTCGTAAACAGATTTAAAATTATTAAGAATGGAAACTTCTCGGCCGGAGAAGCCCTGTGTCGACCTGTATCTCTCAGCAGGGTTACCAATTTCCGCGCGGGTCTCCCTCGGAGGACTACAGGCTCCCGCACACACCGCCTACGAGCTAGGGGCGCCAGCGACGCCAGGGGAAAGGTTTCCGCGCTGTCCTTCATTCTGATAGGTCCAAGAGACTGAGGCTGCAAAGAGACCCGCGCTTCTATTGGCTAGAGGGTGTGGCCCGCGCGGGGCACTCTGGGAGATGTAGTTCCGATAACCGCTAGTTCCAGAGACTGGCGCGTCTGACGTTGGGAATTTCGGCCCCGGGCGCTGACGCGGTGGCAAAGAGGTGGGTGTGTCTGGAGACAAGATGCGGAGGGTGGCGCTAATTCCGGTGAGGACACAACAGGATCAAAAATTAAAGAGAAGTGAGGGGTTGTGGGCTCGCAGGCAGACCTACTTCGAATTGGGGAGCAGAGCCTTGGGGGGTGAGGGCGCGCAAGTTCCACGGCCAATCTGACATTAGCACCTGTCGCCTTAGCAACGGTGGGCATCTAAAGCCCGGCTCCCCGCTCCACTCCGAGGGAAAGGAAGGCGCGGTCTCAGTGGCTTCGGGGCGGGGTGGGCTAGAGAGTGGCTCCGTTTTCTCAGCCCGCGCCGTCGCGCCCGCAGCGACGGTGGGCGGGGAACGGCCGAGGTACTCGAGCAGGACCGGGATCGGGGTCGGCTCCCCATCTCCCCGCCGATTGGCTGGTGGCGCCTCCGGGGCGGGGCCTGGGTGGGCACTTCCCGCCTGTGGCGAGGCGAGGACCTCCGGGATTCCTAGAGAGGACTCGGAAGTGCTCCCGGGCTGGGATTTAAGGTTCAACCCGGTTGGACTGGGAAAGCTTGGACTTGCTTACTTCCGGCGAGGAAGTGTTGCGAAGTGTAGGCTTCGGTTTTCTCGCCGTTGGTTAAAAACCCATCTTCCCACCCTTGACTGCGGGAGCTTCCAAGGAGAAGCTCCCCGCGACTGGGGCCTTGATGAAAGGGTTTGGGTTTGGGGTCCCGATAGGGGTCCTGCCCCTAACCTTGGTCGGGTCGGTCCTGGTGTCTCCAGGTCAGGAGTGATTCCGAGGAATCCACGTCCAAATCCGTACTTAAAATTGTCTTCTCTTCGGGACCAATGAAATCTCCCGTTGATTTGTCAAGCTCTTGTGGCTTGAAGGACAGGACTAATTTTGACCGTGGTAATGTTTTTGACCCCTGTTCTGACTTAAGTTTGGCTTATGGTAGTAAGAAGGAGCGGCTGCTTCAGGACTAGTTAGTAAGTTTTATCTTACTATTTATATGACATTTAATGTTCTTCACCATTAAGATTTTGTTTGATTAGGACCGGTGTCAGATTTTTTATAGTTTTCCTTTACCGTTTTTTAAATGTTGGAACTATTCTCTGTTAATAATTATTTTATGGGTGGAGTGATAGCTGTTTTGTGATCTTTATTTCCAAGTAAATTAGTCTATTGAGAGGTCGCTTTTAGTATAGATGACCTCTGTTGTCATCTCTTTGCTAATAATAATTTCTAATATATCAGTAGGTTGGGCACTAATGAAAGTGACCTTCAGAAGAATTTAAAGAACGGATAACAGATTTCATCAGTGTGATAGAGCTAACCTGGAGAGACATCCCTCTAAGTTGGAATGATAATGACAGGATCTGGGGAAGTTATAGACTTAGACCCTCCAGCTGAGATCTCACAAGAGCAAGACGACCTTCTAATAGTGAAGGTGGAAGAAGAAGACTGCACCTGGATGCAGGAGTACAGTCCGCCCATGTTTGAGACTTTTTACCAGCGTTTCAAGCACTTCCAGTACCATGAGGCATCTGGCCCCCGGGAGGCACTCAGCCAGCTCCGGGTGCTCTGCTGTGAGTGGCTGAGGCCGGAGTTGCACACCAAGGAGCAGATCCTGGAGCTGCTGGTCCTGGAGCAGTTCCTGACCATCCTGCCTGAAGAGTTTCAGACCTGGGTGAGAGAACATCACCCAGAAAGTGGAGAAGAGGCTGTGGCAGTGGTAGAAAATATACAGAGAGAACTAGAGGAACGCAGACAACAGGTGAGTGGAATCGGAGACTTAAGAACAATGAGGAAGGAGCAGAAGAGAGTTAAGGAGCTGCTGAGCAGGGGGTGAAATCTTTAGCACTCTGGTGCTTCATTCTATTCTTTTGTTCTCCTGGGATTAGGTACACTGTGGAGATTTCCTGCCACTCCAGCAAAGAGAAGCAGTATCCAGTGTGTTAACCTGGAGAAGACAATCTGCGATTTTATTTATTTTTAAAATTACTATGTTTATTTTTTGAATGACATGATACAAAATTCAAAAGGTACATAAGGTTATAATGAAAAGTAAGTTTACCTCTCATCCCTAACTCCCCAGCTGCCTTATTCTCCTCACAAAAGGCAACCATTGTTAGGTGATACTTGTATATCCTTACAGAGATATACTGTATTCTGTATATATTAAATTATATGTATACGACATACTTTTTAAGAAAAGATGTTTTCAAATCACTGTGCACTCCTGCCTCTTGCTTTTTTCTTATATCTTGTTTTTTTCATATCAGTGCAAATAGAACTATCTCACTCTTTGCCACTGTATTACTCCATTGTATGAATATACCAGTATTTATTTGACTCCTATTGAAGGCCATTTAAGTTGTTCATTTTAGATTGTTTCTGAATTTTTACTACAACAAACTTTGCTCCAGTGAATCTCCTCTACATCATTAATTATACAATGAATGCTTGGAAGTCAAGTTGTTGACTTAAAGGCCAGATTCATTTGCACTTTTGACAGATAGCACACTGTAGAGGTTATACCAATTTATATTCCCAACAATAATGTATGAGAGAAGGTTTTTTTACTCACAGCTTGATAACTTGATATTATCAAACTCTTTGACTGTTGCCAATTGGAAAGATGCACTATTCCATTTCTGTGCAATTGTAATACGCAATTCTCTTATTATGAGTCAGTTTGACCGCAGTGTATATTTTACATATTTTAAAAGGCCATGTGTATATCCTTTTTTCTGAATTGTCTTTTTACATCACCTGTTACAAAAAATAAGCGATGTGTCTATTATCTGCGTTGTGTTATTTTTTTTTCCAGTTGTATTGCTTCTTGGCCTTTTGGCTAAGATCAAGTGTGTTACCTGTTCTAAATATTTTTTCAGTTGTTTGTCTTTGCTTATGGAAACTTTTGCTTTGCAGGGTTTTAAAAAAATGCAATCATTTAAAATCTTTTATGGTGTTTGGGTTTTGTGCCGTACTTACAAAGACCTTCTCCACTATAACATTATGAAAAACTTGTCTCCTTTTTTTTTAAAAAAAATTCTTTCAAATGATCAATCATTTGGATTTTATATTGGTATAGGAGGTTTAATATGATTGTAACTTTTTCCCAAATATCTATGCATTTGCCTATTTAGAAGTTGCAACTTCTAAATTTTTTAAAAAAGATTTATTTATTTATGCATATAAGAACTGGGGTACAGGACAGAAGTGTGGGGTGGGGGTTGAGAGGATTCACCAGAGACAGACTGGATAACAGAACAGGCGAACTGACTGAAATACACTGTTGAGGGGAGCAGCGGGTGAGTCAGGAGAGGTCTGCTTCACCATGTGGGTAGTTCCCCGGCCAGGAATCGAACTCTGTGGCAGTGGCTGTGGACAGCTTCAAAGTTTGCTCTTAACCCCTTGCACCACCATTGAGGCCCCACAACTTCTAAATTTTTCCCCTTTCTGACTAAAATGCCACCTTTATAGATAAGAATTTCTGCATGTATCTGGGTCCATTTCACATCTTTATTTTCTATTTTTTATCAGTATTTTAATAATTTGAATTCTGTAAAATGTTTTGCTATTTGACGGCGCTACCCTTCTGCAATATTTTCTTTTTTCTTGGAGCTTTAGAATTGCTTTTTAGTTTCCACCACCCTAAAAATCCTGCTGATATTTTTGTTGAAATTGCATTAAATCATATGTCAGTTTAGGGATGATCAGTATCTTTATGTTGCTACCGCTTGTTCTTTCTTACTCATTTTAACCTGATCCTCTATCTTCCTCTTGCTTCTAGGCTCACAATTTCTTCAACATTAATTTGTTTTTTATAGCAAAGAATTGAAATCATGGAATCATAGGTCTACAAGAGTTTGAAGCTAGTTCAAAATTATCCCTATCTCTAGAGCTATTGTACTTCCCAAGGTACTTGTCTCATTATTCTTCACTTTTGTGTGAGGGGAACATCCTCAGTCCCTTCAGCTGGTTTAGCTCAGTCCACACCACAATGCAGGTGGCAGCAGAGGGAGTTGCTGCTGACCCATGACCAGACCTGCAGAGGGACCAAATGACTGTCCTGCAGACAGAATTTGGAATCTTTCTGTCACTTCTGCCAGGACAGGATGTGACGGTTCATTGTGATGTCCAGTTATTCAGTTTTTTAACCTAACTTGGAACATGAATTAACAGACTATTCCCTGCTTTTTTTATAGTAATGACTATTCAAAAGCATAGTTTATTTTTTTTTAAAGATTTGTTTATTTTTATAGAAGAATTGTGGTACAGGCCAGAGATGCAGGGGTGAGAGGATTCACCAGAGGCAGAGTGGGAAACAGAACAGGCAGATAGACTGAGGTACACTGCTGAGGGGAGCAGTGGGCGAGACAGAAGAGGTCTGTCCCGCCATGTGGGTTTCTCCCTGGCCGGCCAGGAATTGAACTCATCCGGCCAGCTGCGGATTGCTTCATAGGTTGCGTCTTAACCCCTGCGCCACCAGGGAGGCCCTCAAAAGCATAGTTTAAAACAGAAAGAACTTTTAAAATAGATTTGCTACAGATCTTATGCATTTTCCACTCCTTGTGTTATGCAGTCCATCTTTGGAAGGATGTAGAAAAACTATTTCTTAGTGGTAGTCAGGGATTTAAGACCCACAGAGGGGATTTTCCTCAAGTGCCTCCACAGTTTACTTTGCTTTCTGTTCTCTCTGTGTGCTTTTCGTGTCTCCTATGTTGTTCCTCAGCTTTAACTCCAGCAGTTCTTGTTTCTGGCATGTCTTTTCTCAGACTTTATTCTTTGCTCCTCCTTGGTTTCACTGTCCTGGTCTCAGTGAGCCTCAAGGGCTCCTTTTCTTCTTGGGTGCCCAAGTGTCCTTTGACATACTTGGCTTGATCTTAGCTCTTTTTCTGAGCAGGTCCACGAGGGCACACACTATTCCATGCAGAGTGATGTTTGCCACCACTGTTTTGCAATTGCCTTCTAATGTAACTCCTCTACCACATTTGCCAGTACTGAGAGTGTTAAATTTTATTTTATTTATTTTTTTTTTTTTATAGAGGCATGTTTATTTATTTGTTTGTTTGTTTGATGGTTTGTTTATACATGCACTGGGTACAGTCAGAAGCACGGGAGGGTGAGAGAATTCACCAGAGCCAGAGCAGGGAACAGAGCAGGCAGAGGACCGAAGTACACTGCTGAGGGGAGCAGCGGGCGGCAGGAGAGGTCTGCGCGCCATGTGGGACCCTCCTCCGGTGGACGGGGAGCAGCCGGGGATCGAACTGGCGCTGCAGAGGCCGCGGGCAGCTTCGCAACCCAGCGCTCAACCACTGCGCCACCGGGGAGGCCCCGAGAGTGTTAAATTTTAAAGTGCTTTGAAGCATAAGGGAGAGGTGAGGAGAGAGGGTGGCAGTTCTATCTCAATGCAGGGTCTTATTACCTGCTAGGATGCTGCTGTGCTAGTACCTTCCAGAACAGGCAGATTTTAGAGACTGGTTGTGGCAGAGTAGTTGTAGCCTAGGGTTGAACAAGACTCAAGAATGGAAAGGTGGAGCATGGCAGCCAGGTATGAAGTAACTTGGGTATTGGTGTCAGTCTGTCCTGCTTTTACCTGGTCTGCTAGGGAACCAAGCATGACTTTCTGAATCCTATTTCAACCTTTTCAATCTCCTTTCTCACTTCTCTCCTTCACCAAACTTGACCCACATGGGCATTTTTACAATTCCTTGAGTGTACCAGACACCCTCTCTTTCTTTTTTTTTTTTTTTTTAATTTATTTATTTATTATAGAGGCATGTTTTATTTATTTGTTTGTTTGTTTTGTTTATACATGCACTGGGTACAGTCAGAATCGCGGGAGGGTGAGAGAATTCACCAGAGCTAGAGCAGGGAGCAGAGCAGGCAGAAGGACCGAAGTACACTGCTGAGGGGAGCAGCGGGCGGCAGGAGAGGTCTGCGCACCATGTGGGACCCTCCTCCAGTGGCCGGGGAGCAGCCGGGGATCGAACTGGCGCTGCAGAGTCTGTGGGCAGCTTCGCAACCCAGCGCTCAACCTCTCTTTCTACCTGAGGGTCTTTGTTTATGTTATTTCTCTGCCTGGGACACTTCCTGCTTTACTCCAGCTGGCTGCTTGTCCTCTTTTAGGTATTATTATACTTAAGTAATACTTCCTCAGAAATGCCTTTCCTGGCCACCCAATCTAAAGAAGGCCACCCAATCTGTACTGTCTCCCGATATCACCTTTCGTCTCTTCTGTCATCAACATGATTTGTAATTATGTATTTATTTATGTTGCGTTTAATGAAAGTCTTCTCCAACTAAATGTAAATCATGTTTACTAAGCCCACTGTATCATCAGTGCCTGTCTCATTGTAGGTGCACTTGCATTATTTCGTAAAGGAATGAATGAAAAAATAGTGTGAAATTGCTGAATTTTTCATGGCCTTCTTTGTAATGTGCTGATTGGTGTGGTTGTACTTGGTAGATTGTGGCATGTCCTGAAGTGCTTCCTCAGAAGATGGTACCGCCCGGGCCGGTGCAGGAGTCCTTCGCTCACCCGCTCCTGTCTGTGGACATCCAGCCTGAACAAGAGTCACAGAAACCTCATCTTCTAGAGGATAATGGTGAGAATCAGCGAGTCAGTGGAACAGATGTGGCTAGAGAGAGGGCGCCATGGCCATGGGGGTAAGCAATATCTGTAAGAGAGAGACTCTGGACTGGGCAGCCTCTCTGCAATCAGATCTGGAGGTTAGGAAGGACTGGGAACTTACACTGGAATCTGGTGTTAAGAGAGGTCAGCTGTAGAATGGCTGGGAACTATACTACAGTTGTAGTCAAAAACTATAATACGGATGATAACTGTAAACACCAACATTCTTTTTTTTTTTTTTTTTAAAGATTTATTTTTTTTATAGAGGCATGTTATTTATTTATTTATTTATGTGTTTGTTTTGTTTATACATGCACTGGGTACAGTCAGAAGCGCGGGAGGGTGAGAGAATTCACCAGAGCCAGAGCGGGGTACAGAGCAGGCAGAAGGACCGAAGTACACTGCTGAGGGGAGCAGCGGGCCGCAGGAGAGGTCTGCGCGCCACGTGGGACCCTCCTCCGGTGGCCGGGGAGCAGCCGGGGATCGAACCAGCACCGCAGAGTCTGCGGGCAGCTTCACAACCCAGCGCTCAACCGCTGCGCCACCGGGGAGACCCAAACACCAACTTTCTTAAAAGATTGACAGAAGTCTTTTTCAAAAGTGTCATAATGATTGTACAACAGTTCCACCGCTATCATAGATTTTGTTGTCTTCATGCTTATGTAAAATGTTCTCTGGTTTCTCATTGCATTCATTTCTGGCTGTTGAGTAGTGCACCTTGAAATCTTATTTGAAGTAGCTTTACAATGACCTTTAGAACATTTGTTCTCTCTCTCTACCTAGTCAGCTATTTAGCTAATTAGTTAACTAGTCAGTCAGCTAGTCAGGTAGTTATCTAGTTATTTGACTAGGTAGGTAAGTAGGTAGGTAGGTAAGTTAGTTAACTAGTCAGATAAATTAGTTAGCTAGTTAACTAGTTTGTCAGGAACCGTCCAAGTGCTTTACCTGTTTGAACTCATTTAGTGTTCAAATCACTCAGTGTACCAGGAAAAATAGTCTTCACCATTCACCATCTGGAGCCAGTGGGCCACTTTTTTTTAACGATTTATTTATTTATGCATATAAGAGCTGGGGTACAGGTCAGAGATGCGGGGGTGGCGAGAGGACTCACCAGAGACAGAATGGGGAACAGAACAGGCAGACTGACTGAAATGCACTGCTGAGGGGAACAGCGGGTGAGACAGGAGAGGTCTGCTGCACCATGTGGGTTTCTTTCTGGCTGGCCAGGGATTGAACTCATGCTGCAGAGGCTGTGGATTGCTTCATAGTGCAGTGCTTAACCCCCTGCACTACCAGGGAGGCCCTGGCCTTTTTTTTTTTTTTTTTTTAAGTAATTTTCTGAATACATAAGAATCAAAGGATAGGAAAAATAACTTCAAGAAATTTTAATAATAAACTTTTGTGTAGGCAAGCAAATTTTGATAATGCAAACGTCAGAAGAGATGAAAGAATACTGCCACATAGTACTGTCCATTTCTCAAAATGGATATTGTCCTTAGAGCAAAATGGCATGTTCCAGAATCTTGTTGCAAAATAAATTGTTCTTGTTGAATGACACTCTGAAAGAGAATGTCCTGTTTCCTTTTTGAAATTAGAGAGCGAGTCTTCATCATTAGTACTGAATTTAAGAAAATTCTTCTAGGATATGATCATTTGCAAATTCAATCTAAGATTTCCCTTAAGCTTTCAGTTTCATCATTGCCATTAGAGATTGTGTTGCTCATGCTCTCATTCTAATCATCTTCTCATTCTTCTAGTAGAATCAAGTGTCTTCCTCTGCAGATTTGAGTCCCTTTACTGATATGGGTGAAAAATTAAAAACTCTGAATTCTCAACTTTGCTCAATGAAAATTAAAAGTGGGTCATATACCTTCTTGAAGATGTTGTAGTATTCTGGGCAATGTACTTAATATTTGATAATAGTGAAGAATGAAGATCAACTTCTCTCTTTTATGATCCTGTTTTCTTTATTTTCCCACTTTTTTGTTTTTTAAAGTTTTTTTGTGGCATTGTTGGTAGTAATTAAGTGAAAAATGATTAATAAAAGTGAAATTAATTCCAAGGATGATGAAATAGAAAAATCTTCCAAGGTACAGGAAAAATAAGATCATTCAGATCCCAAAATATATTCTAGGTTTATAAAAGGGTCCAATGATCCGTGTAGAAATTACAAGATAAAATAACAATACTAAAATAAATATCCTTTTTGATCTTCAGAACACCTCTAAAAAAACAAAAGTCGTGCAGTTCCAGTCCTTCAAAATAGTTTATACTGTTTGAAAAAGAGACCAAAATTGTGTATAGCAGACCTGGTTGGCGTGCTATGGGTGAATGCTCACTATCACCCCATGGAGTTGGGATTATCATTACCCTCTTTTAGAAAATAACTGCACCTAAAATGGTTAAATAATTTCTCCACGATCACAGAGCTTTTATGCGTCAGCTGGGATTTTAACCAAAGCAATCAGGCTCTGAATCTACACTTTCATTCCATTCTGAGTTGTCCTGCCTTTGCTCTACCACCAGATTCTCCCACGCACGGTGTCCTGGCCTGAAATCACTGTCATCTTCCATCCACCTTCAGAGTCCCATCAGATCAGGCTACTACTATTTTCTTCTGTTCCTTGCTCCTGCTTATCTGCTCTGCTCTGCCCTGTTATCCAGACCCTGCCAGTTTCTTTATTTCAACAGAATTGTGGTTTGCTCGGACACGACTACATTCATCGCTTTCTTCAAGTCCTGTTTTCATTCTGTAACCATGCTCCCTGTTTCAGATCTCTTCTCAGCTTTTGGCTTTCTTTTCTAACCAACTCCTCTTGTTTTTTCTTATTTTTTCATCATTGCTTATTATTTCCTAGTTGTTGGAGATAAACACCTGCATATGCACATGTATCTCTAGGACAGAGGAGACCATAGCAAGGTCTAAGCTGTTGAGTTAATGATTAGTACCAGGTGGATCTGCCCAAGTCTGGGCACATAGGCAGTGAGATCCCCATGCACCATGGGTATCAGACAAAGAACAAGCAGAGGCAATGGCACATGATTAGATGGTCACCAGAACCTAGAGATCAGAACCTTCAGGTGTCACATATGCAATTCACTCTGCTTAGAAAGCTCTCTCTTCACTGCCCTGCCCCTCCTTCCCAGACTCCCAGTGGGTTTTCCTAATGCTCCCACCCTGCCCTCTCCACTCCAGGGGCCCTCCCTCTTTTTTTATGTGAACTTTCTTTTTTTTTTTTTTTTTAAAGATTTATTTATTTATGCATACAAGAGCTGGGGTACAGGCCAGAGGTGGGGGTGGGGGGTTGAGAGGATTCACCAGAAACAGAGTGGGGAACAGATTGACTGAAACACACTGCTGAAGGGAGCAGCGGGTGAGGCAGGAGAGGTCTGCTGTGCCATGTGGGTAGCATCCTGGCCAGCTGGGGATCGAACTTCTGCTGCAGTGGCAGTGGACAGCTTCATAGGTTGCATCTTAACCCCTTGCACCACCAGGGAGGTCCCTGAACTTTGTTTTAATACTCTCTGCTCTATGCTGGAAATAAGGCTTTCATGTCTGCCCTCCCCAATAGACAGTAAAGTATTTGAAAGCAAGCGTTGTTTCATCTACTTATTTCTATAAAACACAGAATAGACTTGATATTAACTGACTAACTATAAACCTACCATAGTAATTCCTTGAAGGGAGAGAATATGGACTAAGGTCTAGCTAATCAAAGCGTATTCCAAGAAGTAGCAGCACTAGCATCACTCGGGAGCTTGTTAGGAATGCAAAATATGGGGCCTATGGCAGACCAGCTTAGTGAGAATCTGCCTTGTACCAAAATACCTCCTCCCATGGAAATTGGTTTGTACCTTAAAACTTGAGACACCTGGGCTCTAGGGAATACTTCAGCTTCATGGAAGATGTGTGACTTGGGTATTCTTTGATATGACTAGATTTGATCTTGATATAGCAGAGCACATCCTTCCAGAGTAATGACACAATCCACAGTCAGCTGCAGGGATTAGCCTAGTTTAGGGGAGGAAAGGTAGGATTGGCAGGGCCCAGAATATAATCTTGCAGTCAAGCAGAAGAACTTGGCTTTGATGCACAGATCACCTTTGTGGATTCTTGAGCATTGGCAGAACATGATGGCAATGACACCTGAGATTCTCACTGACACCTCTTTTTATCCTCCCCCAGCCCTTCCTGCTCTCCAAGTTTCTTCCCTTCCCCTGAAGGACAGCCAGGAGCTGACTGCCTCACTCCTCTCAGCTGGGTCCCAGGTGAGCTGGCGTCCCTGTGCCTGCCGTGAGGACCCATATCTATTCTTACCTTAACCCTGAATCTATCAGAGTTCTGACTCTTTAGCCAGAGGCCAGGACCATTGTGGGTTTGTACTTAAATGCCTTTTCCCTGTACAAACCTGTTCTCTCTGAAGCATGGTCCCTGCTGCTATTTCTTTCTTTAATGTTCCTAGATCTTCTCTAACTCCGAAGATGTACATAGGGAGTGGGAATTTAGTAGCAATCTCATGTTTCAGAAATTGGTGAAAATTGAAGATGTGGCTGATGTGGCTGTATCCTTCATCCTGGAGGAATGGGAACATTTGGACCAGTCCCCGAAGTCCCTCTATAGGGGTGACAGGAAGGAGAATTATGGGAGTATTACTTCCATGGGTAAGAATGATTTCATCCAAATTGATTAGGACATCTTAATTTTGTTTTAAAGAACATTACTAGCACATCCTAGAAAATCATGTTTCCCATTGCTATGAATTTGCTTTCATTTTTTCTGTGAATTTGTAAATCAGCGTTCTTTTTTTGTTTTCTTATTCAGCTTATTCTGATTATTTCCATTATGATAAGGGTATGATTGAAGACATAGTGTTTGCAGGTAGTATTTGCAATCCAGCGTGCCATCTTTTTATTGCTCTAAAAGCGCTTAAGAGTGACAGCTTTAGATTTTAACAAGTTTGTAGTAGTTTTAGTCCTCTCTTCCTTGCTGTGTTAAATAGTTTTGTTTTTTTTTTTAAAGATTTATTTATTTATTTATACAAGCACTGGGTACAGTTAGAAGCACAGGAGGGTGAGAGAATTCACTAGAGCCAGAGCGGGGAACAGAACAGGCAGATGGACCGAAATACACTGCTGAGGGGAGCAGCGGGCACGGTAGGAGAGGTCTGCGTGCCATGTGGGACTCTCACTGGCAGCTGGGGATCGAACCGGCGCTGCAGAGGCTGCGGGTAGCTTCGCAGCCCAGCGCTCAACCGCTGCGCCACCAGGGGAGGCCCTAAATAGTTCTTAACTGAGTAATTCTCCTTTGTGAAAGCATCTCATACTTCACTAAATAACTGTTAGAATATTATAGTAGTTACTGCCGTACCTCAATAGCATTGATTCTTTTCCTTTCTCCTAATGCATGAATGGCTGGTTATTCATTAAAATTCTCTAATCACTAGTATCTATTTTTTTTCAGACTTCTTTTTTTTTTTAAGATTTATTTATTTAGGCATACAAGAGCTGGGTACAGGCCAGAGGCGTGGGGGTTGGGGTGAGAGGATTCACCAGAAACAGAGCAGGGAGCAGAACAGGCAGATCCACCAAAATACACTGCTGAGGGAAGCAGCAGGCGAGACAGGAAAGGTCTGCCTTGCCATGTGGGTTGCATCCTGGCCAGCCGGGGATCGAACTCACATTGCAGAGGCTGCAGATTGCTCCATAGTGTGGCATTTAACCCCTTGCGTCAGCAGGGAGGCCCAATAGTATCTATTTTATGATGTTTGCCTTGTTGGCAACTACATTTTGCATGTCATATCCCTTGAATTTTGTATCCCATATGAGGTTTTGAACCTGTGGTTAACTAAGCTCTGCTCTTGGAAACTAATATTTGTTTGTGCTGCCAGAGCATAAAAATTTGAGCACTCTGGGGAACATGTTGGAACTTAAGGCTGTTAGCTTCTTTTGAATGAATTCTTTTTGAAGAACCATATATCAGGCACACTGGTAAATTTTAGGTGGGGTACGTATATATTGCCAAATTTCTTTCGAAAAGCATTTTACCAGTCTATGTTGTCTAAGATTTTTAGTTCACTCACAGACTTCTATTTAAAATGTGTGAAACTGATTCCTGCTTTTTAGAAATTTTCATTCCCTTCATTACTATTGTTATATATTTCTTTTTCTTTGATTTATTTGTACATGCCTGATTGTTTATCTGTTTTTGGTATTCTTTCATCTCAAGGAATTACTTACAGTAGTATAAGTATTACATTTAAGACAATTTTTTCATTTTCTTTTTAAATTAATTTCCAATGCTTGTCAAATTTCAATACTTGTTAGTATCATGTATCTTCAATGACTTTACAGGTGTTTAATGGGTTTCTAAGTTTCAGCACTTGGCATAGTTCTTTTCCAAACAATTTAAAATTCTTTCTGATTTTTCTCCTTATTATCCATCTCTACATTGCAACATTTTTACAACTGCAGTGTACACTTCCACATTAACAATACTTTCAGTGGTTTCTGCCTTCTTTGGGAAGGTCACGTTAGACGATCCTCATGCCTGCGGGTTCCTGATAGTGTCAGAAAAGGTCAAGATTTAAAAGGTATTCATCAGTTTTAGATACAAGATTAAAAAAAAAATGAACAAATGAATCTTGGAGTCTTCAATGGAGTGACTAGGATATTGGGAAACAAAAGACAATTTCTTTAAGATTGCAAAGATGAGGAGTTCAAGAAAGCTCTTCTAGATAAACTGTCAAGAACATTCTCTGTTGAAGAGGAAGGCAAAAAGGACTGTTCATTGAAAGAGTACCAGGCTGATGGATGATTTTTGTATGTTCTCTTATTATTGGGGAAAGTCCTGAGCATATGTAAATGCTACTGGTAAAGAACTAGTAGAGAAAGAGTTGCAATGGTGGGGCAGGCAAGGAAGAGTGGATAATCAGTGCAAGGAAGGCCCTGGAAAACAGGACAACCCTGTTTTCTAGATTCCTGTGGAAAGGATTGACCATGGTTAGGGAGAGAAACAGACTCCTCTTTCATGATGAGACGAGGGGGAGGATGAAAGAATAAGCCTGTCCCAGATTTAAGGTTGTGGTTACAGCATGTTCCAGGAGTTCTTGATCAGATAGCTTTGATTTCCATGAAATAGGCAATAAAGCCATCTGTTGAGTGACGAGGTGGTGAGTAGACACTTGGGTGCAGTGGAGAACTTTGGTTTTAAAAAAAAGTATGCCCACACATGGTTAAAAATAAATAAATAAACAGACAAACAAATAAATAAGTAAAATAGTGTAAATGGGTATAAAGTGAAAAGTGAGTTACCACCTCTGAGTTTCCTTCACAGGCAATATCTATTACGTTTGTTGATTGTGTCTCTAGATATAGTCTTAGGTATATACAAGTTTGTGCAAAAATGATAGCATACCACATATACTATAGTATTTTTAAATGCAATGATGTATGTTGGAGATCATGGTGGAGATGTTATGATGAAGCTGTTTGGAAAAATGAATGGGGAAACCAGTCAACCTTAGAAGGTCAGGCAGAACACTAGGGAGGTTGAAGATTTGGTGAAGTACCAAATCTGCCTGATTGGGTGTTTTATACTCCCCTGCTCCTAGTACCTTACCCAGCAGCAGGATATAGCATTGATAAGGGAGCACAGTACTCTGCCAGATAGGTAAACCAGGAGATGCAACAGAAAACTTTTCATGCACTCTGAGAGAAGGGGAAAGAGGAAAACGCAAATCTGTAGCCAACTGGTATAAGAAGTTGTCTAATCACCTTCTGTGGGAGAGAGCAATTGTCAGTAGCCTCAGGGAGGTGCACTGGACTAATTTTCTAATTCACCTCTGGGAAAAAGCCACAAGCTTGTTTGACTTGTTGAATGGGCACAACTTCTAATAATATGTGTGAGCATAGCAAACATGAATAAAAGAGAAAATTTTTGTAATAGCTGGGATTATCTGCCTAGTTAAATGGAAGAGGAGAACATGTAAAAAGCCTTATCTTGTGATTTGTTTTTTTGGTTTATGTATTTGTTTGTTTCCATGTTGAAATGGTATACATTCTGCATTCTTTTTAAGGAAAGAATTAAGTAAAAATAGTTGTAAGGTAAATTTAAGTTGTCTTGATGGTGTGAGTTGTCTTCATGTCAAAGAAGGAGAGTAATAGTGTCTACCTCAGAGGGTCGTTGTAAGGAATAAAACTGTGAAGTACTGAGTACTTAAGGTAAGTATTCCACAAATGTTAGTTCTTAGTACTGTAATTATGTAATATTTGGAAGTAATTTTTCTTTGGGCAAAAACACTCTTATTAAGAAGTTCTTAGTGAGCCATGATTTCTCTCACATTTAAAAAATAATAGTCTCTATGGGGCCTTCCTGGTGGTGCAAGGAATTAAGAGGCAACCTACAAAGCTATCTGCAGCCACTCAGCACAAGTTTGACCCCACACCCGGGAGCTAACCACATGGCACAGCAGACCTCTCCTGACTCGCCCGCTGCTCCCTTCAGCAGTTTATTTCAGTCAGTCTGCCTGTTCTGTTCTCTACTCTGTCTCTGGTGAATCCTCTCACCACCCCCCTACCTTTAGCCTGTACCCCAGTTCTTGTATGCATGAATAATTTTTTTTTAAAATTCTTTACTTTAAAAAAAAAATAATAGCCTCTATATTTTTGAATTACTGAAAATTTCTCTCTACAAATCATATTAAATGTCAGTGTCTTGAGTGAAATATATGTTGCTGATTCAGTTATGCAGGTGACACAGCTCTCCTGTGGATCTTTATCTGTATCCATCAATGACTATTGTGAACCTCTTTTTTCCTTTAAGATTTATTTTATTTTTTTATGCATACAGGAACTGAGGTGTAGGCCAGAGGTGCGGGGGGTGAGAGGATTCACCAGAGACAGAGTGGGGAGCAGAACAGGCAGATTGACTGAAATACACTGCTGAGGGGAGCAGCAGGTGAGACAGGAGAGGTCTGCTCTGCCTTGTGGGTCTGCTCCCTGGCTGGGGATTGAACTCCTACTGCAGAGGCTGCGGATAGTTTCATAGTGCTGAGATTTACAACCCCCTGCACCACCAGGGAGGCCCTGTGAACCTAACTCTTGCCTAGTAGATTGTGGGCTCTTCTCTGGGTATAGAAAAAGTGCTGTACTCACCTGTGTCCCTCACCAAACTGAGATTCTTTAAGGAGTGATAAAGCTGGAAAGATCATCTTTTTTCCTCCAGGCTATGAATAAATAGGAAGAGGAAAGTAAAGACTGGGTTAGCTTCATAACCCAATATCAAATTTGACAATATTGAATATTGATCAGGTTTTCACAGATACTGTATGTAAGTACTATACTTGGAAGATAATCACCCTCATGAAGTAGAATGACTGCTCTCCCAATCTCATTCATTGAATCTTTCTTGCCAACTCTTCCTTCCCTAACTTGCCTCAGTTTCCTGCTTAAGTATTTTTTACCCATCCCTGTATTGTAGTCAAAGTCATGCATTCCTAGTATATGCTGGTTTCATTGCATTACCCTGTACTCTGCAGGCACTTTGTTTTTGTAATCCAGGGAATACCTGATTTTTCTTCTGTTTTTATTCTAAAAAATACTTCTATTTTTTCAGATTATGAGTCTGGGAATGACAATATGGAACTCATAGTGAAGCAGATTTCTGATGAAGCTGAATCGCACTGGATGACATCAGGAAGCACTGATGGAAATGTTCCCCACAGTCAAGAGTTTGGAGAAGTTAGTGGCCTTCATGGCCTCGTTGAAAGGTGGCAGGTAACCCCCACTGTGGGGAAATCAAGGCAGAACCCTTCCCAGAAAAGAGATCTTGGTGCCATCACAGACAATGACCGTAAGCAAAACCCAAGTGGTGAGAGAGGTCACAAATGTAATGATTGTGGTAAATTTTTCCTTCAAGCCTCAAACTTCATTCAACATCGGCGAATCCATACTGGAGAAAAACCATTTAAGTGTGGTGAATGTGGGAAAAGCTATAATCAGCGTGTACACCTTACCCAGCATCAGCGAGTCCACACTGGTGAGAAACCCTATAAATGTCAGGTGTGCGGAAAAGCCTTCCGTGTAAGCTCCCACCTCGTCCAGCATCACAGCGTGCACAGTGGAGAGAGACCGTACGGATGCACTGAGTGTGGCAAAAACTTCGGGCGGCACTCCCATCTGATCGAGCACCTGAAACGCCACTTCAGAGAGAAATCCCAAAGATGTATGTGTTGAGAGTTTGTACTCTGAGAATAAACAGAGGCAAAAGTTGTTTTATTAGCTTAGAATAATGGGCAGGATGAGTTGTGATACTGGAAGCAGTGGGAAGGGGCAAAGATTACAGTCTGTTATTTATCCAATAGTTCTCATATGAATAGCAATACCCTATGCCCTCTACACCATTCCCCCCACCCCCTTGCCTTTCCCCAGAGGCATCCGCTTTCAGCCTTCTCATCAGTTCTTCAGATAATTCTGTATTTCTAAATAACACTGCTGTTGTTTAACATTGTCCATTGACTTTCTATTGTAGAACATGAGGCATTTGGTTCTCTTATGTTCTTTTTGATACAATAAAATAATAGTGCAGGAAGTTTAAAGGAAAAAGTGGGAGATTAAAAAAATCATCTAAAATCCCACCATCATAATAGAACTGTTGTTATTGTATTTTCATAAGCCTTTTTTACATTTTGTCTCTTAGGGTGCTATGAGATAATATTACACATACTCATTGCCCAATGCCCTCAGCCCTCCTTTTTGTTATTTTGACAACCTGCTGTGTGGAGACATCATTTACTCAACTGTTACCCAGTTGAACTTCTAATTTTTTCTCTTTTGTCCTGAAACTGTGGTTAGTACCTTTTTCTATTTCCTTAAAAGCCCACAAGTGAGGAAAGGCCAAAAACACTTGATACATTACTACCAAATTGCTTTTTAAAACAATCCCACCAGATATGAGAGTTTGTTTTGCTAAATTTCTTCCAGAGTTATCAAAAGTTCTTTTTTAAAAAATTGAGTAAGCAGAAGAGAATTCTGTGCTATATATTCATTTTCATCAATTTGATTATAAGATTAAGTTTCCTGCTTGTTTACTTTTTTAAAATCCGTTCAATTGTATAAGGATGAGATGACGATAAACTGCTGTGAACTTAAAGGTTCTTATTAATATTCTTCAGATAACTTTAAAACTAGCCAGCATATTTCTTTTTATTTTTTTATTTTTTTTATAAATAATAAATTTTATTTTTATATTCCCCATACAATTGCAACCCCCCCATTCTGATCCCAATCCCTCCCCTCCCGCCCCCCACCCCCCCAAGCATATTTCTTTTTAAATGCTATCTTTGATGTCCTCAAGCTCAGCTTGTCATTTGCCTCAATAGACAATTGCCACCTCTTCCATCATGGAATAGAAGTTTATGAAGTTCATAATGTCTTTAGTTCTGGAATAAGCTGAGTTACCTCCTTAGCCAGTTCTAGCCCATCCTAGTTGGTGACTTTTCATGAGGGGATATTCATCCAACAGCACTCTGGGCTTGGAAAGCAGTCTCTGTAAATAGTATCTTTGTTATAGCTTCCCTGCAATTGTTTGGATAACTGGTTTCCTGATTATACTCACCTACCTCCCCCCATTTTCTGATCAGAGGAAGTATACATTGTGTGTTCATCTAGCTGTATTTGTTGAGAGCCTCTTATGCTAGGTACTTGGGTTACAGCCATAAAAAGAGCATATATAGTTCATGCCCTTGTGGAGTTAATGGCCTGTTGGGCATAGAGGACAGCACCGAAGGTAAGAATTCCCAAAGGAAGGAAACTGAAAGTTGAGTGTTGACCAAGACTGAAGAGAGCCAAGATTAATATATTACCTACCTTGACAATATTTTTACTGGCTCATTTCTCTTTTTCTACTTCCTAATCAGGTATTCTTCCAGCTCCATATCTTTATAATCCTGTTTCCCATTCTTCCAGTTTTGTCAGCTCTCCCCATCCAGTCATGTATTTTTGTTCTGTCTGCCTAAATCATGTTGTGTTAAGATCCCCTCCATACTTCCTGCCTCTGCTCCTACTTTCTCTCCTTTCTATCTAATAAAAGTGTTTCCTAAGCCCTGGGTTGCCTAACCTCATTCATTCTCATTACCCTCTTGAGCAAGCCTCTTCTTTGTCTTGTTTTTTTGCACAGGACAAATACCAAAAGGTTCTTTTCACTCTTAGCACCGAGTACATGCACCCTCTTTGTCACTCCTTTTGCATCATAGTTTTATCTGATTAACCCTTTTCCTGACAGCTTGTTTTTATTTCTTTAAAAGAACTAATGGCATTTGCATTTTCTCTTTATTTCTTCAGGCAGTGACAAAAGAAGTAAGACTACAAAATTGAATATGAAGAAGAAAATTTCAGAATTTTCAGAAGACTTGAACCTATCAGGGAGAATCCAAAGAAATGTTTCTCAAGATTTTGGAGAAGGCCATGAACAAGACAAGTTGGATAGAAAGCAGGGCATTCCCATGAAAGAGATACGAGGACAACCCTCCTCAAAGAGACTCAATTTCAGTGATGTCACGTATGCCCACAAAAAGTCCTCCACAGGAGAGAGGCCACATAAGTGTAATGAGTGTGGAAAAAGCTTTATTCAGAGTGCACATCTTATTCAACATCAGCGAATCCACACTGGAGAAAAGCCATTTAGGTGTGATGAATGTGGGAAGAGCTACAATCAACGTGTGCACCTAACTCAACATCAACGAGTCCACACTGGTGAGAAACCCTATACCTGTCATTTATGTGGGAAAGCTTTTAGAGTGAGGTCCCATCTTGTTCAACATCAGAGTGTGCATAGTGGGGAGAGACCCTTTAAGTGTAATGAGTGTGGGAAAGGCTTTGGGAGGCGTTCACACCTGGCTGGGCACCTGAGACTCCACTCTAGAGAGAAATCTCATCAATGTCATGAATGTGGAGAAATATTTTTCCAATATGTTAGTCTAATTGAACATCAGGTACTCCACATGGGTCAGAAAAATGAAAAAAATGGCATTTGTGAGGAAGCATATAGTTGGAACCTAACAGTGATGGAAGATAAGAAGATTGAGTTACAAGAGCAGCCTTATAAGTGTGATATATGTGGCAAAACCTTTAGTTATAGTTCAGACCTTATTCAGCACTACCGAACTCATACTGCAGAGAAAACCTATAAATGTGATATATGTAGAGAAAATGTTAGCCACTGTTCCCACATAAAACAATATCAAAAAACCTATTCCAACGTGAAGTCACATCAGTGTAATGAATGTGGCAGAGCCTTTACTCTGAAGTCACATCTTAATCAACATCAAAGAATCCATACTGGTGAGAAACCCTTTCAGTGTAAAGAATGCGGAATGAGTTTCAGTTGGAGTTGCAGCCTCTTTAAACATCTACGAAGTCATGAGAGGACAGAGCCCATAAATACCTTAAGTGTGTAGATGTTTCTGTTGTAGAACAGCTCTTACTCGATTTTAGAGAAGCCTTCCTGAAGAGAAACCCTGCTCCTGTAAAGAATGTAATAACAACCTCAAGCCTTTTTTCCCAACTTATACCATCAAACTCACAGACAGGTCGAAATCCTTCAGTTTGAATTCAGCTTTAGAAACACTGGAGAATCCACAACAAATAGATCTCTGTTTCACCATTGAGAAATTCTTTTGTTTACCATCTTTGCGTTTGAAAATCTAGACAGGGGAGAGCCTTTGGATGGCACTCATTCTTCATTTGAAGCTCGGAACATTGACTCTGTGGGATGCCGTGTGAATGCAGTAGATTTAAATAAGCTTTATTTGTAGTTTCCACCTTGTTTGATAGCTTATCTATTCAGGGACAAGCACAGTGGGGGAGAGAGAGAGAACTCTTCAGCATGACGTCTGTTTTGGTACCTCAGCAATGAACCTTTTTCTAAAAATGATTATCCCAGTACTATAATGCTCCTGTTATTGTTCCATCTTGAGTATTAAACTCTGTGAGAAGAAATTGACTTAAGGTATTTATATATTTTGTCAGAGTTGGGGTTCAGAGACTGAATGGTCTATGTTCCTGCTGCCTTACTCAATCTACAACTTCTTAAAACATGTTCCACATTGTTTTTGTTTCGATTCTCGTACCATCAGGGTTAGCTGGTAGAAAGAATGCATTTATCAAGGGAAGAGAAAGAGGAGTAACCTTAGGGGAGTATAGAAAATGGCCAAACTGTAGATTGGTTTCTAATTCTGTTACCCACAAGAATGAGGGCAGTTATGTCCATAGAAGGAATTGGACCAAGTTGAATCTTGGTCTAAGCAGTATGTGTGTACCCGTTCCCAGTCACCCTGGACACAGATCTCTCCTATAGATAATAGCATGTAGAATGAGTTTCAGTTGGAGTTGCAGCTGAATTAAAAGTGAATGGTAATTGGGAGCAGGGAGGTCATGGTCTGGTTAGCCCTGCCTGGTGGAATGGAGTTGTTGAGGAAGGATGACTTGGGCCTGTTTGCTAGAAAGAGGGAGGGTACTCTGGGTGCTGCTGAAGTCCTGCTTCTGCTGACTGCCTGGCTTATAATAAACATTCAGTAAATACTCACTGACTGTGTCTGTTGTATGCTGGTCCCTGTGCAGATGCGTTTTGCCAAGCTGGCATGCCCATCCCCTAGTTGCTCTTGAGACACTAGAGACCTCTTCAGATGATGGGGGCTTGCCTCACCCAGGACCTGCCTCCACACCCACCCAGTCATCTCAACTGATTGATATGGAGGAAGCGCTATAACCCTCCCTCCAATTATCAGGTCATAGCTAGGCTATCTGAGGCTACGTCCATGCTCTGCTCTTGCCCTATGGTCTCCTGTTTCTTTCCTGCCCGTGAAGGGCATGCATGCCCTTAGCAAATCACATGGTTCTGTTTGGCTCAGCCTCTACAAAGACATTTGGTGTGTAAGTGGTCCTCGACAGCTGACTATCAGAATAGACTGTGGACAAGGCTGCTATTGATAGCCTCCGGTGTGTGGTGGCTGTTCAGTTGTGACATTCTCTGTGGTAAACTGGGATGGGACATGTGGAAGGAATGTACTGACTTGTGTAAGGTTTGTGGGGAAATGAACATAAGGGCTATATGGATGCGGGTAGCTCTTGCTAAGCTCTGATTCCTTGAAGGGAGAAAATGAAAACAGCACAAATAACCACCAACTTAACACTAAGTGCGTCGGGGGGCTTCCTTGATATTGTTTAAAGAAATTCTTGTCTCCTGCCGATAATCACAGAGCTAGGGGTTATCAGGTCCAAGACTTAATTGAGAATGATGGCTTCGTAAGTAAACCCTAAATTCCCAGCCAAAGAATGGTGCTTGTGCATACTTGACCAAAGGTCAGTTGTCACCAATGAGGAGCCAAAAAGATCTTGATTCTGAGTAGAGGAAGCCAAATAAAGCAATCATCGAGAAGGCTAAGATAGAATTGGGCTCTCTTTTCCCTGTCTTAGCTTCGATTCTATTTCACAGGACTCAGACTTTAACACAGCCTTTATTGAAGTCTATTTCCCCCATTTTCAGCTGTTCTCAATATAGCCCACTAAAATTTTGCATGAATGCTTGAGATTATTTTGCAGTTCTCAGGTCTTTCAGATGCCTCTTGCTTTCTCTGCTTCCTTTTACATTACTTAAGACTCTGTTAGTTTTGTGTCAGAGATACCATCACCTGGTTTTGTAGATCCTGCCTATGGCTTTCAGTTTTGCTACCCTAGTTGGTCAGTGTTTTTAAGGTGTTTTAAGGAGAATTATTAACTAGACCACTACCTTCTCTCTTGTGTCTCTTTTTTGAGAGCAAGAGAATTACCCCAATAGAATTACCCAATAGACCGCCCTACACATCTCACTATTTAGCCAAAATTAAGACACACATCCATGCTTAAATAAGAGGAGGATGTAAAATCATGATTAGCATCAAGTTTTGCTTCCTGTAATTATAACAGAGGGAAAAGCCACCCATACATAGATGGTGAATAACTGAACTTGAAGGGGTTCTGCCTAAAAGGAAGAAGCAAGGCAGGGGTCAGGTAACAGATGTGTGTGTAAAATTGTCAAGATTATTTTAACTCACAGGAATATATTTTACATTATTACCCTATACACACATCTATGAAACTAAAACAAGTTTCATGAACCAATGCTATATATGAAAATGAAACCTAGTAAATTCCAACTATAGTTTTATTAATATTGAACTACAATATACAAAAAAAAACCTAGAAAGTACAAAACCAAAATTTTGTAAAGGTGATATTTAGTGTAGGGGTGTGCCTGCCTGTTCATAAGTTCATTCCAGTTAGGAACACAGAAGACAAGGCTACACATGTCAGGAGCACTATTGAACTGATTGCTTTGCTTTGCTTTTAATTGTGTCAATATTGAAAATCTGGGGCCTCCCCTGGTGGCGCAGCCATTGAGCACTGGGCTGCAAAGCTGCCTGCAGCCTCTGCAGCGCTGGTTTGATCCCTGGCCACTGGCGAGGGTCCCACATGGTGCGCAGACCTCTCCTGCCATGCCTGCTGCTCCCCTCAGCAGTGTACTTCATCAGTCTGCCTGTTCTGTTCCCTGCTCTGGCTCTGGTGAATCCTCTCACCCTCCCGCGCTGCTGACTGTACCCAGTGCTTGTATAAATAAATAAATAAATAAATCTTTTTAAAAAAAAATATTGAAAATCCTAATTCACACAAATAGTTATGAATGCTAATAATAGCAATATACTCTTTTTACTTAGCAATGGAAATTCATCTATAATCTTTTTTTTTTTTAATTTTTTTTTAGATTTATTTATTTTTATTTATTTATACAAGCACTGGGTACAGTTAGAAGCGCGGGAGGGTGAGAGAATTCACCAGAGCCAGAGCGGGGAGCAGAGCAGGCAGAAGGACCGAAGTACACTGCTGAGGGGAGCAGCGGGCGGCAGGAGAGGTCTGCGCGCCATGTGGGACCCTCCTCCAGTGGCCGGGAAGCAGCTGGAGATCGAACCAGCGCTGCAGAGGCTGCGGGCAGCTTCGCAACCCAGCGCTCAACCACTGCGCCACTGGGGAGGCCCCATCTTTAATCTTAATCCAAAATGCTGATTAACGTAGTGTCTTATAATAATTATTCAGCGTGAATGACAAAGTAAGTTGCAATAATTCATTCTCTTCTGTGGGTATCAAGTTTAACTCAATTATTGATTCTGGGGTTTCAAAAGCAAATGGATCTTTTATCCAACTATTTTCCTTTAAGAATTCAAATTTCTCGGCCTCCCTGGTGGCGCAGCGGTTGAGCGCTGGGTTGCGAAGCTGCCCGCGGCCTCTGAGGCGCCGGTTCGATCCCCAGCTGCTCCCCGGCCACCGGAGGAGGGTCCCACATGGCGTGCAGACCTCTCCTGCCACCCACTGCACCCCTCAGCAGTGTACTTCGGTCCTTCTGCCTGCTCTGCTCCCCGCTCTGGCTCTGGTGAATTCTCTCACCCTCCCGCGCTTCTGACTATACCCAGTGTTTGTATGTATGTATAAATAAATAAATAAATCTTAAAAAAAAAAAAAAAAAAGAATTCAAATTTCTCTTCTGGGAAGCAATGGTGAAAAGTTTGAGACAAGGAAGTGAGATGCAACATTATCTCTAACCTGATTTTTAAAAAAAGATTTATTTATACATACAAGAGCTGTGGTACAGGCCAGAGGTGTGGGGGTGAAAGGATTCACCAGAGACAGAGTGGGGAACAGGACAGACCTGACTGAAACACACTGCTGAGGGGAGCAGCAGACAGTCAGGAGAGGTCTGCTGGGCCATGTGGGTAGCTCCCTGGCTGGGGATTGAACTTGTGCTGCAGAGGCTGCGGATTGCTTCATAGGTTGCGTCTTATAACCCCTTGCACCACCAGAGAGGCCCTAACCTTATTTCTTTTAAGCAGTCTTGATCAGCAATATTCTCTTCAATGTGTTGCAACAATGTAGGGAACATATTGTAGAAAGGCTGGTTATTTTTTTTTTTTAAAGATTTATTTATTTATTTATTTATACAAGAACTGGGGTACAGGCCAGCAGCATGGGAGGGCAAGAGAATTCACCAGAGGCAGAGCAGGGAGTAGAACAGGCAGAACGACCTAAAACACTGCTGAGGGGAGCAGCGGGCGAGACAGGAGAGGCCTGCCACACCATGTGGGTTTCTCCCTGGCCGGCTAGGAATGGAACCTGTGCTGCAGAGGCTGTGGACAGCTTCACAGCGCTGCGCTCAACCCACTGTGACACCAGGGAGGCCCTAGGCTGATTATTTTTTAAGTCTTGCTTGCCACAGCAATAATGTCTTTTGGAACCCAAGAATACGCACAAGATAGTGAAATATATTATTGCTTTCCCCCTGTATCTTCAAATTTAATTCATTAAGAATGCCAAAAATATCACTTAAATATGCCAATTTTGTTACCCAAATGTCATCTTCAAAAACAGTTGCCAAATGAGATTGATTTTCAATAAGAAAAATGTAAATTTCATTCCTGAGTTCATATACTCTGCCCAATACTTTTCCTTGAGACAGCCACCCAACTTCTGCATGAAATAGTAAGTGGGGGGCCTCCCCGGTGGCGCAGCGGTTGAGCGCTGGGTTGCGAAGCTGCCCACAGCCTCTGCAGCGCCGGTTTGATCCCCGGCTGCTCCCCGGCCACCAGAGGAGGGTCCCACATGGCGCGCAGACATCTCCTGCCACCCGCTGCTCCCCTCAGCAGTGTACTTCGGTCCTTCTGCCTGCTCTGCTCCCCGCTCTGGCTCTGGTGAATTCTCTCACCCTCCCGCGCTTCTGACTGTACCCAGTGCATGTATAAACAAACAAAGAAATAAATTAAAAAAAAAATGCCTCTAAAAAAAAAATTTAAAAAAAAAATTAAAAAAAAAAAAGAAAAGAAATAGTAAGTGGGTGTGGTTCACTCCAATCTCTGAACAAAATATTTCAAGAAGTCGGCCGTTCAATGAGCTTTCTTTAATAAAATTAACAATTTTAACTGCATTTTTAAAATACATCCATTAGACTTGGTGGAATGTCTTTGGATGCCAAAACTTCTTGATGAATAAAACAGTGGTTCCAAAGAGTACCGCTATGGGTTGCTTCTAACAATTTTTCAATAACTCTGCTAATTTTTCCAGTCATATTTGCTGCTCCATCACTTGTAATTCCTTTCCAGTTTTTCCAGTTTAATTTATATTGACCAACAATGCACTTTTCTAATGCAGTAAATAAATCTAGTTCAGTTGCATGTGAATTTAAGTTTAAACAACACAGGGCCTCCCTAGTGGTGCAAGGGGTTAAGCACCGCACTATGAAGCAATCCACAGCCTCTGCAGCACAAGTTCTGCAGCACAAAAGAAACCCACATGGTGAAGCAGACCTCTCCTGTCTCGCCACCTGGTCCCCTCAGCAGTGTATTTCAGTCATTCTGCCTGTTCTGTTCCCCCACTCTGTCTCTGGTGAATCCTCTCACCCCCTGCATCTCTGGCCTGTACCCCAGCTCTTATATGCGTAAATAAATACATCTTAGAAAAAAAAAAGTTTAAACAACACAAAAGATCCTCTATAAAAAAATCATCTTGCCACACATATCTGACATAAACCAAGAGTGTTGCACAACTGGAATATCAGTGCTCTCATCAAGTTGGATTACAAAATCTATACCAGATTATAACCGTGCAATAAGTTTCGCTTCTAAATGTTTTGCAATCGTATAGATTCGACGAGATATTGTATTATCATTAAGAGGTATAGTTCTTAATTTATCAGCTGATTCATGTAGGCTGTGTGCCAAGAGGTTTTTGTACATTGCTTACACAACTCATATAACATCAATGTTAATCTAATGATTAAGTGCATAATTAAGATTCCCATTTTACGGGTGAAAAATAGCTAAGAAAGATTAAATAACATTTCTAACACTATAAAGTCAGTGGAGCAGCACCAATACTCAATCCAAGTCTGAAGTCCAGGGTCCTAACTGTGCAGCTACACTGCCATCTGATCACTAAAAAGTGATCTGGCCACTCTAAAAAGTGGTCAGCACAGTAGGGTGTATGTGACGATCCATTGGGGCGCAGGTGGGGGTGGAATTAAAACTTGTATTTATATTTTAAAAATACCGAAATCCATTTTATCTTTCCTGATGGTCCTAGTTTTACTTTTCTCCCCATCTTTAGCATTTATATTGTTTTATCATCATTTGAGTTGACATTCTTATCTTTGTTTTCCAACTATATTTTCTTTATACATTTCAGTGATAGTTTCTGAATATGCCATACCATTTCAGGTTTTTTAATAAAACTGAAGAAAAGGAATCTTATTTTTTGACATCTGGGTCAGTTTTAAAGGTGGGATGAGCCATCCCTTACGGTGGCAGTAAGAATCAAAATGGCCCTTCAGAGATGCAGGGCTAAGGTCAGGGGCCCAGTCACTCCTCCCTGACCCAGACTGTCTCTCCTAGAGGGTTTTCCTGCTCATATTCTGGGCAAGAAGTAGTAGAAAAACTGGCTTTTGTTTTAGCTTTCTTGAATGATCTCAGCACCCTCAAGAATAGATTGTCTTTTGCTCTCATTGTCACTCATGTCCCTTAACAGAATTTGTGGCAATCCATATTAAAAAATATATTTGTTTACTGAATACAATATTAACATTTCTGCCCATTTATAGAAAGCTCAACAAATGCAGAAAAGGCATACATATCATTTATAATGAAGAGATTTCACTATATTGCATATCAGATTATTTATGAAACATCCAAGTGAGAGTGGGAGGAATTTCATAGCTGCAGTTTTAAATTCAGAAATAAATTTTATGTCCAAGAGTAATTTACTTATATTTCTCCCATAAGACTTTGTAATCAACCTATTCCTTCAACAAAGGACCCATTGATCTGCTTACAATGCATTGTCCACATTTGATTGTTTGCATATGATTTACTTACCATCAGCCTGTATAAGTGTTTTCCTTAGTCCCCTGCCACTTAACAATCTCTTAATAATGAAGGTATCTTTCTGTATACTGGTGGCATTGCAGGAAATGGAGATGGGCCATCAGCTTTGGCCTTGTTGGATTTTATGTCACTCTACAAATGAATTTCCAAGTTGGAAGTGTCCTTTGAGATAATCTGTTATACTCTGAGGGAAATTTGAGACTTGGTAGTATTTTGTCCAAGATCATTCTGCTCATCAGTGGCGGAAAGAGCACTGGTGACTACTCTCTTAATGGCCCACAGCACTTTTTCACAGTATCACAAGCCTTTACTACTCACCACTCCAAGGCAATCTAAGCACCTTTACCTCCCACAAATGAAAAACCGACTTAATGTCTGAAATTACACCTTTAAAAAAAGCCCTAGAAAGTTCAGAAACCGAAAGTTAAATGTGGTGTATGTAATATTTACCTACTGCATCCAAATCACTTTATTCCCTAGGGTTCAAACGCTCTTAATCACTATCATCAGTGATGGTGGGTGTAAGTAGATGTTCTGCAAACTTGTAAATCCTAAACTTGTCCATTTAAAAAAGTTCGTGGAGCTTGGTGCTCTTGGGTCATCCTGATTTTAAACTCAGGTTCCCAAGGAATCAAGGGGATTGGGGGAGGAAGATCCTCATCAGAAGGAAAGTGAACAGAGACAACAGGGAGTTGGGGTGCACAGCAATTAAACGAGGGTCATTTTGGAGCGAATGACCCTCTGGGGTGAAAAACGAGAACAAGAAGGGCCACGCAAACCACCTCTCCCAAGTGTCAAAGGCATCTAGCACAGGCCAGTCCAAGTGGTTCCCTTCCCGCTCAGATCCAGGGCTATCTCTGTTGGGGGACCGCGCATCCTAAGGCGAAGGCTGGAGCCAAGGCCGGGGACACGTACCCTCCTCCACGCTGTTAGGGGGTGGCCATGGCGAGGGGTGTCGCGGAGCACAGTTGGACACATCCACCTCTGCCCTGCCCGTGCTTCTGGCAGGACCCACGTCTCACAGTGAACACTGGAAAAGTCTGGGGGTGCTGGGATAGAAAAGGGAGGTGATACCAAAGGAAGGACAGGGAGCTTGGACCCGACATCTCAGCTCGCCAGATCCCAGAGACTGTCACAAAAGCCAGAAGCACGTCAAGCCCACCTTCCAGGACCCGGGTGCGCTTTGGGGTTCTTTCTAGGTATGCTGGTGGACTTCGAGTCCCAGTTCCCCAATCTCTGGGTCTGACTTTGGGGAGTCTCTTTCCAATATTCACCTCTCCCCATCCGGGAAAGTGGGGTTTAGGTTTTCCTTGATACCATCCTGCTCAGATACTTACACGTTTTTCACATTTTTCTTATTGACAGCAGTAATCATAATACTTCTAATTATTATCAATAATAATACTTAGCGATTGTGTATCTGCAGCAGAGAAAGTGAAACAAAGATCAGTACAGTGGTACATCAAAGTGAAGTCAAGGATGAATAGTTTACAAAACGGAAGTGATTGCTTCTCTGGGGACTCTAACACTTGAAAGGGGCAGTAATTTCAAATATCTGATCTACGGGCAACAGATATTATTTCCATACTAGACAGAGGTTTTGAGTTTGACTAATGCTTCCAGGTAGTTTTCAAAATAACAATAGTGGAATTACTACAGTATATCTAATTTGGGACATTTTTTACTGGCAAAATGTTATCACAATAATTACAGCTTTTGGGCCTCTCTGGTGGCGCAAGGGGTTAAGATGCAACCTGTGAAGCTCTCCACAGCCACTGCAGCATGAGTTCAAACCCGGGCCAGCGAGCTACCTACATGGCACAGCAGACAACTCCTGACTCACTCACTGCTCCCCTCAGCAGTGTATTTCTATCAATCTGCCTGTTCTGCTCCCCACTCTGTCTCTGGTGAATTCTCTCGCCTCCCACACCTCTGGCCTGTACCCCAGTTCTTCTATGCATAAATAAATCTTTAAAAAAAATGACAGCCTTTACCACTACATTATCAATAGACAAAGATACTACCTATTACAAAACAGTAACAGATCTTGGGTGGCTGTGACATGACTCAAGTTCTGAGCCAGATCTGGGCACAATAGAAAGGCTTACAAAAGGAACACCCTTTGCTACAGCAGCTACCAGGGATGAGGTGATATTCTGAACAGCCTTCCAAGTCCTGAATAATGTTCTGTTCCTCAGGAGGTTTGACCTTGCGGAGGTGGTCATTGCTTTTTGTCTACTTTCCACAACTTCTTTCTTTTTGTAGTTCTTTAGTTTTTTGTCCCACGATTCTTTTCAATAATCCACTTTCTTCCTTTATCATGGGCTGGCTTGCTAACCAATGGTTCTTCTTGAAGACAGCACATTCTCAGAATGTCTTCCTCCACATATCCACATACTTTTTCATATTCCCTTTCAGTGTTCCAAGTCATCTCTAAGCACATTGTTATGCATTATATTTTCTTCTATGTCTAAAGTTGCCCTTCTCCCCTAACACCACTCCCATTCCCACATTCAAGTGCTTAAAGTATTCAGAAAAATAGGTTCTTGAATGCAACTGGCTGTTTTTGTTTTTTTAATTTTTTAAAATTATGTAGTGTGTTTGGTAGGGACTGTGGGGACTCTATTCTTTGTCTACTGATCTACTGGTATGAGAAAGTCAAAGACGTGATATTCTCAGTTCCAGTACAGTGGGACACTTAGGGCCAGTCAATGTGTGGTGTGTATTCTTAAGTATATCTTAAGAAGAACTGTTTTTTCTTAGAATCAGGACCGCAGCCCAGCAGCCTGTAGGTTTGGAGATAGGAAGCATAAATTGCACCACTGGGTTACTGGATATGATAGTAATAGGAGTCACTCCTGTCTCAATTCCTTGGAGACACAATACCATATATATTAGTGTTTCATGCACATCAGTGCATAAACTGTATCCTGGACAGCTCCTCTAAGTTACAAGGTGCTGTTTCTTGTATCAGCAATTAGTGGCGTCTGTTCATTTACTTAAAAACTACTAATTTAGTGCCACTCTTGTGTCCAAGATAGCCAGTATTTTAAAATTGGGCCTGAAAAATATGATGAGCCACAGCTGCCCTTTCCAACGCTGCTGTCCACCTGCACCAAGCTTTACCCATCACAGTTCAGGAATGCAGCTCTCTTTCAGTCTGCTTCTTTATTCCACTGCAAGTTGCTCTACGCCCCATCTTTCCCCAAGGACCTTAATAGCTTCAGATCCCACGACTTCCTATCACCAAAGCACTTCACTTCAACCCTAGCCTGACAGACCTGTTCACAGAAGTCGTATCACTAGGTCTGCAGCCCACGACACGCACCCACTTGGGCAGGCAATCACCCTGTGGGGAGTCTCGAGGGTCTACCGGCGCCAGGGAGGGGCCAGGAGGGGAGCTTTCCCAAGTGCGGTCATTACTGACACACCGACTACGGGCCAGCGGGGCCAGCAAGTGGGGAAATGAGGCGGGAGCAGGACGTGGAGAAAGCGCACGCGCGGCTCCCACGCCTCGGCCTCATCCGGGGCCCTCCCTCGGGCCCGCCCCCCGCCCCGGCCGTCGGACTCCACCTCCGGAAATGCCACCGAGAAGCGCCGGCCTCCGAGCGATCTAGAGCGACCTCGGGAAGGCCCTGGCGACCCAGCCTGCGAGAGTCCGCGACGGGACGGCCACCGGCCCGCCTCTCCTCTCGGGTGAGTCGCCAGAAGCCGTTCTGGGGTCGCGGTGGGGACGCCGCTTGTTTTGCCTCCCCGGGAGGAGGAAGAGGCGGCGCCCGGCCGGGCAAGTGGTGGTTCTCCTCCCCAGCAGCGCGCGGCCGCCGGGGTTCGAGGGCCTGTTTCTCTTTCAGTCAGCGCTCGCCCCGACGCCCAGCCGGCTGAGAGGCGCCGCGTCAGACCCGCGACCGCGGCCCGGTGAGCTGGGTCTCAGAGGCCCGCCTCGCCCTTTCGGGGTCGCGTCTTTAGAGACAGTGGGAGGAAGTGGGAGGAGGGCAGTGCCGGGCGAGGCCTTCTGAGGACCCGGCGCCAGGGCCCGTTCTGAGGGTGTGCAAGGCGACGCAGCCCGGTCGCGGCTTTGGGTTTGAAGGACGCCACTCAAACCTGTTTGCGTCTCAGGTCCTCCCAGGGTTATTGTCAGGATTGTGGGGAAAGGCCTGCCCACCTAGTCTGTGTTAGCGAGGGTCTGACCCCAGAAGAGAGGTTCTGTTATTAGTTCGGGCCACTTAGTAATTCGCAGGGGGCCGACATAGTGTTACCAAGTAATTCCTAAAGGCCCTCCTTTTTTTAAAAAAAGGAAATTAATAAGAATAACCATAACTAGTATATTTTTTGGGGTACAAAACTTAAGCTTTAAAAGAAGCTCGTAAATAGCAAATATTTTAGACTTCACAGAAATCTTTACACTATTTGTACTGTCTTGATACAGTTTTTGAAACACTGCAAATTCTGAATTAATGGAGTTTAGGTAAATCTGCATACTTGGACCATATGATTTGGTTCTTGACTATTTGAAACTGACAAATAACCCATTTTTCTTTCTGTTAATTTGGTTGGTTCATCATATCAACTATTTTTGTTGAGTATCTACGTTGCATAAGCTACTTTGTGAAGTCTGAGGTTATAAATAATGGGTTATTTTAACGTATTACAATAATTTCTCCTAATCTCACTCTGCAGTGATGTTCATCGTCTTCCAGAACAGGGATGGAGGAAATTTCAGCCCAGGAAGCAGCAGGATCACCAAGCATCCAGTTTCAAGCTTTGGAGACACACTCTGAGGGTCTATCCCCAGAACCTCAGCTCTTACAGGATACCGACATGGAACAGGGACTCACTGGGGGTAAGGCAGAGAGAATACTTACATTCAGGAGAATGGGAGTACAGAAGGGCTTCTGGGCCTGGTGTGAGAGAGGCCAGGAACTTTAATAAGTAGAAGTAGATGGCCCCAAAAGGGAGAGACATATATGACTCACTGCAGTTTTGGGCTGGGCCCCTTTATTAGGGACAACCTTTCTTTAATTAGTAGAGTGGTAGTTACTCTGCTCTGGCTGTTTTTACTTCTTACAACCTTTACTTCACCCTAGTTACCACATCCAGAGTCATTTGTAAGATAGGTTGCTTTTACCACATCTCACAGTCCTTGCCTTGCTTTCACTTCCTGTTAGATGTAGGGCTGCTCCCTCCCCCATTCCCTTCAGTTAGTTTCTTTTCTCTTTGAGGATGTTGTGAGCTTTGCCACCTGCCGTTCTGATGCAACTGCAGTGTTTGTGACTAATCGAATTTTGAAAACAACCTTTTAATTCCTTGGTTGAGCACAAGCCTGTAAGTGTGTATACATACATATATGAACCGTATAACAACATTTTTGTGTATCATATAGGTAGGTTGATCTGTCTTGTACTTTATGCTTTGTACTACCTTTTGTAAGCTCCTTGCCATAAATTCTTTGTAGCTACCCGCAGTGCCTGAAATAACTTGTGTGTCAGCAACACAGATTGAGTGCCACAGTGTTTAAAGTGCTATTGGGCATTGTGGGAGTGTGGAAAGGATTGTGAGGAAACAGATGACCATTCCTTGTTCTTAGGGACCATATGCACTGGTTGCAGAGACAGTCCTCATTCAAAAGGGAAAGGCTTAATGAAGTTTACAGAGCAGTGTCTAGGAATGGGTCAGAAGTACATAAAATAACCATGACCCTGGACAAGTCACTACAAGTCTTTATGCTTTGCCCATCTACAAAACAGGTATAGTGCTTACCCCTTTGATAGAAGGAATGTCATATACTAAGGATAAAGTGAAATAATGAGATTTCATAATAGTATGTCATGGATTTGAACATGTGTAAGGAGGGCATGCAAATGCTGAGAAGGAGCAGAGTAGACACATTCAATAGCTGATAACATTTATTGATTTTACTAGAGTGTTTCTGTGAGAAAGCATCCCACTGACTCCCTGTTCTGTAAGGGAGCCCTGGGGAAGGACTGCTCTCACTCTTCGCTCCTTTCTCCTCCTTCAGCTCCACCTGTTCCCCAGGTGCCTGCTCTTCCCCATGAGGGAAGCCCAGGAGACCAGGCAGCTGCGCTTCTGACAGCCAGGTACCAGGTGAGCTGAGGAACCCTCTGATTTTCCTCAGGGAATATCGCTGCTAATTTAGTGTGGCCCTCATCCCATCTGTAAAACCCTGCCTGGAATTTTTTCAATAGCAGACCCCAGTTTGGCAATTGATCCTCATCAGAGACCTGGACTTCACACAAACAACCTTTCCATCTCCCCAGCACCACCAACAAACATTGTTCTTTCTTTATCCATAACACTATGATGGGCACTTCTTAGATGCAAAAGGGTTATGGAACGTCCTCCCTAAGTTCTAACTTGTTCTCCCTCCTCCCCACCATAAATACATACTGGATACCTTCTTTGTATCATCTCCTTCATTCTTTGGCAGTGATGCTATAGTGGCCTCATTCCATAGAGCAGCCAGGCTGTGTTATTTCAGGAGTTTGTGACATTCGAGGATGTGACTGTGCACCTTACTCGAGAGGAATGGGGATGCCTGGATCCTGTTCAGAGGGATCTCTACAGAGAAGTGATGTTAGAGAATTATGGGAACGTGGTCTCACTGGGTAAGGACTGTCTTTCTTATTATTCAGTTTCCTTGTTAGGGTTTCTTTACTTCCTTGTTTCTGAGTTGGTGTGAGATCTCTGAGAAAGTTGAGTGTGGTTCAGATTCCAGGTTTTAGGACATCTGAATCCTTCAACTTTAAGGTCATCTCTGGGAATGGGTTTCCTTTGGGAGTCTCAAGAAGAGACATTCTACTCCTTACCCTCAGCCAGTGATTCCTGCTTTTGTGGGACAACTGTTCCCGGGTAGAAGATGGGAACTTGCTTGTGCTTTGCCTAAGTTCTTGCCTTCCCTGTCTTTTCCTTTTTTAATAAGAGAGACTCTGGGACCTACCAACCCACAGATACTTTCCTTCCTGGCATTGCAGTATCCATGTATCTGAGAGTTTCCCATTTTCCTAGGAAGAAGAAAGGTCTTTTTAAAAGAAAGGCTGAATTCTTGTTTTGGGATCTAAAGATCCCTGTGTTCGTCTCCAAGCAGGCAGAATTTGAGAGATTTCATGTTAAAGGCATGACTCACTGTGAGTACATTTCAGTGAGTCACCCAGATGGAAATCCTAAATAACCTCACCCAAAGCAACAGAAGTCTCAGATACTGTCCTCACACTGCGGTGGGGTAAATTCTTAACCAGGTCTCTCCTTTGTCATTTGCTTGGTATAGTAGGCAGCTGAGATTGGGCAACCTATAGTCTGCAGAGAAGCATCAGTGGGGGTTGTGGTAACCCCCTTGATGTGAGCATTGTTCCTCTTCCATTTTTTGCCTTTCTCTGTTTCTGCTCTTTTTATGTACGTGTGTAATCACAGTGCACTTGTGCTCTTCTGTGTGTGCGCGTGTGCACTCTGTCTCCCTGTTGTCTATGCTGCTGGCATCTAGGGTGTGCCTTATCTTCTTGATTATATTCAGAATTAGCAAGGTCTTATCTGTGGGGAGGCAGCCTGCCCACTGGGAAGGTTTTTAGTGTGTTTTCCATTCCTGGCTCTTTGATCTTTATAGGCATACTTCTCCGCCTTCCCACCTCCCGGATTCATAATGTGAATTCCTGCCCGGCCCTGAGTCATACCCAGGCAAGTGCTTTCTCTGGAGAAACACTTGCAGTCCTTTCAGCAGGAATCTCCAAGAGATGGCCCAGGTATCGACTTCCCATCGATATTGCTCGCCCCTGCTCGGAAACTCCTTTTCCTCGATTGTAAGATATTAAACTTGATTGATGGAATAGATGCTCCTCAGGATGCTACCAGTATGTGAAAGTGCAGCTGCTCAAATGACCTTTGTTAAATTTCTAAAGGGCCAGGGAAGCCCTCCATTGAAACCAGATGCATTTTGAACCCAGTTCATTCAGAAGTCATGGTCATCTCCTCGTGCTCTGAGAAACCTGAGTTCAACTTCAGCTCTTCAGTTATGATCCTTTCATGTTATTTTAGAAATGTGGAACATACGCCGTGCCCCTCCTTTTCAGTGGTGAACACGACCTGCCCCTTCTGTTGCCTGACTCTTCTGTGACCCCTGGTCTCATGTTTATCATTCTAGTCTTCTTCCCTCCTTGTGCCTATCTCCAGGGTTTTACCTTCATCTCCCTTATTCTTTGTGGTGCTGTACAGATTGATGGATTTATATAACTTTTCCTGGTCAACAGTTCCTTAGTTCTGTCCTTCATGGAGGGGAAATGGGAGGTCAAGAGTTCAGTTTCTTTATTTCAGGGTATCAAATTGAATGTATATTTAATAGCTTTGTAAAATGTAAAATGATATGTAATTGTAAACTATTGTTAATTTTACCTAATAATTACATAAGTTCCAACAGTTATAACCTGTCTACTTTTTGGAGTAAAGAAACTTTAATCAACCTAATAGCATAGCTTGCTGTTAGGCTGAATTTTATCCCAGTTCCTCAGTCATTTCTGCACACAACAGGATATCCACATGCACACGCACATATCGGGTACGAATGCATACAAGAAACCCTCCTCAACTTGCTGTTGTAACGAGTCAACAACATCTCCTTAGTAATTATTTTTACAGTTCTTGGGAAGTCATTTTCTATATTTGTGGATTCAGCAAATTCCATCTAAAATTTAAGTTTCTTTACTTGCTAATTTGGCTTAATGTTTTGTGAAATAAGGACTTTATAATTTAGTTCCTTACTTAGCAATTCCACTTTTCTATTTCACATTTTTCCCATGGCAGTTGTTCTGCGTTATGTTTGTCACAGGCATCAGAACGTTGGTCCTTTGTTAAGTGCTTCCATTTACACCGTAGTAAACATACATAGTATGAATAGCTGAGTAAAAGTGAAAAAGTAGGTAAAAAGTCAAAATATTCATTGCCAAATCTAAAAAGCATACTCTCTTGACAATGAGTGAATTACTACTTGAGGTCATACCCAAAAGGGCATTATCTGTGACTCAATACTGAAGATTAAGATGGGGAAAGGGGCTGGATTCTGGATTGCATTTCACATGGAAGAATGTGGCAGAGGCCCACTTAGATGACAGTATTGGAAACATGCTTATCAAAATCCTAGCTAATGATAAGTGAGTTCATAAATTAGGAATGTTTGGCCCATGCCTCCTACTTTTTGAAGTTGATATTATGAGGCCAGAAGTGATTTTGCATAGAATGTCTTTTATTGCCATAACTATTTACTATGTTACTATGTACTATAGTGGTATGTACCTCATTTAACACCACAGACCTCTGAGCAGGTATTGTATTTCAGACCTGAGGCTCAGAAAAGTTGGGTAATCTTGTTCAACATCAAGAGCTAGAGTTGGAACTCAGATCTGACTCTGAAGCTCACCCATAATCTTTTTCACTTGTGCTTTAGGAGACTTAGTTCCTCTACTTGCGGTGTTTTTTATATTTGTATGGGTTTGTACCTGATAACAATTCAAAATGACAGATAAATTGGATAGGCAAGCACTAGGTTGTACAGTTTGGAAGCAGAAAGAACATGCATTCAAGAAGTAAAATTGTCTAGAAATATGTTGTTATAGTAGCTATCTACACAAGAATGAGTTGTTAAGGAGATATTTTTGTGTGTATGTGTATTTAATTAAGGACCAGGAAGAAAGTCATGAAGATTCCAGATAGCTAAAATCTTAGCATAATTCTGGTACAGGCAACAAGCCAAATGAGGTAAAGGTCATTTTTCGGTAAGGAAAAATTGAAGCACAGGCATATTTTGAAAGCATAGAGTTTTTTCTGTAAATTTAGGAAAAAGACAATCAAGTCAATGGCAAGAAAAGTCTACCTTAATGCTTTCTGTGACCCTTAGTACAATAGCTTGGGAAGAATATAAACTGTGAAATCAGACTTGAGTTTTTCTTACTAGTTGTGATACACTGAGCAAATTGTTTAAAATGACACTTGTTTTCTTCATCTATAAGACTTGAAAAATAATGTCTACCTTTCTGGAGTGGCCAAGGATTAAATTAGATTATGTTTCTAAGTACCTGGTGTGGGAAAAAAATAGCAAATGATGCAATGATAGACCAAATTTTTTAATACAAATGAAAATTTCAGGAGTGTTCAAATTATTCCTTTATAGTGGATTTTTCTCAAATTGAATCTTGCTCAGATTGTTTCCTTAGGAGTTTGGATTTTTGTTATAAAAAGATTTTGATTTCTTTGATACTAAATGATCTCTTATGATCTTTGATACTAAATGATTCCTTTTTATTAAAATGTCAGTGATTCCAAATCTGTTGAATCTTGGCTGTCTATAAATTGTTCTAGTCACTGTTTCTCTATTCTTTTTATTATTTTCATCTTTTACTCTGTTAATATGTTTGGCCTGCTGTTTTCTTTGTGTACATATGTTGGAGGATGAGATAGATTTTATTCTTGATCATTATTTTTTCACTAGTACATTTTTCAAAGTCTGAAAGAAACTTGAGCCCTAACTTCTACAGATATTATGACTTTGGGCGATTTATTTAACTTTTCTGAATAGTAATTTTCCCATTTGTAAAATGGGCACTATAATAGTTCCTGCTTCTTAAGTTATGGTGAGTATTAAGTGAGTGAAAGCTTGTAAAGATCTTAGCATACCTACTAAATTCTTTAGTAAATCTTAGCTTAATATTTTGATGATACAGGTGATTTTATTTCTAAACTGCAGTCTTGTATCTCTGTCTGCTAGAGATTTTCTTGTACCTTTCTATATTACCTTAAACATAAGTCAAACCCTTTGTCCCAAATGAAAATATTTTTGTTATGCTTGTGTTTAAGTATAGATACATAGTAAATAACCAATATTTGTTTCATTATCAAATATTTTGAAACACCTTAATATATCAGAGTTAAAAATTTTAAATTATGTTCAAACCTGTGAAACTATTTTACTTTTTACGGAGAACCTTAACTTAATAAGTGTCCAAAAGGAGAATTGACTCTATTAATACCCAACAGGAAGTTAGAAACACAATAAATGGCTTTCATATTCCCTAATCTCCCTCACAGGGAATTCCAGGTAGGCAGCTGTGGATCATTGTGTTTTTTCAGGCCCAATTTAAAAATACTGGCTATCTGGGACACAAGATTGAGCAGCTCTTACATGAATGAATCCAAAGAAATGTGAGATACAAGACACATGGTCACTGGTTCTCAAAAGAGTTTATAAATACAATAGAGATGATAATACCTGAAACCAATTATTAAAAAAAATCTATAAACTCTTATGCAGTAATATGTCAGGATAAGAGGAGTAGTCTTGTAGACATTTAAATGAAGAGAAAGGCTTTTGGAGATGTGGCTTGAACTAGACCTTGTTTGTGTGCTGGTAGAATCTTTCTGGGCTGAACATGTATAAAAATTGTCCCTTTGGTACCATAATAGTTCTGCCCTTTCAAAAACAAACTTCCCTTTGCTTTTGCTTTAAAAGAGATTAGATCCCAGCAGTCCATTATCCAAACCAAAGAAAGACCAGTTTTTGTGAAGAAGCACTTGTATTGTCCTTTCTTCACTGTATCATATTTCAGTTAGTTTATATGTCTCTGCAGTTAGAGTGTAAGGTCCCTGGGAGGCCGGGGGGGGAGGGGGAGGGATGCACCTTATCTGCCTCAACTCTTCATCTTTGCATATTTCATATAGGAGGCACTCTATAATGTTGACTAAACAAAAGTAAGCTCCTAATGGGCAAGGATGTGGTATATTATTTGTTTCCTCATGTGTACTTTAAACTGATTTTTTCTGGAGATTGGCCCTTGGACCAATTTATTCAGTTCTCACTAATTCTGTTGCTACAGTTTCGCTTAGTGTTCACAAGTGAGTTTTCACCTTTCTCCAGCCCAGCAGTTATATTTTGGTGACCTTAATTTGACCAGATCTAATCTTTGTAGACCTGGTCTTATACAAAGATTGATCGATAGGCAGCAGATAAAGAGTAATGGTAATAATTTCTGTGAGGACAGTCACACACCCATGCACAAATTCCCTTTTCTGAATAATGTTTAAGTGAACACTTCTCTCAAAAGTCATCAACTTACCTGTTCACACACCTCTTTCTAGAGTATAAATATGAGCTCCTCATAGAGGATCTTTGCCTTCCTCACTCTCCAGGCCTTTCTAATGTCTTCTAAGAATTTATTTTCTCTCTCCATTAACTATTTTTTAAAAAAAAAGGTGGCTGGTAAAGTATCTGGGGATAAATTGCCACATCCCATTTCCTTCTCTATGAGCAGGATTTCCAATTTCCAAGCCTGATGGGATCTTCCAGCTGGAACAAGATCTACAGGTCTTTGATCTCGAAACTAAGAATAGAGAAGTCTTAAGAGATACCTGCTCAGGTGAGTAAGGCAGAATCAACAGATGGAATTAGCGAAGTATAATTAAGTTGTTGACCCAAGTTTTAACTGCTTTGGCAGTCAGAATAAAGAGCTCTGTCTATTCCCCCGAGTTGGAGAGCTCCTTTCTTTTCCTTTAAGTTTTAATATTTATTTTGTCCCTTGTTTTATAAGTTATATTAGGTCAAGTTACTGATCTAATTCTTTTGAACTGCTTCCCTATTACTGCTTTTGTAATACCTTAATTGCTTATTTTCCTACCCTGTTGAACATGCCCTTTGTTTCTACCACACCCTGAATGATTTGGATACTACCTCACTGCTCCTGTTCTTGCCCATACATAAGCTGTTGAGATTTTGTGGCTGTGTTTCAGAGTAAATAAACTTCTTTGATCCTGGTAGATGTTAGATTATTTAGTTTTTCCCCCTCAGTTTTCTTTTTCTAAGCACAGGGTACATTTGCAGATTACATTTGCATTTTCTATTTATATATTGAATCAGATGGAGAGACCAGAGAAGAGAACAAGCTGTTGATTCCTAAGCAGAAAATTTCGGAAGAAGTACAGTCATACAAAGTGAGAGTAGGAAGACTCAAAAAGGATATTGCCCAAGTTCCTGAGACTATAGAAGTATATAAATCCGAGGACAGATTAGAAAGGCTTCAGGAAATTCTAAGAAAATTTCTTTTCCTGGAGAGAGAATTTAGGCAAATAACAATTAGCAAGAAAACTTTCACCAGTGAGAAGAACAGTGAATATCATGACTCTGAAAAAAGCTTCAGTCTGGACTCTTCCCTTGATACTGATCAGAGAGTTCTTAGGATACAGAATATTGATGATATTGATAAGTATGACGTGAGCCTCAACCAGAATTCAGCTGCTGATAAACATGGAAAAATAAATCTAACACAGGATTTTCAGAGTAGTGAATATAAGGAAAGCTTAATGGATCTTTCCCCCCTGAATAAATGTGAGAGCATTCCTACCAGTGAGAAATCCTATAAATGTGATGCATGTGAGAAAGTCTTCCATCAGAGCTCAGCCCTTTCTAGACATCAGAGAATTCATACTAGAGAGAAACCTTACAAATGTAAGGAATGTGAAAAATCTTTCAGTCAGAGCTCAAGTCTTAGTCGACATAAAAGAATACATATTAGAGAAAAACCCTATAAATGTGAAGCATCTGATAAATCCCATGAAGCATCTGATAAATCCTGTAGTCAGCGCTCCGGCATAATTCAGCATAAGAGAATGCATACTAGAGCAAAATCTTTTAAATGTAGCCATTGTGAAAGAGTCTTCAGTCGTAGTGTACACCTGACTCAGCATCAGCGAATTCACAGAGAGATGCCTGATAAGTGTGCTGTACGTGGCAGTGACTTCTGTCGGACCTCATACCTATCTGAGCATCAAAAGGCCCACTGGGAAGAGAAGTCCAATGCATACAGTGAATGTGGACCAACCTTTATCAAACATCAAGGATTTCGTCTCAAAGAAAAGCCCTTTACATGTAATGAATGTGGAAAAGACTTCAGATTGAATTCCCATCTTATTCAGCATCAAAGAATTCACACAGGAGAGAAACCACATGAATGTAATGAATGTGGAAAAGCCTTCAGACAAACCGCATGCCTTATTCAGCATCACAAAATTCATAGGAGAGAGAAATCCTGTGAGTGTAATGATTATGAGGAAAGTTTCGATCATAGCTCAGATCTTGTCCTGCAACAAGAAGTCCTCACTAGAGAAAAAGCCTTTGATTGTGATGCATGGGAAAAGAACCTCAGTCAGAGAGCACACTTTGTTAAACATCAAAGAACTCATACCAAAGAGAAACCTTATGAATGTATTGAACGTGGGAAGACATTTAGTCAAGTTCAGGCCTCATTTAACATCTGAGCATTCACAGCAGAGAAAAATTATGTCTGTAACTAAGTGTGATAAAGTCTTTGCTCTTAGCTCAAACTTTTCAGCATCAGAGACTCCATACCAGAGGGAAACCATTTCTCAGAATGTGATGATGAATGTAGGAAAACTATTAGTGTTAAACGCTTAATACCTGCAAGCCAATAACAATGAAAAAACCCATGAATATACTGAATGTGGTAAACGTTTCATGCTATTTTCATACCTTAGTCACCATTGGAGAATTCATACTGGAATAAAATTCCATTATTATAATGAATGTGAGAAAGCCACCAAACAGTCTTGTTCATCAGATTCATTTCATGCAGAAAGCCTATGAATATGTATGTGTGTGGGAAGATTCAGTCATATTCTAAAAGTCATTGAGTATCAAAAAATCTATACCCAAGAAGTCATTTGAGTGTATAAATGTGATATATCTTTCAGTAGAAATTCAAGTCTTTTTCACCATCAGAGTTTCCACACTAGACCAGAATCTGATATGATGCAAGTGAAAAAGTGTATCACCATTTCATGCTTGATATCAATTATTGCAGATTATGGCTGATTATTTGTATATGAAATTGCTAATATATAGTACCAGTCTTTTTCATTGCAGAAGAACCTATTCTGAGGAGTGACTTGGAGAATGCATTGCTGTCTTCCCATGATATTCTTTTATTTAATATGATAGGTGTTGTAAGTAGTTATGTATATTTTATTTATGGAACTCAAGCTATTTTTATTTTAATATGGCCTATAAACATTTTTATTTTATCCTGAAATTGGTTCTGTTGGTCACTGCTTCCCTAAACTATCATTAATACACCAAATTGTTAAAACATAACTCTGGAAAAGTAGCTAATTTTTTTTTGTTCTGAGGCCAACTTCTCTCCAAAACAGACTCGTAGGCCTAATCTTTGCTGAGGACTCTTACTTTCTGTTCCGTATTAGCCTGAAACTTGGATTCCTGTTGATTTCTTCATTCATTAAGTACCTTCAAGTGATAGTTTCCTAGTTTTAAGCTTTTCATCAACAAGTTTCCTGTCCTTGATAAAGATGTTCTGATATCTTCTAAAGTGAAACATCTTTTAGAGGAATTGGATTTCCACATCCTGTCCCTCCATGATTATGAGGGATTTTAGCTCCACTGTGTTTGTGGCATGCAGCTAGACTTATTCAAATAATGCCCAAGTTCTTAGCTGCCTTCTCTCGATCCACTGGCATCTAAAAGATATGATAAGGTCACCAGGGAATCTTTTAATTAGACTCCAGGTGGCCAAGCTACATTTAGCACCTACTCTGCATGTCTATGTTTAGAATATTTTTTAGTTTAGATGTGATTTATATATTTCCACTGAAGGCTAACAAAATGCTTAGCTCTGGTTTTGATAGGGCAAATCAAAGAACACACTAAAGAATCAAAAAATATCACTAAGGAACTATAGCCTTCCAACACAGATGTTGTTGTCACGGAACATCTCTAGGAGTATTTCAAGAGAGTTTTTTCTGGTAAAATTGTAAACTGTTGTGGTTGCTTTGTATCTGGTTTCTACCCCCAGTATCCCCTCATCAACCCAGGACAGTATGGGAGCATTGTATAATTGTTGGTTTATCATCTTTTTTTTTTGTATATTACTAGAGTCTATATTCCATATGTAAGACCATCTAAAAGAACATGGCCATATAAAAGAACGTGGTTTTATTGATTGATAAACGTGACCATGGATACTGGTTTCAGAGTTCAGGGTCGCTGTTATATCACCAAGCAAGAGTTTATTCTTCAAATAATGTGAAAGCATCTTATTCTATTCTCCATCTTAAGCTTCATAACATTTTGTGATTAAGATATTTGTTATTAAAAATTCTGATTGTCATTTCAGCAATTGAGGCCTTCATATTCAGATGTTATAATCATTAGGGACCCTTAAAAAAATACATGAAAATTTATTGTTCACTTTAAGTCTCTTGGGGCTAAACTCTAGGATAGTCTACCACTGTATGTTACCTCTTAGCCATCAGCAAGCATAGGATCTTATCAGGGCAAGGTAGGAATCTAAATGGAATTGATCTAAATGTAAAAGCAAATGAAAAATTCTCCAATCTATGAATGTGTATACCCTAACATATAGAGAGATTGATGGTCATCTCCAGTGATTATGAAACAGAATTACATAATCCCTAAATAGCAGAATATGTAAAAATCACATGTATGCATTTGGTTTAGGAATGTGCTTTTGTACACTTGAATAAAACACTTGAATAAAAGTGTTTGATACTATGAGAATCTGTTTTAAATAAAATCTGAAGACCACAGCCAGGGCATTTAAAAGTGCTGGAATTACCTTCCTGGCTACAACTCAGTTCCTCCCAGAAACCTTCAGAAGAGTGAATCAGTCAATCTCCTTTGTACTGATCACAAAAAATTTGCTCTTCTACATACTTCTGGAACAAAATATGAATATTTAGGATTTAAAAGGTTATTTGATTAGGATGGTTTAATGCATAAAATAGGAGTAAAAAGTTTAAGGTTTCATTGGAAAGAATGTGTTTTTTAAGTAAACACATTTAAATGAGGAACAATTCTGGAAGGCAAGTAATTTACCCCTTTAAACTTGCCACTCTTTAATTGTCCAATGTAACATGAGTTTGTGTTCTTAGTCTTTTTAGTCTGGAGGATTCAGGAAGGAAGGGAAGAAGTATAATCTTTGAGGAAGATCTAACTATTTGTCTTGTCTACATGCCCATGTATATCTTTACATATTAAAACTTAATCCTCACAACTCTTCAAGGGAACTTTCTCCATTTTAAAGAGGAACTAAGGTGTAGAGAGCTTGAACCTGTTAGTCATATGTAAATTAATGGTAAAGTAAATCAAAGATCTGTTTGCATCCAAAGCTTTCCATCATGATATATTAGACACATCCCAGAACCCAGAGTTTTCTTTGATAGCTCTTTATTCTGTTATATCCCCAGTGATTCACTGTCATCAGTTTGCAGCATGATCGTAAATGCTCCCACAGATGTGTGGGGTACTAGGAGAAAATATCCTCTTGTCTTTTGAGAGTTAATAAGATTCTCTTCCTTGAGACAGTTTTGACAATGGTAAACCACTGTTCAAAGCTCCCAAATTTCTATTTCCTGTCAGGATACCCCTTCCCCCATCAGTATATTTACATTTTCATTTTTTAGTTCCCCAAATGTAATTTTAATTGTTTCTGCTGCTAGAACTTACTGGTGAATTTATTTTACCAAGATTTACTGTTATAATCACCTCTGATTATAACAACAGAGCTAAATGGTAATTGGAAAATCAAGTTAGGTTCCTAGATTTTTGGCTTGAGTAGATGGCGATATCCTGGAAAGGTATTGAAAGAGGAACATGGAGATTAATTCAGGCAAAAGAGTATGGCAGAAAGCTTGTGGATGAGAGAGTATGGCCTTTTCAAGTTAATCAATTAATGAACTCTGGAGGAATGCCTTCCTTCAATTTGGTGACTGAGGAAGTGCAAGAAGGGAATTTAAAGGAGGCCCATAAGGTGTGATCTCTGCAAGGCACAATGGGATTCCCATTTCTAAACATGTAAGTTCATTCACCCTTCCATTCATTCACTAATACAAATTGCCAGGCTTTATGATACTCAGTGCTAACCAGTGGAAACAGTTCACCTAATCAAATGAGAATCAAACCATCCACTGAATAAACAGTTTTCAGTAGTTGTCAAAACAATGGCTTAAACTTAGCTATTTCCTGATTAAGTGGAAGTTAACCTCACTAGTTTTCTTGCCTATACAATAGAAAAGAATAATAGCATGAAAATTTAATGATACAAAAGGTACTGGTCATAAGTGCTCAAAGTTATAAATAAGGATTTAGTATAAAATCTGAAAAAGGGAATTAATGAGAAGGCATTTTGCAGTGCAAGATTATAGCATTGTCCCTGGGTTTGGAGAACTTTCTCTGATGATAGAGGAATCATCAGGCATCCTTGACTGTAGTAAGAGCTCCCTGCTAGAGTTCATGGAACCAGACACTTCTAACATTTGTATGATATGGCATTAACATATGAGTGCACAGGGGAACTAATGTTTAATTCAAGACTGTAAGAATACTTTCAAATAGATGGTGCCCTATCGGATCAACAAGAAAATAAAGACGAAATTTAAAATTTTGCTGACTCAGCCCATTCACTCTCTTCACATTGAGAAAATGATTAGCCGGTTGTATTTGATATTTATGAACTTATAATTTGGACATGATTATAGGTGCCCGTCTTCTATAGGTGCCCATATTACAAATTTCCACCCAGGCTCCTCCACTGACTTCCTGGTTGCAGCTGAACAGGGGCGCTAGTTTGAGTGGGCCAGGGTTCAAATACTGCATCTAATTACGAACTGCAATTTCTGGCATGTAAGAGAAAAGATACCAACTTCATGGGCTAGTGAAGATTAAAGAGATGCTCAGGTAAGTGCTCCTAACAAGTAGCTGTTATTTACGAGTTTAGTACCGAACTCCCCTTATGAACAGTTCATTTGCTTCACCTCTTTTCCTGTTTCAACATATCAAATGTGCTTCTGACAAATCCATACCCAAGGCGCAATAGCCTGATTATCTTGCCCCTTTTTCTAAGGCTTCCTCTTTCAGTCTACCGGTGGCAATTCCCCCTGCTTGTTTACATGTGCCAAGCAAGACCTGGAGGGACTGGGTTGAAGAGATGGAGCAGACTGGCTGAATGGGGGGCAGGGTCTGCCTGACCTTGTGATCGACAAGCAGGGAGATGGAAGTGTGTGGCAAAATAGGGAAGGAGACAGCGCTGTAGGCAAATGGGGTGTCCAAGGAATAGTGAAGATGAGGAAGCAGGAACCTAATTTAGATCCCAGGTCACTTAGAGACGATGTGCAAACAGAAGAGTCTGGTATATAGTCTTTCAAGCCATCCTTGGGGAAGGACAAACGCTGATTGACGACCCCAGCCCCACTCCTTCTGGGCCCCG